TCGCTGCGATGCTCGGGGCATCGTCCTTTGACACGCGGCCGCGGCGCCCGAATCAGGCAGGTAGGAGTAGGACCAGGTTTTGAACCCCAGTTCCCTGACCAGAACGCAATACAGACATGGCGCGCACATCTTTGTCTTTCGCTTGATATTTATATCTGTATCTATATATCTATATATCTATATATCTATATACCTATCTATCCATCTATCTATCTACTTGTATATATATATATATATATACACATACACACACACACACATATGTATATATATATATATATATATGGGTTATATATGTGCATGATTCTGTATGCGCATAACAGAACCCTGGCAGTGTTGGCCCGGCTCCTGTGCTTCTGAGCTTGGCTTCCAACAGGCTTGAGGGGTTTAAGAGAAAGCAACAACTTGATCTGGATGATCTGGAGAGTGCAAAAGTCTGGAGGCTAAGGAGGGCACATCTCACGTGGGCCCTGAAACCTGAACCCTGCCGTCTAACCCCTACATGTTGGCTTGTCCTTGCACTTGCGAAGTAGGAGACAACACATGTCCAGGATTCAGGGTCTCTGACATCTGGCTTCCCGAGGATCCCTCGGTCGATACATGCCCAACCAAGAACCGCGCAATTCTGGCGTCGAAGAGCCCTTTGCTGCTTTGTGGATGTCGGAATCCGAAGTTTGCTGAGTTTCTGGTCCGCGGAGGTGGTCCTGGCTTTCCAGCTGCCCGAGGCCGAGGCAGTGCCCAGCACCACTCTCCGAGTGCGCATGCCTGTGGGCTACAAGGCTGGGCTCTCTTCGTGTGCCGTTGCTGTACGAGCAGCAACTCAGGGATTAGTCAGGTGAATGCTGACTGCCTCGGGGACGTCGTCCCCGCCAACTTACTAGCATCGGCTGGCAACTACAGTTTCCTGGCAATGCAGTAGTTCCTTGCTCCTTTGCTTGCTGCCTTGTTGCGCGACCTTGTGAGGTTTGGTTGCGCCGATCAGCCGCTGTCTTGGATCCACGCAAGCGGAGCTCGTCCTGCCCGAGGCAGAGCCAAATCACGGGACCACGGCTCTCCAAAAAACGCGGGCAAGTGTGCAGGGTTTCCGAAGCGAGTGTCTGCTTCGCAGGGCCTGTTGCCAGCCACCTATGCCTTCGGTCTCGCCGTTCAGACGCCGGTCTGAAGCGGCGCTGCCGACCACTTCGGCTTTGGATCTTTGGGGTCTCGCTTTCCATCTCTGTATGTGTCTATATATATATATATATATATACACGGCTTTTTAGGCTGGTTTAAGGCTTGGGGTTTGAGGTTTCGGGGCATTGCCGAGGAATGCGGCGACCCAGCCGGCTATGAATTGGTGGAGCTTGGAATTGGACGTCTACGCTTCGAGTGCGCTTCAAGGGACGCCCGGCAGACCGAACCGGTTGTAGGGTAGCGCTTCCGCAATTCAATCCAAGGTCGATGCGATTAGGGTGATGATGGATGATGATGGCATGAGAGCAGCAAGGGCAGATTGAATGGTTAAAAACATTGGCAACACCAACTGGGATATTACCCATGACCGATGACCAGGATCACCATGATGACGATGATGGGAACGAAGCAGGTTGTATGCTGTTGATAAGGAGGATGACGCAGAAAATGCTGGTCATGTTAGTTACGGTGGAATACGAAGTGAATGCATCTATCATGAATCCACGATCCCGAACTTGTACTACTGCAGATGCTGCTGGTTCTTTTGCTTCCACTTGTTCTGCAGTTTCCGGTCCTCCTCCTCCTCCTCGTCGTACTCCTGATGTAGAAGCGGCACTGAATCACCTTCTTGCCCCCTGTCTTCCTCACTTTCTTGGTCGACGCTGCCTGGGACTCGTCCTGGGCTGAGGTACCCTCTGGCAGAGATTCGGTTCCCGCTCCCGCTCGAGCCCAGCAACACGGCTGCTGGACTCGGCCAGGATGCTCCTGTTGGAGTGTGCTTTGCCGCAGCCTCAGTGCAGTGGGACGCGAATCAAAGGATTGTGGGGACCGTGGTGGTTCGATGATGTGCAGTGCTACTGCTGGTGATGCTGAAGGATCGAGCGTGGTGACGTGTTGATGTGCTGATGACAAAGAGCATTCCCATGGTGGAGGAAATTTCTACTTCGAGGTTGCTCAGAACGCCAAAAAATATTTTCGTTTGCTGGTCAGTGTTCAGATGCCGGCGGGCATTGGGGCTTCAGAGCTTCATGGTGCTCGTTGAAGACTCATTGAAGACATATAAACCCTAAGCCGTTCATGTTCCCTCGCTGAGCATCGGAAAGGTCTTGCAGACCCCACTGAGCAACTCCTCCACTCTGCTCCTCACGGCGCCCCACGAACCTCGGCCCCATGGATCTTCGGGTATGCTATAATCATAAGTAGTAGAATCAGTAGATCATGTAGCGTAGTGACATAGAATTATAGCAGAGTGATGCTACTACTGTAAAATATTGCAAAGGTTCGCCAAAGCGCCTGCTCTTCTGAAGCGCAATTACACGAGCCGCTTGATCCAAGGATTACAGGCTTGGGAACGTCACACGGCTTCTTGGCACCGCGCCTGTGGCAGTGAAAGCCGCTTGATTTGACAGAAGTGCCGTTCTGACCGTTCAAATACTTACACAATGAATATACCATAATGTTCTATATAATGTACCATACTGTACTATAATTAATTGGCCATAATGTAGTATAATATACCATAATGTTCTATATAATATACCGTACTATTCTACAAAAGAGGGCCATGCTTGGCGTTGCTCTCGGAGCCTCGCAGCCATGAGGTCACTGCGACCGGCCATGTGGCAAACATTAGCATCCTCGAGCCGAGCCTTGTGGCCGGGCTCACGTACTGCGCCTCGTGCGCAAACTTGGAGGGTCATGCGACTTAGTAGTTCCTTTAAGGGTACCTATAGGGCTCCTTAAAGGGATCCTTAAAGGGCTCTGTAATGGAGGTTCATGGGACTTAGTAAGTAAGGATATAAGTTCCTGAACTCGGGTTATAGGTGTAGTTACCTTAATCATAACCCTAGTTACTAAGTCCCACGATCCTTTAAGCAAGCTCGCTTGAGCCAGAGCGGTTGAGGGTTTATTTAGGGTTTCTGACATCCGACATCCAGGCGGGCATATACAAGTCTGTGCAAAACGGTTTAAAGCTTTGGGTGAGCCCACTTCTAGAAGCATTTCACTGCACCAGGTCTGTCCATTTATGTGTTGAACCCGGCTGGGATACCTGCAAGCATGCGAGACTGGCGGCTTAGCGGCACGTGGAGACAACTCGGCACAGTTAGCAAAGTGCACTGGTGGGTGGAATCTGTAGGATGCTGCAATCCTTTGATCCCGACGGTGGCCTGGTGGACGAAGGCTTCGTGGAGGACCCGCGCTGCGAGCCCTGTAACTGTTGTTTGCAAAGGTTGGTCGAAAAGTGCCGCATGCCTTGGTTACGGAGGAGTACCAGATGTATCCTGCGGCTGCACTGGCAATTGCCGCTATGCTTGCACCAAGTGATACCAAGTGACACCAAGTGTGCCAAAGGGCGTGCAGGGACACCATCTTATGTTTCGGGAGTCGAGCAGATTCAGCAGCCAGTTCTGAAAGAAGCAGGTTCCTCCCAACAATTTTTTGTTCGGGAGTAGGTGCTGCACTGTAGTTTTCGGATCTTCGCTCGTTCGAGGGCCGCCCTGCAAGGTCAACATTGACCAACAGCCTTACAGCGATCGTGCGGTGACGGCACGGGTCGCCGCCAGCTTGCCAGCTCCGGTGCGCTTCGGAGACTCGCTGGTTGTGCAGGCAGCGGTTTAGATCCCGTAAAGGAGCCCTTATAGTACCCTTTAGAGGACCCTAAACTTAAACCCTGAGCTGGTTGTGCAGGCAGCGGTTTAGCAGAGCGCTTGCAAACTCGGAGGTTGCAGCAGGATAGCTGTATTGAGATCGTGTGACACATGGGCTTGCTCGAAACTTCCGGAACCCAGTGGTCCTGCCATGGGGGAGTTTCCGACAATTAGGGGTACCTTGTTTTGGCGTCCTTATAACCCTATTTAGGGCACTATATTAGGGTCCCCTATTTTCGGAAAGTTCCCAAAAATAGGGGACCCCTAATATAGCACTCTAAAGAGTAGGATCCTTATTATAAGGACCGCAAAATAAGGTACCCCTAATTTTCGGGAACTCCCAAACCCTAAACCCTTTGTAGAACCCCTATGGGAGTTTCCGACGGAAACTCCCATGTGATCTGGGTCAATAGTCAGTAGGTTTGCAGATGAAGGGGGCAAGCAGTCTGGACTCATGCCACGAATCGCATTGTGAGAAGCAAAACCAAGGTGAGCAGCAACACGTAGCAGTCAAACTCTATGTATACATATACATATATACACACACATATATATATACACACACACTCTCTCTCTCTCTCTCTATATATATATATATATATATGAGCCAAAACCATGCAAACGGGCGCTTGGCAGACTCTGAACATTGACCGGCAATCGTCGATCCGTCAACCAAGCCCCGGCTCCCCAAACCGGGAAAATCTCAAGCCTATATCGCCAATGCTACCAAGCACTTTCGTTTCATACACTTGCAATCGTCTTGTGTGCTGGCATCTAACAAGTCCATTGCTTCGCAAAGTATCACCCTCAAGTCCAAACCCTTCCGTTTGCTCAAGCCTCTTTAGCTTTCTGCACACCGATGCCGGAGCTCTTGGCCGAGCCATCATCGCGACAACCCTAGACCTAGGGCCTCGGAGATGATCGAGCCTCGACCCCAAGGTAGCCCTGCCACTGGCAAGGTGAGGCCGCTTTGTGTTGCCTAGGGCCCTAAGCCCCGAGCCTCGAAGCCCCTTAGATTCGACGCCCTTGGAAGCCCGGAGCAGCTTGTGGCCATGAGTTGCTTCGGCTGCTGGCAATGGCTCTTCGGGTCCCGGGAGACCCGTCGTCCCAGGAAGTCGGGGATACCCTCGGTGGCGGGTGTGCTGTCGGCTCGGCTGAGTGCTGATGGCTCCGGCGCCTCTGGGCCTGGCCTGGTAGCTGCCGGCGACGGGGACCCCTCGCTCTTTCGGCTGCGATGTGGGCCCGACTATCTCCGCTACGGGGCCAAGGCCACGCCAGGCCCGGCTCTCTACAGCTGTTTCGGTGCAGAGGTCTTGGAGGCACCTTGCCAGCTACGCAGCTGCACAGAAGGCCTTCCGCTTCCGAGGAGGGCCGATAACCGGCTACCCGGCCTCCCGCACATCATCGTGGTGAATTTTCAGCTTCCCTTTGAAGCCGGTCCTCTGAGAGGGCCTCACCCACCTCAAGATGCTTTGTCATAGTTGGGGAACATTTTGCATTTTTATGGGTACTTAAACCCAATAAGGTTAAAAATGTAAATTTTCAATACTACCTCAACAGTGAAGTAGGATCATGGCTGCAGCGTCGTGCTGATTTTCAAGCTCAAAGAGTCGGCGGAAGACTGCCCTGCCGCCCGGCTCCTGGCCAGGTTTCTGCAGGAGGAGGGCCATCCACGACCTGAAGGATTTTCACAGAGCAGTTGCCTGAAAGTGGTGGGCATCCTTGAAAACTTGGAGGATCTGGGCATACCCTCTGTCCTGAGGCCCATAGTTCGGAAGTTCAATGGCAAGCCCGTCCTGATCGAAAAGGAGAGTGCTCGCTACGGCGACCTCTCCTGCGGCTTTGTAGAGCTCGCCGTCGACGTACGGGGTTTCAATGCTGTGGCACGGAACCTGCTGCGAAGGCTCCGCAGTCGGCTTCCGCAGTCGACGATGCAGCTTGGCCTGCTTGTGCAAGGTGTAGAAGACAAGGAGCTGCCAGAGGGATTCCTCGGTGTGGCACGACTTCAGGGTCTGGATCTCGGCCGCGGCCGCGCAGTGGCGGCTGCCGGCGAAACATGGCCAACGCGCTACCTCCAAAGTGAGGACGACAAACTGCCAGTCACGCGGGGCTCTCGGCCAAGAGCCCGATGGCCTGTGCTCGCAGCAGGGCTGCTGCAGCTGCGCTGCTGCCGGCGTGCGAGACGTCCTGAGAGTTGATCTGCACCCGCGACGAAAAAACTGGGCGAACGGTTGGCTCCTTGCATGGGGTTGGGTGATTTATGAATTCTATTGTTAAAGCCCTATTTTATAGAACCCTGTTATAGATCCCTTATTGACCCCTTTAAAGGAACCCTTAAAGGTACTGCATATGGTCCTGGCAGCTCCCGATCCCCAGGCGCCCGATGGCTTCCTGCTGCCTGGTTGCCCGGTGGACTGGCTCCGCTTCGTGTCCTCAGCGCCGGAGCCTTCGCCGAGGCCCGGGGTGAGGGACGAATGGCGGATGTAGGGCGTGGCCTTTGCTTCTTTTTTGGCTTTCGGGGTTAGGGGCTTGAGGATTTCAGCAAGGGGCAGTCATAGGCCAGATGCGGAAGTGCTTGGGCAACAGATGGGTTTGAGGTTGAAGTTTCGGTTGGCGTGGGGTTTGAGGTTGGGCGAGGTGCAGAGCACGGTGAAGGGTTGCTGCTTGGAAACTAGTAATGCAGGGTGGCATGCAACTAGACATTATATACCCTATACTCCTTATGGCCGTCGGTCCATCCTGTTTTCTGCACCTTCCATCGCCGCTTGCCGTGGGCAGGTGCGCATGCAACTTCGGTCCTTGATGCCCGGCCGCAGATCAATGCCAAAGCTGAGCTCCATATTGTCAAGCGTGATAGGCATGCTCAACTATCATCAAGTATCGACCTGTTTCCCTAAACCCTAAACCTCAACTTAAATCGAGAAGTGCCGAAACCTCAACTTAAACAAAGAAACCCTAAACTTAAACCCTAATCATCGCTTCAAGTAGAAGCGATCGAGGCACTGTGACGCTACCCTTCCTCTCCTCGGGCTGGCAGCTGGGCTGCAATTTTCAAAAGGCCGCATCTGACGTTCTTCTGCTTAAAGAAATGAAAGGATCATGGGACTTAGTAACTAGGGTCATAATTAGGGTAGCTATACTTAGAACCCCAATTAAAGTACTTATAACCCTATTAAGTCCCATGATCCTCCAAGTACGGCCTCGCGCGGGCCGCTCGTGACCAAGGCAGATGGAACTCGAGCTCGCTGGCATCGCCTATGCCGCCAGCCGGGAGAGCCGAAGAGAAGTCTTCCGGTGCGGGGGCCTTGCAAGAACGGGCCGCCTCTGTGCAGGAGCTGTCCATCACCATCGCGACGAGGAATCCTATGAGCTCCTTGGCCTGGGTTTGAAAACGAAAGAGCCCATAAGTCTCAGCTCATCGCAAGTCTCAGGCAACCCACCGCCAGAATTTTCGTACTGGCGGCTGACTCACCAGGGCCCAACGGCAACGGAGGCCGGGATTGCCTTTGTGAAGTGTCGCAAGCTTCGCGTGGGAATCTGCTTTGAAGTACTTAAAGGATCATGGGACGTAGTAACTAGGGTTATAATTAGGGTAACTATACTTACAAACCCCAATTAAGGTACTTATAACCTTACAAGTAAGGTTATAAGTACCTTGATTGGGGTTTGTAAGTATAGTTACCCTAATCATAACCATATTTACGTCCCATGATCCTTTAAGTAATGGTGCATGTTACAGTGCATGTTGGAGCATCCCGGTCCTCAAGGATGGATCCGCATCCCCGCTCACGAGGGCAACTGCTGTCGCGCCAGGCACCTGACCCGAGCTTCCAAGCACCCTTTTTTTCAAGGGAAGGAGCAAAAGCAAGAACTGGATACTGCCATCATAGGGATCTATAGTAAATACTATAGCTCCTCATTATTATGGTACCTTTCATTATTATGGTACCTTAAATTTAGTAAATACTATAGCTCCTCATTATTATGGTACCTTACATTAAATCCACAGAACCCCAGGACTGAAGGGCTCGGAGGTTATCAGCGGTTAAGGCGGACTCCCTCGGCCGGCACAGACTTTGCGACTGAGTCTCGAAAGCTTCCCGAAAGCCATCGCCCGGCCGCGGAAAACAAACGTGGCCCAAACCTTGAACCCTAAACCCTTCACTAAACCCTAAACCCTATGCCCTAAACCCCAAACCCTAAGCCCCAAACCCTAAACCCTAAGCCCCAAACCCTAAACCATTTGAGTCATCATGAGGATGACCATCACAGATCACGCATAACCTAGACCAACCCGGTCTACACTTTAATCTGATGTTCTATTATAACTATACCCTCGCCCCAACCCATGGCGGTGATCTGCACACTATGCTTTCCACAGTATAGGATCCTGAGGGGAGGATGGGTCTCCTAAGGCACAGTCACTTTACTTGTTGATAGTTTAATTGTTGCTTGCATACTGACGACTCCTCCTAGTGAAGTTTCACTCATCAGACTTCGAACCCACATGCCTCGCCTGGATTGTCCGAGTGGGAGCGCCGAAACCCTTTGCTGTGAGGCTGGGTGATTCTGCCGGAGTTGCGGCGCGTCTTCGTGGAACTCGTGGGGTCGAACCAGGCCGCCGGTGGGCATCTTGTGTTCATGCTACTGTACTGTTACCTACTACACTGTACTATTACTATACTAAACGATACCATACGATATGGTACGATACTATAGTCAGTCGGGGTATAGCTGCCGCGAGGTTCTCTTCTAATGCCAGTTCCCCGCAAATGAAACAATTCTTCTCCAGAACTCAGGACAACCTGCATCGGCTTGTCAGCTGCCATCGCCACGGTTGTTTCAACTGCGTTTGTCGTCGATGAGCCAGTTCCATTGCTGTTGGTGTCTGTGCGGTTGCTTTTTGCTCTCGCTGCTGCTGCTCTATCTTGATGACTTGAAGATGAAGATGATGGCAATGCCGCCATGTCTGCAACCGTTATTCTTGGGGTTTGACTTACAGCTGATGGACTACTCCTGGCCACAAGCATTGCTGGTGCTATGACCAGGCTCGTATACCCTGTGGAGCTGTTAGTCGTGTGCCAAGCGGATGACGAAAATTACTTACTATTGCTAGTACCAGGTACTAGTGTTGCAGTAGCAGCAGTAGCAGCGGGAGCGGCAGTAGCAGCGATAGCAGCCCTAGCACCACGAGTACTGGTACTGCTGTCTTTATTTTGCGGGAGTCCTTGCCGAGGCTGCTGGTGCCATCTCTGACCTACGCCTCGCGTGGCGTGGTGGCAGCCAAGTAGTTGTGGAGCGGGACAGCAAGCTTGCAGGGTTTGGGGTAAAGGGATGTTCAGGGTAAACCAATCCGGCGGCCTTTGCAAGCTTCGCGCATTCTGCGTTGCGGGGATGTGCGATGCGGGCGCAAAGCGGTGAGGAACTCTGAATTGGAAGACCAGCGGTGCAACAGGCCAGATTGCACACGACACGACTGATCGCAAGGTTTGTTCCGGAAAGCCCAGCGGTTGCGGCGCGGCTGGTCGCAGAATCCCCGCCGGAACCTGGGCCTGCCTAAAGGAACCCTATTCTCATTATTAAGGTCCCTATGCTGTAATATTATGGCACCCTGATGAATCCCTTATAGTCTAAGAAGGGTCAGCAGCTTCATCGGTCCACCCACCGGAGAAAAGAGTGCATCTCGATCAGTGGCTGAAGGAAAGCTCACACCTCGAGAGTAGGCACCCCCCCTTTGGTCACCTGAGGATGTCTCATTCGATGGTGCGGAGGTGCCGGTCAGGAAGCTCTGAAGCCAAAATATCACCAGATTGTTGAGATAGACAGGTGAAAGCACTTTTCTGTTTTTGACTGATCTTGGATTTGTATACAGACATACGACATACATGCTCGAAGAGATGCATATGCACGTGCAATCAAACATATATAAGTATATATACATATATGATGTATATGTGTATGTAGTTGTTTTTTCAAATCGCATGCGCGCACACACAGGGACATGCACATGCGCATGCACTGGCATACACGTGTACATGCGCAGCCACGGACACATATACACATACATGTACATATGCATATACTTATACATCTACATACACCTACACTCATACATATACATATACACATGCATATACATAAGCAAATACATGCACATGTACATGTCCACATACATATACATATACATGTACATACATACATACATAAATAAGTACATGTATATATACACATATGTATATATCTATGTATATATATATATATCTATGTATATATATATATATATATATATGTATATTTTATATATATATATATATATATATATATATATACACATATTTGCTTCGGGACAGGTGCGAGCTCCGGCCTCGAAAGGCCTCGGGACGGCTGGCTCCGCAGCTCGCCATGCATCCTGGGAGCTCTTTTTGGGTAGTTTTTCGGTTGTTTATATTTTTTGTGTGTGTGTTTTGGAATTTTTTTTGGATTAGGTTTCGTGTCTTTTTGTGTTTTTTTTGGGGTTTGGGGTTAGGGTTTGGGGGTTTAGAGATCTCAGTTGAATGTTGCAGCCAGCAGTGCTGCAGCTTTGCTTGGCCCTCAGTTTCCCTTCTTCAGGGTACCCGGCAGTCGCAATAGGCCTGCATGCAACAGAGATCTCCGTTGGGGTTTTGGATTGGGGGTTTGGATTCGGGGGCTTTGGGGTGCAGGAATCCAGGGGCCCAGGGCGATGCTTCAACGAGGGAGGGCAGAGATTTTCAGAAACATGGAGCCTGGAGATGATCTGATTTAAGGGATATTCAGCAGGCACAGGCAGCAACAGCTTCAGTCGGATTGGTTTCGGTAGATGACGCCGGCGCTTGTCTTTTTTTTGGCCTCTTCGACTCACCTCGGCGCATGTAGTAACTGTAGTAGGCCTGTTCCAGCTATCAGCTCGACTCGGTTCCACTGTCAAACGGCAAAGCCTAGTCAAAGCCCGTGTCGAAGGCCTCCGCTGTGAAATGTTTTAAGCCGTGCAAAGATGCTGAAAGGTCCTTGTCCTCAGCGGCTTGGGTCTTGTGGTGGGTGTGGAGGCATCCGTGTTCGTCACATCGGTGCAGCTTGGTCGGGGCGGAGGACGGTTGGGTAAGGGTTCTGGCTACCTGTGTGCTCGGTCTTTTCCATACGCAGAGCAGAAGGGTTCTCGAGGTATTTTAGGCCAACTCGCCCCGTGCAGGGTGTGCAGCCCAGGCATAGCGAGACATGTGTTCAGGATGGTCCTAGACCGAGCTAAGGGTCCATTCCACGGGAGGCTTGTCCAGTCATGTCCTGACAACGCAGCAAGCCAATGGGGGACGATTCGGGGTCGTGACTCTTGTCGGGTTTCATTCTTTGCTGAGCGCTGTTCCTGCTGTTTGGCGACAGGCAGGCGTTGCGACAGTCTCTTTGGTGGTAATTAAGTTAGTTTGTGCTAGAGTTATAGGTTTGGGATGGTGTTTCGCGGTCCAGGCCGAGTGCTGTGAATCCTAGCCTTCACAGGACAGACCGTCTTTACGCTGCAGACCTTCAGCACCCCCACGCTGTCGCTCTTGGCGGACGAGCGCTTGAACTTCCCCGGCTACTTTCAAGCTGGGTGTTTTGCTCCCATTCGGTAGACTTAGGGTTAAACTGTCGGTCCGCATGAAGCCGTGCCTGCGAGAGTTTCCAAGCGCTTGAAGCTTAGGAACGTCCTGGTGGAGGGAAGCCTCCAGGGCGGGCACGCCTCCTGGCAGACCATGGCCGCCAAGCCTTGGCCCTCATAGGGTATTTTGACCACTCTGACTCCCATGGTCGAAAGTACCGAGGTGAGCTCACATTAGTCTTAGGGTTCCTTACTGTAGCTATAGTATAATATACTCTACAACCCTATTCGAACGATGAAATCTGAGGTGAGCTCCTCGAATCCCCTGCTGCAGAATCTGCCGCCGCGGGCTCTTGAAGTGGCAGTGGTCGTCCTGCGCCTTGTAACTTGATTGAATTAGCACGACAGCAGGTGAGCCTTCTTGCAAACCCTCCAATAGTCAAGCTTACAATAGCCACTCTTCTGACATTCTTTCCTGCGATGATGGGGAAACTACATTTCAGGTCTTTTCATTGGCTGTTGTGGTGGGGGACACGCTGATCGTGACCTGCCGCGGCACTGGAGCGCGCCCCGTCTCATGAGCGGTTCGACGAGGGATGAAACATAGGCACTTCCTGCTCCTCAAAGGCTGAACAACAGTCGTACTTGCAGCTGCTGCGGGAAACGGAATCAACTTTTACCACACTGGTTTTAACATCGATGTCATCCGTCCGAGGTATCGTCTCTTGGTGGATGAGGTGTTGGCCATGCGAGTGCTTGGTGACTTGGCACCTATAATTTTGGGAGCCTGCATCCGAGACGTGCTCTGCAACCGTCCTCTTAAACCGCTTGGGCACCGCTTTGCTACCCTACGAAGCAGGATGAATCTGACCCGAACCCCAACCCTAAACCCCTACTCCCTTAGTGCAGTCTCGCACATCAGACTCCGAACCAAAGGCTTCGCCTGGATTGTCCGAGTGTGAGCGCCGAAACCCTAAGGCCTTAAAAAAGACAAACACCCTGAACCCTAAACCTTAGTCGGTAACATGCTGGCATACCGCAATCCTGGAACTCATGATTGCTGCAGGTCGCTATACCTGGGTCGTCCTGACCCCGTGTTTACTTCCCAAAATATTGTAGGGCATTACTTCCCTATACCTGTCCCTGAGCGATCTGTCTGAATACTTCGCCCTGGAATCCGGTGTTGCTTGATGCTTCTCAATGAGGGATTCCAGGGAGAGGTTTCGCTGACAGCTACAGTCACTTTAGGTGTTGTTATACTTTGTTGCTGAAACGTAGTGACGAAGCCTCTTAGTGCCAATTCACTTTGCAGACTCGAACTCATATGCCTCGCCTGGATTGTCCGAGTGTGAGCGCCGAAACCTTAAGGTTCGCTGACCTTAACTGCAAGGCGGAAAAAAGCGTTAAAACAAACCTTAATCTTCGGTTTGGACTGAGTCCCAGGCTTCGAAGTTTCTGGGGGTGCGGGACTTCTGCTGCCTCTCCTCGCTGCCAACCGGGGCGACCACGAGATCGTCTTGCAGTTCCTGGGCATGGAAGGCCGGAAGGTTGCTTAAAGGATCATGGGACTTAGTAACTAGGGTTGCAATTAGGGTTACTATACTTATAACCCATATTTTGGGACTTATAACCCTACTTATAACTACACATGATCCTCCAAGTATTCGGGGTCGAGGGCAGCGCATCATGGTAGGCATCCCTATGAGACGCGAAAGACGAAAGCTTCGAAGTTCCTAGCCTGCAGGCCTGAACTCGACCCAGATCCAGTCGGCACAGTTCGCAGAGCTCACCTTCCAGGCCAGGTGCAAGTAGATGCTGTCGAAGCCAAGCTCTTTGAACGCACCGTAGCATAGCAGCGATCAGTGCGTGGGACAGACATGCCACTTTCCTCAACAGTCTCTAAGAACCCTGAATCCGAGTTAAGCCCGTGGCTTGCCCCAGTTGTGAGAGCGTAAGTCAATCATATTCAACCCATAGTGTAACGAATTGCCCGAAACTCTACGGGCACGTGTAACATGTACATACACTGACATATATGTATATATATATATATATATATTTATCATCATATGTATGCACATACATACATACATACATACATACACACACACATATATATATATATATGTGTATGTAAGTAAGTAAGTATGTATGTATGTATGTACGTATACATAACTGTTTATGTATACAAACATATGTATAATGTATATACAAGTTTCGACATTCATGTTTATTTAAACAGCCTTGGGCCCCATGACTCATGAGGCCCTCCCCAGCTCCGGGGTGAACACCTGGAAGATTGCGAGCTACAGCCAGGGAGCTGCAACCTGACCAAGAAGCGCAGAGAGGGGGCTTAGAAAGGGCCTAAATTGGGTACCTATAAGGTTTCCTTTAAAGGGTTCTGTAAAGGATCCTTAAACGGGTCTATAAGGAATCCTTAAGGGGTTCTTTAAGGGATCCCTGAAGGGAAAGGGTTTTTATGAGATTTTTATACAGGGATCCTTTAATAAGGGTTCCTTTAAAGGATTCTATGAGGGCTCTATAGGGGCTAGATACGGGCGCCGTAAGGGCTGCATTATGGATTCGAGAAGGGCTCTATACGGGTTCTGCAGAGGGTTGAGGAAAGTGACCAACATCGGGGGCTTTTGGGGGCAGCTGGTCGCCCCACAGCAATTCGGGCGGCAGGCGTTCAGTCGACATTGCACGAGTACTGTGCATGGACCAGGTCAGTAACACCAACGATGGCAGCTTCGCTGGCTTTCAGCCCGTGCTGCAGCTCGCCGTGGAGTTGGCGCCCGAGCGCTCCCCGCCCAATGCGCTCATTGCGGTGAATCTTCAGGTGCCGACCGGTAGATCTGCCACTTCAGCGATCGCCCCTTCAGAGGTTCGCAGGCACATACCCGCTAGGTCTTTCTGGCCAAGTATAGGGATGATGCAAGCTTTGTTGAATGCTGGGGGAGTGATCAGATCAGGTGTCTGCCGACTTGAACCCCGTGGCGACGCAGCTCACACTTGTCGCCCCGCCGGGCTTCTCCTTCCCAACGCTTTGCGGAGAGCTTTGCTCCTCTTTTGGGGAGTTCTTCGCGGGGACCAGCCGGCCTGTTGCGAATCTCTTGACCACAGCCGCGCCTTGGCCTCAAGGCTTGGATTTAAAAGTCGTTAAATAAAAGGCCCCACAGAGGTGTGCTTGTTTTGGAGGTTTCGTGTTTGCCGAGGCCGTGGGCTTATTGGATCAGCAGCTGGTCTTCAACATCCAGACGCCGCTCCGCACGCCGCAGGTCCTGACTTGGCTGGTGCAGGCCTTTGATCCAGCTGGCAACCTCCTGGGCTGGGGGCAGGCAGATGGCTTCAAGGTGACTCCCAGCTGGCAAATAAGAGTTAACAGCACGCATCTTGTGACAGGCGTAGCATTCTTTCCCGGTAGCCATACCTAGTAGCTGATCCGAGACCCGTGACAGCGAGACCTTCAAAGCGAACTTGCGAGATAATCTGTGCATCGGCAGCCGACAAGCCTTATGTAGCGTTTCATTGTTCTGATCTCGAGGAATCAGATGCGCGATGCTCAAGTCCTCTATGGCGGTGTACCAGGCCGGACATAGCTTTAACGGTTTCTTTTGCAGGCGTTATGTCGGAGGCAAAGAAGTTGTCGCGGCACGAGATGGTTTCCCGTAGACAAGCACCTGGGTCGATGCCCGAGTCCGGGTGCCTGTGAAGGCCTCCAGAACGCTCAGCTCGCCTTCGTCTTCACACTGGAGACCCCCTCCTTGGAGGGAACTTTCAGGATCGTGGAGGTCGTCGCTCCATCGGAGATATCGCTGTCCTGACTCTTGGACTTATTGGAGCTTCAGACTCGAGGATGCCTCGTTGTGGCGGCAAAAGTCCCGTCTGTCGCAAAGACGAACTCCTTCAAGTTTCTGTTTGCCTCCTCCGGTGCTAGAGGAGCTCTGGAGATGTCATGTGTATTCACCCTCCACACAACCTGTGCTACGGGAATTTTTGTCGTTGCAGGCGTGGCAGTCAGAGCGGTCTTGTTTCGCAGAGCTGAGAGCGGCAGGATTTTGTTTGCCAAGGCGACCGACTGGAGCATTTAACACTGCCGGATGCAGTGTGTGCTGAGCAGGCACCTGCAGCAAGCGACGAACGGTAGCTTCTGTCTGTGTTATGCTGGGTTCTGATAGCAGAGCAATTTTTCACCGAGTCAGTGCATAACTTCCCTATAGAATCCTGCTCGAGCCTTATTGGACCCCAAACCAAAGAGTCTTACGAAGCAGACGCGAAATGGATGCGAGAGGCGGATACCGTATTGTACGAGACTAGGTTTTGACATGTATGTATGTATGTCTGCATGTACGTCTGTATAGCTGGATGTCTGGATGTCTGTCTGTCTGTCTGTCTGTCTGTCTCCGTCTGTCTCCGTCTGTCTCTGTCTGTCTCTGTCTGTGTCTGTCTGTCTCTGTCTGTCTCTGTTTGTCTCTGTCTGTCTCTGTCTGTCTCTGTCTGTCTCTGCCTGTCTCTGTCTGCCTGTCTGTCTGTCTGTCTGTGTCTGTCCCTGTCTGTCTGTATGTCTGCATGTCTGTTTGTATGTATCTATGCATCTATGTATGTACATATGTATGTATGTACTTAAATGTACATGCAAATGCAAAGTTACATACATACATATATATATATATATATATATGTTCATGGTAATACATTCCATTCCGCCGTAACATGTATATATGTATATATGTGTATGTACATGTACATGTACATGTACATGTATATGTATATGTATATGTATATGTATACGTATATGTATATATGGGTGCAAGATGTAAGTTGGAGCGGCAGGGCCCCGGCTTTGCGCGACTGGAGTTGGATGAGTCATTGCAGCCAGGACCCGCTCTAGCTTTGTGTGGAGCGTAGGCCGGCAGAAAACAGGCCAAGACACCCCCACAGCACTGCCACGGCACTGCCACTGCCCTGCTACTCCTACTCCCGCTCCTATCACTACCACTCCTACCCCTCCAGTCACTCCTTCCGCTACTCCTACTACTCCCACTCCTACTACTACTCCCACTCCTACTACTACTGCTGCTACTGCTCCTACTCCTACTACTGCTCCTACTCCTACTCCTACTCCTACTCCTACTCCTACTCCTGCTCCTACTCCTACTCCTACTCCTACTCTGCAACATTCATGTGTCCTAGGCTGTACCATGTGACGTTGATCCTCTGATGCCTTCCGGGTTCACAGCAGGGGCCCCTTCTTGAGTGTCGATCGCGAGCCATAGGCAGCAAAACGAAGGCCGAGTGCAGGTCTTGCTTCACTTAGCTCTCAGAGAGCTTCGGTTTACCTTCTTGATTGAGCCCATCTACGCTTTGCGCTTCGAGGCACATTCTGAGGGTTTCATTGCCAGTGCAACTCCGCTGTTGCACTGGTAGCGGAGCAGCCACGGTCTTGGGACACAGGCTGCCGTTTGGCTGCGAGGCTCCAGCTCCTCCTCTACTACTCCTGGAACTAGTGTCCTGAACCTCACCGACAACCTTTGGAACTAGTGTTCGGGCTTTTGGCTGGAAGGGCAGATTCTTTGGCTTTCTTCACTTCGTTCTGGCTTGATCCGCGACTGCAGTGGTTTTCACTTGTGGTTTCTGGTCGGGCCGGGGCTCCCTTGAGGAAGCAAGGATGCCTTTCAGTGATGACGGAGGAGGTGGCTCTTCGATTCCGGCATGGGATGGCCATCCGAAGGGGTGGCGCCGCTATGCCAGAGAAGTGGCATGGTACGTGCAGGGCACCAAGCATACTCAGCGTCGCTACCTAGCGACACGTCTGATAGGACGCTTGACAGGAGCAGCTCGGCTCCTCGCGATGTCCTGGCCGCAGGCGGAGTTTGACAATGACCTAGGTGTTCTCATCTACCTCCGCAAGCTTGCTCAGTCCCCCCTGGTCCGCAGGTCGCTCCCGAACGCAGCAGCTATAATGTCTCAGTACTTTCAGTTCCGTCGGCAGCCAGGCGAACCCATCACGAACTTCCTCGTCAGGGAGACGCTGGGCTTTGAGGAGTTCAACGAGGCTCTGGTTCGCCTACGAGAGGAACGGCAAGGGCTAACGATTGATAAGCAGCTGTTCGGGTTGGAGACTTTGTTGCGTAAGGAGGAGGTAGTGACTGAGCGCGAGAGATGGAGTGAAGAGTCCTGGTCCCGATGGCGTCGGGGCTGGTGGGATGAAGAGGACTGGGCCGAGGAGCCGATTCCCGAGGACCAGAGCGCCGATCAGGATGCAGAGGTCGCGGCCGAGGATGTACCCGTGGATGGTGGAGGCCGCTCGCCGACCAGAGCGCCGCCTGAGGATCAGGGCGGTGAAGGACAGACTCCACCAGAGGGAGCCTCCGTGACCTCGCGACGCACACTTCGACCTCCAGAGCGGCACCCGAGAGGGGTGCAGACGGAGGATGAGACCTTCGATTCCTTCATCTTGGATGTGCTTCGAGGGTGGCGCTTGCTGCAGGCTGCTAGCCTGACCTTGGAGGAGCGCCGCGATGTCCTCACGGCCACTTCGAATCGATTGGACTTTGAGTCTGTGTCGAATGCGCTTCAGGTCCTGTGGGATGAGCAGCTATCAGGAGTCCGGCGCCACGGTCATGGTTCCCATCTACATCAAGGTGCCCAGGTGTTCCATATGGACGAGCAGGCCCAGTACGACCCACAATGGGAGGAGCAAGGCTGGGAAGAAGAATCCTGGCCCGAAGGACACTGGGAAGATGCCCAGTATCACGGCGAGAGCCCAGAAGCCTGGGCTGAAGAGTGGGAACAGGTGCCTTCCGATGCCAACCCGGACATCCTTACGAATGCGGAGTTGGACGATCCTACTGTCAGAGATGCCTTGCAGGCGGAGAGAGCAGCTGAGGCGATGGCCGCCGATGCGGCATTGACTTGGAAGCGAGCCCAGCAAGCAACCGCAGCGGTGCGCAAGGACCGAGGATTCGGAGCATCGGAGGCCTTTCGTCTGGCCCAGAAGGGCGATCAATGCCACAAGTGTGGCAGCTACGGCCATTTCGCTCGTGATTGCAAGGGCTCCGGTGCAAAAGGACGTCCTAAAGGAGCTCTTTCCATGGAGTATGACTACGGCACCTACGACCACATGTACTACATTGGCGGAAAGGGCAAGAAGAAGGGCAAGACCAAGGGCCACTTTGGGCTCGGCAAGGGTCCCATGCACAAGGGTAAGATCGGCAAGCAACCCCGGATGTTCCCCGGTGTGAATGCCTACGGGTTGGAGATGCTTGGCACCGAAGGTGATCTCAGCTTGGGCTGTTACGCGTCCCAAGAGAAGGATGCGATTTCTCCAACTTCAGGTCTTTTGGACTGTGGAGCAACAGCCTCGGCAGGTCCGGAGGCCAGTGTTCAGCGGCTCATTGCATCTGTCATTGAGCAGGACCAGGGAGCTACGATCACTATCGATCAGTCTCGTCGCCCGTATTTCAGGTATGGCTCTGGGGCTTGGGGTCGTGCTCAGTATCATGTGACTTTGTCGTCCAAAGTTAGCGGCTATGAGAAGCAGTTTGGCGTCTATGCTTTGCCAAATCCTCCGGAAGCTGTTGAGCCCTGGTTTCGCCCCCACATGCTGGTTCCTATTCTGGTAGGTATGAGTCACATTGGTCCCGAGGGCGCTGGCATGATCATTGACTTTAATGACGGTTCCTTTCTGAATGCAGCCGATATAGCTAACAAGCGTGAACTACCGCCAGAAGAAGCACGACATCTGCCAACAAACTCGAAAGGTCACTATATCCTGGACGTGGCCGCCTACCTCACTGGAGGCCAGACTTGCAAGACAGGGCATTGTTCAGTTGTTGTGAAACAGCCGTGGGTTCCTTCTTCTTCGTATTCCAGTGATCTCTACCCTTTGCCGGGCACTGATGAAGATCTCCCTCTACAGTTCATGTATGGTGTTGAGATGTGTGGTGCTACAGTAGTGCAGAGAACGAATCAGGATGAGAGTGCAGACCTCCGCAAGCGCATGATGAGCAACTTGCTTCAGAAACATGTGACAGCAAAATCGTCATCTCCAGATCTTTCTAGCTCGAGGATGAGCGGGCAGTCTAGACCCTCTCCTCACTTCGCCAACGACTTGATCGCGGACTGCAATGGCTCCAAAGAAGGCTTCAGCGCTTCCGGAGCTGGACTACGAGAGGGCAGTGGGCCCCGACACACGGGACCCCCGGGCCTTAAGGACGCAGTGGCCTTGCTTCGGAGAACATCCGGAGCTTACTGTGGGGAACAACAAGTACGCCCAATGGAAGCATTGCGCCACATGCTGCTACAGGGTGTCTTATGTTCCACGAGAAGGCGCCCCAGGATCCGACAGCAAGACCGAGAACTTCCCAACGATTCGGAAGGCCCTCGCGCAGCTCCACGAGGACATCGGGGATGTGCAGCCGGAGGGGGAGATGGTCAAGGTGGCAATCGATCTGGAGTATGCCCGCAACCGCTACCATCAGCTGATTCAGAAGTTCGATCGCCGCAGGGCACCAGCAACGAGAGGACCCACGACTACAAAGGCCACTTTGGGACCATCGACGGCAAAGCCATCGATTACTCCGACCTTGAGGAGCGGGTACAAGGAGACGGAATTGTGCGAGGACGGTGCGATGACCAATCCGAACCTGGTGGACATGGAGGACGGACCACCCGGGAGACCATCGCCGACCTCGACAACGACGAGCTGGTCAGTGGCGGGAACGCCCGACCAGCAGTGAGGCCGACTTTTCCCAAGCGAGTGGCCGCTGGGGTGATGGCGATGGTGGCTGTGCTCACGAATGTCTACCGCGGCGAGCTGCAGGCCCTCACCACTCAGCGTCATCAGTGCAGCATCTGGGAGATTGGTTGTGGCCCAACTTCGATGTTGACGACGGCGTGCCAACATGTGGGCCTAGGAGCTCTTCGGGTCAACCATGTGAACGGGTATGACTTGTACAAGGCGGAGACCTACCCGGCTCTGAAGGCTCTCTTTGATCAGCACCGCCCCCGCAGGATTTGGGTCTCTCCCAGGAGCGATCGATGGCAACCATGGGGCCACCTGTCCCATGAAAACTGGCAGGCACGACAGGATCTGGAGAGTCGCCGGCGCCATGAGCGCACCATGCTTCGCAGGATGTGTTCCTTTCTTACCTGGGCGATGAGTCGCAACTCCCTCCTCGAGATCTTCTGGGAGTGGCCAGCGGAAAGCCTTGGATGGAAGGAGCCTGCATTGCGAGACCTGGAAAAGGCCATATGGAGTCGCAACAAGGATTGGCTTGCATGCCGTGTTGATGGTTGCCGTTACGGGTTGCGTGAGGGTGAAAAGGGTGACTTCATCAAGAAGCGATGGCTGATTAGAACTACGTGCCCTCGTTTTCACACCCTCTTCAAGACCAAGGTCTGTGTGCAGAATCATGCGCATGTTGAAGTGCCTGTGATGGAATCAAAAGGCAGATTGGATTATCCTTGGCGCTTTGCAAAATCCGTTGCGCAATCCTGGCGCGACCACCTCTTTCCTCTTCGCCACTTTGGCATGCCAGCAGAGGCCTACAACTTTGCGGCAGAGGAGATTGGTGATGACGAGGTTCCGGAGATTGAGCCCGATCCACCGAATGTCGATGGGATCCCGCCGGACCGGTCCGAGCCTACTGACGAGGAGCGGGGCAATTGGGGCCGGAAGTTGAAAAGGTTTCATTCGGCAGCGGGGCACCCTTCCAACCACCAGCTCGCCCGCATTGTCAAGGAGGCTGGCAAGCCCAAGTGGATGGTGGAAGCAGCCATGAAATTCTCATGTCCTCACTGTGAGGCTGTGAGACCTGGAGGTTTGTCTTCTAAGCAGATCCCGCCACTCTCCACAAGGCCTCTTCCCTGTGCGTGGCAGCAAGTGGTGGCAGATGTGGGTGAATGGACAAGTGTGGCCCATAAGTGCAAGTTGAAGTTTGTGGTGTTCGTGGACGCGGCCACGAAGCTTCGTGTTGCTGAGCCCTTGTTCCGATTGGGGATTTCTGAGATGAGAAGTGAAACTGGCATGCACCTCGTTGAAGCGTTTTCCAAGCGGTGGTTGAGTGACAAGCCCAAACCAGAGATCCTCATTCCTGACAATGCCAGGTCCTTTACCTCCAAGCACTTTCAGGACTTCTGCTCGAGCGTGAACATATGGTTGGCGCCACCTGCCGAAGCAGAAGCTTGGGCTCATGGCATTGCGGAGTCCACTGTGCAGGATGTGAAAGAAGTGATGGAGAAGATTCAACTTGGAAGCGCCGCTCTCCTGCCGGAGACTTGTCTTGCGCTTGCCACGGGAGCCCTTAATCAGACTTCCTTTGTCAAGGGGTTCTCATCATATCAGTGGGCTTATGGCAAGCAGTTCTCCTTTTCGGATGAGGACGAGGTGACCATGTCCCAGCTTAGAGATGACGCACCTTTCTCCGAGTTTAGCCGACTCCTCACGATGAGAAATGAAGCCGAACAGAGGGCAAGGGAGGTGCGAGCTCAGCGTGTGTTGTCCAAGCTCAAGAACTCAATCACTCGCCAGCCTTTGAGGACCTTCCAGGCCACGGACATGGTGAAGGTTTGGAGGCGAGCTCTACCGCTGGAAGTTCATCGTGGCCGTCAAGGCGGATCGAAGAAGGCTGGTCGTTATCATTGGATCGGACCTGGACGTGTTGTTCTACAGGAGACGGTGCCTCATCAAGCTTCCGACGACCCTCGCCGACACATCATATGGGTCGTCATCGGTGGCAAGCTTTACCGCTGTGCAGCTCATTCGGTCAGGCCAGTGACAGAGCAAGAGCGAGCTTGGCATCATTTGCGGACCGAAGAGAATCCTACCAAGTGGAGATCCTTGCAAGATGTCATCCCCAGCAAGGAATACACTGATCTATCAGAACAGCTGCCTCCTGGTGACGATCCTGACGATCATCACCCTGATCTACCTGGAGAGCCAGATGAGAGCACATGGATGCCATCCAAGCGTCTACGTCGGAAACAATCTGAACAACAAGCCGCGGCACCACCACTACCTCCACCTGTAGAGGAGCCGGTTAACGACTACGGCGAGTACAGTCCCAGTGAACCTGGTGATGAATTGGGGGTGCCTGGTACCCTCTCTGATTGGGCTCGAGAGTTCGATCGTGATCTTGAGGCCATGGATCGCCAAGCCGCGTCCAAGCGAGAAGCTACCAGCTCAACGGCACCACCGAGTGATTCGAAAAAGGCGCGCACTGAAAGCTTTGAGGAGGAGCTTACTTTGCATTCAGCTCTCCAGGAGTGCGAGTATGGCTATGTCATGGAGATTGACCTACAGCTCACGAGCAATCGCCAGATGAAGAAATTCCTACGGTCTCCTTCGGCTTACCTGGTCGGCAAGATGCGTGACTCTGAAGTTCGATGGGAGCAGCTGAGTGCGGCGCGCAAGAAGTTGTTCAGTCGAGCGAAAACCAAGGAGGTGACCAGTTTCATTCAGCAGGCCGCCGTGCGAAAGTGTGCTGACTTCTCGGAGGAGAAAGAAGCTCAGGACAGCGGACGTATCATGAAATGTCGTTGGGTCCTGACCTGGAAACCCATACCGGAGGAAGAACGAGCGGAGGCGGAACAAGAACTCGCCACCAAGGTGGACACCACCATTGATGAGACCGCCACTCGCAAAGCCAAGGCGAGAATCGTTCTTCTGGGCTACCAACACCCTGACCTCCTTCGTGAAGGGTTCAACTCAAGTGCTCCTGTTCAGTCCGTGTTGACCCGCAACCTCGCTTACCAGATGACGGTTCAGAACAATTGGACTTTGGAAGGCCTTGACCTCTCTACTGCGTTCTTGCAGACGGCACCAAAGGAGGAGATGCGCATCTGGACCCAAGGTGTTGCAGAATTGCGGGAGGCCCTGGGCGTGGGAGATGACAAGCTCCTACGGGTTCTCAAGGACTTCTACGGCTCTACCACAGCCCCGAGGGGTTTGTGGCTGGATCTTCATGCTACTTTCACAGACTTGGGTGCTACGAAAATCCTCTCTGACCCATGCATGTGGATTTGGACGGAGCCCAATCCAAATCCGAGGAATGACATGGACCGCTTCAAGACCATCGGAATGATGGGAGGTCATGTGGACGATTTCAACCGGGCGGGAGATCTAGAAAATCCTCGATGGCTCGAGCTGCGGGAGAAGATCGACAAGGCCTACAAGTGGGGGACCATCAAGCGTGGCTCCTACCGCCACGCGGGGACCGACATTGTCTCCAGTTACCACACCGACGATGGCCACGTGATTGAGATCAACCAGGACCAGTACATCGAGGCCATCGCGGACTTCCCCTTGGCAGCCGCTCCAGGTCGTGTGCTAGAAAGTGCTCTCAGCGACCGAGAAGTCTCTCAGTGCAGAGCCGCTTTGGGCAGTCTGCAATGGGTGGCAGTTCAGACTCAACCCCTCATTTGTGCACGCTGCAATTTGATTTTGTCTGACTTAGCAAGCCGTCCCACGTTTGCTTTGGCCAAGGAACTTCAGCAGTTGATTGAGGAGGTTCGAAATGAACCGATGCGGCTTCGTTTCAAGCCCATCAAGGATGCCAGCCATTGGCAGGACATACACATCGTGACCCTTGGTGATCAGGCGCACAACAATCGGCCCAAGGGTGGATCCACTGGAGGTCTTCTGACTTTCATCGGAGGACCCTCACATGCAAGCGGTGTGCCTGGCCCTCTTGTACTCCTGGGATGGAAAACCTGGAAACTCCAACGAGTGGCTATCGGATCCACCGACGCTGAGGTGCAAGCAATGGTTGAGGCCGAGGACCTCAACTTCAAGACACGCCTGATTTGGGCAGAGCTCAATGGAGCGACCGTTGAGAAGGGCCACGATTTTCTCAAAGCTGCAGAAGAAGCAGCTTCACATGTTCCGGGCATCCTCGGCACAGATAGCAAAGGCGGATATGACGCAGTTGTTCGGCATGAAGGGCCAGATCTTGGACTATCGAATGCCAGAGCGGCCATTCAAGGGCATCAGCTCAAGGAAGGCATGAGACGTGTGCGTACCAAGTTGATCTGGCTTGCAAGCGACTTCAATCTGTCTGATGCTTTGACTAAACGTGCCTCAGAGTGTAGGCGCAGCTTTGTACAGTTTCTGCGCACTGGTATCTGGATGCTCCGGTTCAACCCTGATTACGTTGTTTCGGCTAAGAAAGCCAAGAAACAGGGTCTCGATGCTGTGACACAACTTCGTCAGGCCACACGGAAGGCCCATCAAGGATCAAAGAAACTTTTAGGACTGGTGCAACATTCATGTGTCCTAGGCTGTACCATGTGACGTTGATCCTCTGATGCCTTCCGGGTTCACAGCAGGGGCCCCTTCTTGAGTGTCGATCGCGAGCCATAGGCAGCAAAACGAAGGCCGAGTGCAGGTCTTGCTTCACTTAGCTCTCAGAGAGCTTCGGTTTACCTTCTTGATTGAGCCCATCTACGCTTTGCGCTTCGAGGCACATTCTGAGGGTTTCATTGCCAGTGCAACTCCGCTGTTGCATACTCCTACTCCTACTCCTCCTGCTGCTACTACTACTGCTGCTGCTGCAACGGCTGTTGACGGAACCGAAAATTCAGCAGCATCACAGTCGAGAGAACAGCAGTCACAGTAGACATAAGAACTATCATAGGAACCATCACGACAACGACCAGGCAATCTGAACTCTCCTTCGCCCTGCCAGGAACCTTTTCCTTCACAGTCACGGGCGAGCTTCCAAGCCCCCTTTCTGCAAGCCGCAGGGCGGACAGATGCGAGAGTGCAGCTCTGCCAGAGCAAGACAATCCCATCCTTCCATCGTCCGAGCATGCCACCATGACAAGAAGACCATGCGGTACCCGGTGCCAGCATATGTACTGTAGCAGCACATAGCCATATTATCAAAGCTGCCGATTACCTTGCAGTGCAGGCCAGACCCCGCAGCAGAATGTCTTCTCCATTGTCATCCGGCGGTCACCAAGTTGCCTGGCGCCATGTGCTGACATGAAAGCTGTCCTTGAGACCCGAAGCTGCCCTGGTCCTTCCAAGAACATCTGCTGCAGCTTTTGGCCGGAGGTGAGCACGTGGTGGATGCTGCCTTTGACTTCGTTGGCTGGCAGATCCGAGACGCACCCTGGAGCTAAGATCAGCTTGGGGATTTTCGGGAGATGCTGCGTAGCGCTCAGATGCCGTCGGATGCCATCAACTTTTCTCCACATTCCTATGCCGTGCTTTGTTCTGGTCATTGAACGTCCTTGCGGGGTCGACGTGGTTGTTATTTTGGCTGTTGCATGGTTCTGGCGAGCGCACTGTGCAGTTGTCCTCGTTGTTTATGTTGGTGGTAGCATTGAATTTTCTGCGTAGCTGATGCTACATGCAGCCCTGACATATCTGTTGTCGCTGCTTGTTTGGGTACTTCTTCTTGGTGTGGCCGCTGCAGTCATCTAGTGGTAGCGGCGATGGTGGTGGTGGTGGTGGTGGTGGTGGTGGTAGTGCCAGTGGTAGTATAGGACTAGCAGTAGCAGGAGCCGCAGCAGCAGGAGGAGGAGTAGTAGTGTTGTGGTGGTGGTCGTCGTCGTCTTCCTCGCCTTCTCCTCGTCCGACATCTTGAGCACAATTACCTTCAGCTCGGTATCGTCGCCGTTTCCCCGCCGGATGTTTTTTGCACTTGCTGCCCTCCCCATCCCCCGCTACGACGAAGAAAGGTGTCGATCTCCCAGCCTGTCCTGGCGTGGTCTACGGCCAGCTTTCAGGAGAGCCCTGGCATCCTGGGCCAACCCCCGAAGCTTTCGGTACATGGGACTTAGTAGCTAGGGTTATAATTAGGGTAACTAGACTTATAACCCCAATGAAGGTACTCATAACCTCACTTACTAAGTCCCATGATCCTCCAAGTAAACCTTCGGTGCTTCAGCCTTTAAGTTACGTCAGAGGTGCCAGGAACATTCCAAGCAAGGGTGGGGAGTTCCTCGTTGTTTGCCGATTTTGCGGTCAGCCAACACTCGCCCGAATCATGACCTACCTCGTGTAGAGAGGTCCCCAGGACGACGTAGGTCGAAGGCGAAGGATTCCAAGCGAAATGGTTTGTGGATTGGACGTGCTTGCCCTTGAGCTTCAGCACAAGCACCGAGGATATCCACTGTTACCATCTCCTTTACGGTGCAACTGGCCACCATTGCGCTCCGGGCCATGCTAATTGGTTGCTCGGCGAGAGCAAGCTAAGGGCCGCCAGGGTACGAGCCTGCTTTCGCAGTTCCGGTTCCAGTCACCCTGGGCAGCTTGCACGAGGAATGAACACATGAACCGTTATTATGTGGACCCACCGACCCGAGAACTTCCCTGCGCATCTTTGCAAGGTTTGCCTCCTGGCTTTCAGCACCGCGTCCGAAGTGTGGAGGAGTTCAAGGTCTCCAACCAGCGACCCTTGGGAACAAACATTCGTCTTCCGGGTAGAAGCGAGTAGTCGGAGGGTGAGCAGGCAGGCCCATGGCAGTTTAGAGGCCATGGCCCGTCGTGCTCGGCTCGAACTCAATTCGACTGTCTACACGCATAGAGTGTTAAGCCGCAGTTTCACAATATACTATAATATAGCATAAGATTGTTTTGTACAGTATATGATACAATGTAAAAGCCCATCGCTCAGGATTGCCGCTGCTTAAGGGATCGACGGACTGGCTGGATGTGTCAGTGTTGGACCGTATCCTCATCTCCCTTGAGCCCGAGGACCATGGACTGCTTATAGGGCTGTGACTGGGAGTGCGGAGGCAGCACTAGTGTGTGAGCGAACTTCGATATGGGAGTTTCCGAAAATTAGGGGGTACCTTATTTAGGGGTCTCTAGAAACAGGATCCTACTATTTAGGGCACTGTATTGGGGTCCCCTACTTTCGGCAACTCCCATATGCTTTTGACAGTAAAGCCGATGGTGCTGCAGGATCCTGCAGTGGACGTGGGGACTTACATGTTCTCGTTCCCCGTTTCAATCTTTCAGATCTGCCGCCCCGGGCGTGGAGAGAAGGGACAAATCGACGCTCATTCGGTTCTGCAGCCAGGGAGTCCCCATACGTGCTTTTTTGGTTGGTGTAACCCTGCAGCGACTAGGTCTGTGAGGCTCGTGAGGGCCTCAATTGAGCTTCATGGTGTCTGAGCCAGAAGCACTATAGGTTTAGGGTTCCCGTAAGGGCTCCAATAAGGGCACAAAGGTTTAGGGTTCCGTGTCGTTATGGAGATTTCTTTCTCAGCTTGCCTGTTATGGCGCTCAGGTTTCCGGTGGAGATGCCGGCGGTTGCAGAGCTTCCGTCTGTGAACCTTTGGCAGCTGAGCTTCTGCAGCAGCCGCTATTGTGCCCTTTGGACTTCAACCACTTGGAGGTTCATGGGTAGTTACACGTTGGGCTATAATTAGGGTAACTATAATGATGACCCATATTAGGGGACTTATAGCCCCACTTATAAAACTACCCATGAACCTCCAAGCAGTGAGTGTGATGGTGTGAGAGCGTTCGTGAGCACTGCGGGCACGACTTCAACAATAGCCGGGTGTGCACGGATCCTACAGCACGCCATGTCTCCACGCCATGTTTGTGCGAGGTTCACCCCAAGGACGAGGCGAGCCCACATGCCGACTTGAGCCTGTACTCTACATGCAGATTCTTAGGAGGACATTAATATCCGCTCCATGGCGAAGCTTGGCCTTTCACTTGTGACAGGCTGTGCTCGTCTCCTTCCCTCTCCCCGGCTTCTTGCCGGGTGATGTCTCTTTGCTGGAGCAGCGCCGCCAGCAGCTCGCGCAGGAGGCATTTCGTAGGTTGTAGGTGTGGGGCAAACTGCAGGAACAAGACATAAACCCTTTAGGCCCTAAACCCTCAAGCCCTCCGTGGCCGAAAAGGGAGCGTCTTAGAAAAAAACCCTCAACTCAAGCCCTACCTCCTGAAGCATGCTGTCCACCCTTAAAGGGAACTCCAGAAAGTTGGAATATGGATTAATGGTAGGATCCCCTATAATTTACCTTAAATGGGTTACGATAATGATATTCCAACTTTCTGGCTTCTACTGTAAAGGCAGCCGGACGTCCCGAGACCGCCTCGGCACGTATGTGCTCCGGCCGCAGCATGCGTGGCTGCACGTCCCTTTCTATGGGTGTTTCTGTATAGTACAGTTTAGGAGAGTATAGTAGAGCATAGAATAGCATAACACAGCATAGGACAGTGGATAGTTTTACAGTGCGGCATGAGGCTGTGTAGTATAGTTTTTTTGTCTCAGGATGCGCTGGAGCATTCTTGCGGGCGCGCCTGTGCTTCTATGTTCCTAAGATGGAGCGGAGTCACCAGCATCACAACTGGAACATCGACGACCTCGAAAGCCCCTGGATATGGCGGGGGCTGATGTGCGAGGAGAAGGAGGGCTGCAGCGAGCGCCACCAAAACTGTCATGCGCTGCCCTGGCGCAAGCGCCGGCTGCTTGTGGAGGTGCACAGCTAGGTCGAGGGCGAGGTCGCAAGTAGGACTCGAGGCTGCGGGAGCTGGAGGTCGCATCCAAGGCTTCGCTGCCGGGATTGGAGCAGGGAAGCCCAAAACGTCCCTGCCCTGAAGCACGACGAAGTCTGAGGAGTTGAAGCTATGGCGAGGGCCTCTAGCCAGAAGTGTGCATACATGATTGCCAGCACGGTCTCGAAGAGACTTGGCCGTCTTCACAGGTTTCCACGACTAGGAAGGGACCAGGATTCCAAAGAGCCTCCACCCCTGCAAGAGACGCGAAAAAGATCCTGTGCCATGCCTTGCATCGTAGTGGATGTTAGACAAAAATCTTATTTGGCAGAGGCAACACAGTCCTCTCTGCGCAGGAGAAGGCAGAGCACTGGGCACAGCTGGTCAGAGAATAAGCTGCTTTCTTCCGGTTCTGGGAGCCTTCACTCTGAGAACGTCACAAATAGTGATTCGTTCGAAACAGCCCAGAGAATCTCAGAATGCTGCTCGATTGCTGGTACAGTGAGCTCTCTGAAAACACTGAGGCAACCTCTCCGGGATGCCATCCCCTCAAGAAGGAAAGCTCTTGTAGCGGCTGCAGAATTAAGCTATAGTACCCCGTCATAGACTTCATATAACTTTGCCATGATGGACGCCAAACCCCTTGTCGGACTAATTACCGCCCCTATGACATCACTTCTGTGCGTGCCTAAGCCCAAAATCCGAAGTCTTTTTGGCTCAAGCATAGACGACTGCTGGGATTTAGCAGAGCCGGGAGGTTTTTTTGGACATTTGAGCCATGACATGTTTGCCACGGAAGAGGCTTCTGGTTTTGATGTCTTGCCTTGCCGGACTGACCTGTCCTACTTGGGGACGACCGTCGGAAGTGTCCTTCTTGGAGCGATCGAGCCGCCGGAAGGGCCAAAGCTCCACACGCTTGGATGGTTCATTGCTGGGCAAGACGAACTGTGGCATCGCTGCTTGTTGCAACCATTGCCCTGTCGATATCAATGTGAACATCAATTTTGCCAAGATTTCGCAAGCAATTGCTTCAATCGGAGCGGACATCAAAAAATTGGATTCTGATCTGCAAAACATGGTGAAGGAAATCGGGGAAGGACTCCAAGCCATTGCCAAGGCGATCTCTCAGCTGGATGCTGGCATTCTCGCTGTCGGCGCGGCCCTCCTTGCTGACCTCTCAATCATCGAAGGACAGCTGGCAGGCAAGATCGACCTGAGCATATTGGTAAGCGAAGCTATTGAGGCTGTCCAGCAGATCAGGTACATCCAGAAGACGTACATGAATCCGCTGATGCAGAACCCGCGGGCTTTCCCAGAGGAAACATTGCAACAACTGCAGAACGACATCCTGGAACCGACGCGAGGTATCGGTTTCCAATTGAGCAAAATCCAAGATGCAATGGCTGGGCGAGGCTTTCCAGGCATCAAGCCTTTGCTCGAGACCTATCGGGAGAATGGTGCTGGATTCTTGCAGCTGGGAGAGGTCTTCGGTTTTTTCCTGGCCGTGCAATTTTACGGCAGTGCTCAGCTATACTGGGCTTCGCTGAAGACGTTTGGAAGCAGCCACACTGTCGACCTGGCCGGCTACAACCGGACGCAGAATAACCAGATAGCCACTCTCCAGGAGCAGCTGCTTGCTAGTTGGGGTCCCAGCCAATACTTACATCCGTGCCTTTGGGATGGAGGCTGGAACTGTGCCGTCGAAGAGTGCGACTTCCACAGTGCATGGTATCCATTTCCCAAACTGCCGGCTTCGGAGATCTTGGCGTCAAGCTGTTATTTTTGCAACACCATCTCCGCAGGTTCCTACTTCCAGGTCTCAATACAAGAGGGCAACGTGACCATGGCCGTAACACGGCAAACAAATGTGCTTCTGACGCTTGGGTTTGAGGAGGATTATACCTTTCGCTCTTACGGTCAGTTATGTCAGTTATGTCTTGCAGTGTCTGATTCAATCGGTGCTCTTGTGGGGAAGTACTGTGTTCGTCTTCCGAAACCTTCCGAGTACTGTCGAGCAGGCTGGCTGACTGTTTCGACCAACCAGACTCACGCTAGCGCCGATCTTGGCATGTATTGTGACGGGGATTTCGCATTTAACATACTGTCCATCCCCATGGCGAGCGCTGAAGTCGGTGTTGCTTTGACGCTGCTAGACAACGCCTCCTTGCAGCTTTGTGCGGGTGATTCTTGTGAGCCTGTCCCACTCGTACCTGTGAATCGGACACAGGTGAACGTCACCACCACTTGGGAGAACCGAAAACTACCTCACCCGATTGCTTACGAGGGATGCAAATGCATCAATCCTGAAGAGTGGGTGACGGTGTCACCTAAAGCCGGTGCTTCGGGGCTTCGATGCGCAGCCTTGTGTCAACACGCTTTCCGGTTCACAAGGAGTTATGCGTCCTCTTCCTCCAGTGTAGACGGCGCGTGCATGTGTAGCTGGGCTCTTCCGCAAGAAGATTGTCCAGGCGAGTGCGTAGCATGCCCGCAACTGCCAGCAACGTGGTGCTCCAAGTCCAAGAACATGACTACGGCAGCCATCTACACGTGGGACTCCGACACAGGCAACCTCCAGTTTGCCTGACGTGCTGCGCAGATTGCTCCGAATCCGAGCAAAAGGATGGCACATCAAAATGAGAAACAGGCATTGGCACTGGTCACTCCTTCCGGATCATATTACGTCATGAGGTTTCCTTGAGTACTTTATCGTAACTCATGCTGTTTCTTGCCCATATCATATGTGCAATTTTCCTGAGTAGCTTCCAGACTTCTACAGTTCTGAATCTGGCTGTCACAGTCTTTCCTTGAGAGTTTTTATTGGTTTGGCTTTGTTGATTTAGTTCCTCCGGGCTAGATTTTGCAGTAAGGCTCGGCATCCAAGTATGCTCACCAGTGATCCAACGCGTGCAAAGTGGTTTTTTGCTGGCTTGTGCTGTGCCCGTGCTTGTTCTGTTGGATAGTAGTGGCCGGCTTGGAGTAGCTGGTAGTTCAGTTGTGTTGACGCACACCGTGAGACTGGCTTGTCCGAGAGTGAGAGGGGAAACCCTATTTTACTGAAGGCCCCCATAGAATTGTTTCACTGTGTGCAACAGGCTGGCCTCTGGTCTCGGGCCCTCCAGCTCTGGAGATCTTCCGCTTGCCTGGGTGCTCCTGGCCCGGATTTGAGGTATAGAGCTTGGGGTTTGCGGTTGAGGGATTGGCATCGGAAGATCGGCCGACTTCCCGAGCCCGAATGCAAAAAACGGCAACAAGGGTTGAGGTGGAGTGCGCTTTTGGCCTGGCCTGCTCCAGGGTGAGGGCAGAAATCCTAAGTGACCGTGCCGCGCGCAAGCAATACCTGAAGTGACGCGCGTTGAGTTAGTGCCAGTGCAGAAAACTGGCAGGTCTACAGCCTCGTGTATCAATTGAGAACTCGCGCAAGCTCATGACTCGGTTTGGCATGTCAACTCCGGAAGCAAAGCAGCAGGACGTCTGACCTCTGAACGCATTGCGGGAGCCAGCCAGGCTCAGCTTCAGCAGCCATGGGCCGGCGAAGTTCGAACCTTGGGCGTCATCCCAGCCACACGGAGGCGATCTCCACTGCATCCTGAATGCCGCACTGGTGCTGGCGAAAGAGCAACTTTAGATGACTCCTTTCGCCTCTCGATGCAGTTCTGCCGATGGAAGGTCGCATCCCGCGCCTTCAGCTGGAGGTGCGGTTGCGCGCACGAACACAAGCCCGACTTCAAATCGGCCCCTTGAGGAAAATGTATATGATATCCAAAATATGTCATCCATACAAAGGGAACTTCCCGCACGTGAGCTTCGGTTTTGCAGGCGGCAGAGGATCACAAAAGAGTGAAGCACCGCATTAGCACTGGCAGCGACGACGGCAACCACGCAACGACAGCATCCTCGGCGCCAGCACCGACACCAGCACCTGCCTGCCCGGTGACTATGTCGCTCAGCTGCGGACAGAATGCAACAAGTTTGCCGCCAAGCTGGGGGACTTGAAGACCGAGGCGGCAGAGTTGCAGTCTGCGATCGACCTCCGGCACAGGGACTGCGATGAACAATGAACAGCAGATAACAGCAGTATGAAAAGCCATGGTCCGTTCAAGCTCCATCCGGGACTCCATGCTTGGACTTCAATGCATGGATGCTGGCATCGAGGAGTGCACCCCTTTGCGATCTCCGTGTGCCAGACCTGTTGCCATATCTGAGTGTGCAGGATTTGCTGAATTGGCTAATATTCCGCGGCACACCAGAAGCCCCAAGGTTGATAGACGATGTGGCCGAGATGGGCAGCCTGGAGAGACAAGGAAGTCGCTTCCGGAAAAGATGACACGGAAGCGACTCGAACACATTTGATACAGGCCACGGCCGAGACGCCCAAGTTCTTCGAGTGCGGGTGGTGGTGTATTGTCCTGGCGTCGACAAAGACCCGTCTTGCCGAAAGCCATGTTCGACGCATTGTTGGCCAGAATCTGTCGGAGTGAGGATGCCGCCATTGCTGCCGCTGGCAGGCACCTTGTCTCGCGCGATGCTTTTTATGCCCTCCCGTGTCTGCAACAACTGACAGCAGAGGCCGTGCTCCATCTGATGGAAGATCTGGCGAGCAACGTACCCGCCAACAAACAGGCTGATGAGAACGTCTTGCATCAATGGGCTTGCGCTAGTATTGCCTCGCAAGCCTCAACATCAGAAGCGTGCGTCCCTTATGGTCCAGCTGTTGATGGACGCGCAAGTAACCGAAGAACGAGTGATCTGGAGGCTGAGGCTGCCATGCCTGGCTGATGACGACCCCACTCGACCTGCAAGATGAAATTCTGCTTCTCATGCGCTGCCGCTGTTGCTGAAGTCTGCCGATTCCTGGCTGAGAGTTTGCCGAAGCAAGGTAGGCCATGTGTCAAACTCCACCGTTGACCGTAGCCTGCGGCACTGCTCGCTACTGTATGTCATCTGTTTCTCAGCCTATCGGACCATGGGCGCAGTGTGTGATGCCTGGTAAAAGCCGATTGCGAATCGAAAGACCTCACCTCGCTGGACCGAGTTGTGGGCGCGCAAACCGTCAACGTCGATAGCAAATCAGTAGTCATCTGCCTGTGGTCCTGCTGCAATTAACCCGACGACCTGCCGGTGGCCAAATCTGGCGAGTCCAAGTGTGAGGGTGCAACCCGTAGACTTAAACCCGGAACACCTTTTCTGTATGGACAGCCTCGCCCACTCCACCACTAAGCTTTAAACCACCCGCCCAAAGATAAATGAACAGGATAGGCTTACAGTCCTTACATGGCAGGCGTCGATGTGGTTGCCTATGGCCATGGCCTCACCTGCTTTTCGCAAACTATGCTGTTGCGAAGTTGCTGAAGTTTTCGGATTTTCAGGGCTGTTCGGTCGTTCTAGGCTAGAAGGTAAAGGGTTTCTGCTAAGCAGGTGGCAAAATCATGATTCGTGCTATTGCTGTCGATCTGCTCGCACCCATTCAAGCACACAGAGCCAGAGGGACGAACACATAGATCGATAGTTGGGTAGTACAAAGCCACAGGTATGCATGCACTAACATGCATGCATGGTCCAGCTGAGACTAGATCATGTGCGTCGGTGACATGTGTGTTTGTATTATGTGCCTAGACTCATGATCCTGGATTGCCTTGTCAGAAAGCCAAAACATCGTCAACAAACAAAGATTAAAAATGAACAATTAAGAATCATATGTAAAATGTAAATCCTAATCCCGACTCACTCAGACTCTAAAATCTCAAACGAAAACCAAGGGACATCAAGTTCTGCGTGGTCACTCAGAAACAAAATTCAATAGCAAGACACAAGCTTTGGATGCTCGTTTCAACCAACACCGACTAACAACCAATTTCAACCAACACTCAATAACGCCTTTTGTGTAAGTCGTCATATAAAATCGAAGAGCAAATCAGGGTTAAGCCGTCATCCAAAACAAGGAAACCTTCAATCACATTTAAACCATAGGAAAATCATATTCAACACCAAATAACAAACAAACACCAATGAGGAGCAGATGGAACATCACAGTTTGCACGCGCCAACATCGGCATCAAGTTCGATAGCGTCGTTCGACTGAATGTGCACGTTTAGTAATTACTCGTGACACGCATGATGTGCGCTGTTTCCGAGGAGACACTGGCCAGCGCCAAACTTGCGACCGGTTTAGAGTTTAGGGTTTTGGCATTGTGAAAGCACGACTTTTCGGGGTTACCACCACCTTTGGACAACAAACCCGGAAGCTCGTAACCGGAACACCTAAGCCCTATGCGCGAGGTAGCAGGTCCCGGGCCTGCTAGTGACTAGTCCAGCAGAGTCCAAAGCCCTGGGTCTGGCGGCCTGAGGGCCTGCTAATGAGTAGTCCAGTACTCAGTCAGTGCACCTGCAGTGCTGCGAATTCATAGAAACTGTTTTCAGATTCTTAGTTTGATTTTTTCCTGAGTTTTCGATTAAAACCGAAAAGTCAAAAATCCGTAGTTTTGATTTCATGTTGAATGTTTTATTGATTCCAGGGTTGCTCTTATGAGTGAAGGCCTCATAAGGGCAATCCAGAAATCACACAAAAAGAAACATTAAAACATCCAATCGAAGTTGTGCCGAGCGCTGCTTCTGTACAGGAAGATGCACGAAAAATGAGTGAACTTTCGGCAATGCAAGACTAGACTCGTCACTAGTACCCCTGAGACTGCCATAGCCTACTGTAATCCATGAACGACAAACTTGGTTCAAGTTTTGCCACCGCTGTGCCAAGGGTTTCGTGGGCAAACTGGCATAAGATGAAACTGAAGCCTCAAATTTTCCTATGCCGTTTCCTCCCAGGCCTTGCACTGGTACGGTGATTTGAAAAAAACGTCAGATTGAGCTCAAGACCAACGGGCTGCCAGTAGTCAGTTTCGGCGAGTAGGACACGACACCTCTACCTGACCTTGTCACGGTTTAGGGTTTAGGGTTTAGGGTTTAGGGTGCATCACTTTGACACTTTTCACGAGTTCAGGGGAATTCAGGAGAGCTACTAGCAACCAACGCCTCGTATGCCTGTTCCCTATACTACCTACGAAACTTGGTGACTTCGGAGGGAAGATTGAGACTCAATCGAGTTTTCTTGTTTTGGAATCGACTGTGATCAATTTTCATGTGTTTTTCAACCGGATTTTTGGATATAGAAAGAGACAACCAAGAGTCCTTTGATTTTCCAACCGTTTGTGCTTATTTTGCACCGAATTGGCAGCCAGTTCATCTTTGCTGCTGAAGCGAATTCTTGATTCGGGAAGTTACACCAATTTTCGTGATTTTGGTCTGATCGGCAATTGATGTCGGAATTCTCAACCAATTTTCTTTTGATTCTCTTACCGCATTGCTTTGATGATTGAATTGTCAACACCAATCTTTCTTTGATTTTGCAACAGACTGTTCTTGTTTGCGGAGTTTGGGGGTTGATTTTCAGCAGATTTAGCCTAGCTTTGATATGAATTTGATTTTCGCTTGATTTCAAGAGGTCCCTGTCCTATACGCTATCCAGGATCAGAAGCCTAAACTACCCAACTTCGAACGTTCCAAAAAGTGGTGGAAAGAAGACTCCGAAGCTCAAAGCCAAGCGGTTCCAAAGCAGGGAGGGGGATGACCATTGGCAGTAAACCGAAAGGGGGGCGGGAATGGCCAAGTACATGGCAGTAGTATATAGCAAACGAATACCCATGTACATGGCAGTAGTAAGCATAGTGTACAGTGAGTCACATATACACATATTATATGCTGTTCCGAACTTCGGCGTGCGACGGGGGAGAGCAGAGTCTGGTAAACACCGCACTCTGCACAGGGGTTGTGCCTTTAGGGTTGGGTTTAGAGGCTTAGGGTTTAGGGTTTCGTACGGCAGCAGCAATCCACACATTCCACCCTATCTGTCGGTGGCAGCAGCACATCGACCATGCGTGTGGGGGGGGGGGGGGGGGGGGGGGGGGGGGGGGGGGGTGTAGTGCGGAACCCGCATGAGCGCAGTTATTAAAGTTATGTATATGTATATAAGTATGTGTGTTTAACTGCGAATTCGTTCATTCATGCACTTTTATCTGTGTATATATATATATATATATCTATGTACACATACATACATACAGACGCACGCAAGTGTGTGCAGTTGCAGTACGTGTGGCTTGTGTTTGTTTGCACGGTGCACAGGCAGCACCATCAGCGCATGTGGCGGCCAATCCAAGGCCGAGAATGGCTGTCAAGGGTTGCACTTCAAGGTGCTCGGGTAGGTGTAGGTATCTACCGGGTCTTGGTTGAAGGAATCACAGATGGGCTTCTCGCAGGATTTCTGTAAGGCTTCCGAGAGTTTGAGATGATTTCTCGAGTTTTTGGGGTCACGTGTTGGAACGATCTTTGACATCACATTTGGAGAATTTGAATCATATCTTTTGGGGGTTTAGGCTTCAAGGGTGACTGGGAACGGGCTTAGTTAGAGCAGTTAGAGCTAAACGCACATTTGGGGTATGAGTCCCGCTGTACTTGCATTCCGTTTTATCCTTCCTGTGAAGTTGCCGAACTCTCCATGCAGCCTGAGCCCATGACTTGGACACATGACACTTTCCGGTTTTGCGCCGAGTGTGCGGGTGTTGAACAGGGCTGGCGGCGTGCACTGCACCTCATGACGGAGTTGCGTTCCGGGAGACTGGTACCAGATGTGGCTGGATGCTCGGCTGGGCCGGGAGTACGCTACGGATCCCCATGCTCTGTAGGCATACCCAAGGCCAGCCCACAATCGATTCCTTCGTATACAACATTCAGTGAACAAAGTTGTGCTTGCCTAGGCATCTGCCGGTCCGGATACGATGTGGGCCCGTGGGTTGCAGAACGTCTGGTGATAACTTTCCGAGCTCTCAAAGACCCCAAGAGCATCTGAGACTTTCCAATCACGATTGCGAAGCATCGCTCTTGACGCGTGGAACATGCAGACACTCGGAGGCTCATAGGTAGTTATATGTGGGGTTATAGGTCCCCTAATATGGGTTATGATTATGGTAAACAACTACCCAGGAGCCTCCAAAAACAGCAGAATGCATCGTGCTGCATGGGAACGCCCGAAACCCAAGGTCGCCTGCAACGCTGCGGCTTCCGCCCTTGCTCAGGCCTCTGGCTGGGAGGAGGCCCTTCCTTCATGATCTATTTTGACCGGTAGGTTTACATAAGATATATATATATATATATATATATACTCTCTCTCTCTCTCTCTCTCTCTCTCTCTCTCTCTCTCTCTCTCTCTCTCTCTCCACATGCATGATATATATATATGCATATGTATATATATATATATATATATATATTATTGCACCTACTTGTGCATAATATATATATATATATATATATTTGTGTTTATAGTCTTGCTGCAAGAGCAACAAAGAGGTTGAAATCTTGTCACCACCCTGACACCGGGTCATGACAGCCGTCAGGCAGAAGAGCTGCTTCAGTTCCTGAGCCGGTGGACACAGATACCGGGTTGTGCTTTGGGAAAACTTTTTTACAGTCCCTTATTTCCTCATAAAGGGAACCTAGTCATAAATAATTTTCAAAGGGTTTAAGTGTAAAGCACAACCCAGGAGATCTCAAATCTCCTTCAACAGCTGTCGGCTCCTCGGTTTGGGCTCGTCTCCTTGCGGCCAACGCTGTCGTTCAAACGTGGAAAGGTATCACGGTCATTCACAAGCTTCCTCAGTTTTTGGGCTAAGGGAATCGGTGGGTGCTGCATGACTCAGACATCATCATCACCAGCAGCATCATCATCAGGAGGAGCACTCGGGCAAGCAACAACAGGATTTGGCATCATGTTCATCATGTGTCACCTAATCAACATCAACTGTTGCGTGCATGCTCGGTATCTAAAACTTGCTGATTCTATCCTTTATTTGCAGTGATCTACCTTGTAAATGCCACCTTGATATCTATAAGGTTCTAGGTTTATACTAAGGTCTGATATAGCACATCAACTGCCAAGCTCTAAGCATCTCTCATAATGGTAATTCGATGCTGTGAATGAACAACTAGCACAAAAATCTGGGCATTTTTTGCATACGAACTTACAGCACTCAGCAGATATAATAAATATGAATCCGTAGGTACATGCCGTTCAAACACTGGGCGGGAATTAACTGGGATACCTAATAAAAAAGCTGACAACTGTGTTCAGTAAATGCCATCAACATGTGTAACTCTATACTAAGTTCTGGTTATATGCCAAACGAGTATTCAATAAAATGCTGAGAACCTACCAGGCTTCATCTAAGTAGTAAAGACGATTGCAAACATGCACTGCATCCCCCTGATCATCTATCATTTAAGCAGTAGTCAACGCTACATACATAGTATCTACGTACGATGGAAACATGATGAAGATACTGAAGATCATAGAACCACGTACCATCCTTGTAAGATTCAATTGAACCTTTTGAATTTGCTTGATGTTGTAACTTTGTCCCATATGTTTAACTTCTGCGTTTAACGGTATTGGATTTCCATTGTTTCACGTGAGAATATATCGTATCCCATGGATAGTCAGAAAAGCCACAAAATTCTGGGTACATGAAACAACCCCAAACGCTGCGTACAGGATTTGGCTTCGAATCCAAATACATCCCTAGGTAATCACATATTCACGTTTATCAAATGTGTATGTTTATATATACATACACATGTTTACAACACGCATACACACATAATACATCCATGCGCATATACATGTAGATGTTTATGCAGACATATATATGTATATGTACATGCATGCATATATACATATGTGTATATGTATATATATGTATATATACATATACACATACATATACACATCTAGACATATGTCCATACATATGTATTATCAGACAAACCGAACATACAGAGTATATGTTCATGTAGACAGACATTTAAACCACTGAGCTTTTTTGAACTGCTTGTAAATATTGCAACAAGCGTTTTAGCTTGGTATGCACATCTGTGAAAATCCAGGTGCCGGGTTCCTGGAGCCTACCGATCAGGATGCTAATGGGGTCTTGTGGGTAGGGTCTCTGCTTGTCAAGGTGCCGATGCCAGTGCCAAGGCGTGACTCCATTGCATGCTATTGCTTGAGGATTTTTAAAGGGGTGTTAGTGTTCAGGGCTTGGGGTGGAGGGGACATTGAGAGGTTTTGAGCAGCAGCTGGCAAAGAGAGCTTTGGGCAGGAGGGAGATGGAGGTTGTTGCCGCATGCATCCCACGCCGGAGGCTGCACTTTAGGCTTCCTACGCTAGTTGGAAAGAAGGATGTCCTCTCTGTTGCATTGCATGTCCGTGGGTGGTGTTGTGGTTTGTAACTTGATACTCAACCATTTTTCCACTTTAGGCGTCGAACTCAAACACAGGCGCGGCAGTGGAGGCGGCCGCTTCACTGGATCGGAACTCTAGCCAGGCTCTAAGAGTTGCTTGAAGATGTTGGCAGCTCGATGCCCTTATCTTCGACTTTACTGCAAATCGATTGGATTGTCGCGATTGTTTTTCGGCTCCCGCTCTGTGCAGTATTGGTATACTATACTATACCATACTACATATCGCTACAACAACACACTAGAGACGACTATAACATACTGTTACATCGCATTGCGAGACACTTGATGATGGCACGGCAGAGAGAGGGAATGTAAGTTTGCGAGAGTAGATCGCAAGAAAGCGCATGCTCGCAGGTTAACTCAGGCACTGCCGAGCGCCCAGATGCCACGAACTGAGACTTTGTATGGGCTTCTGAGGCTCACTATGGCGCGACGTCGCGAATCCCCCTTTCGGTCCGGCATCAACCCTTAACCCTCAACCCTAAACCGTGGAATCATGCCGTCGACAAGGGGAGAGCTGCTGGCAGCACATCCTTTACTTTGGAGTTTGTTCAGCTTAGTTGCCCATAGAGCGTCTGCGAAAAACGAAACGGCCCGAGTCTCAGGAGGTGTCTTACACCGCGAGCATCAGTGGCTTGAAGAAATGCGGCAGGCCCTGGCGCTGGATCCTTACTTCAACACTTCGGGTTTTAAGTAAGGCATGTAAGGCCAAGGCAACTATCACACTGCTTCTCATCCAAATGCAGGTACTTACAGGGCTACTTACAAAGTGCTCGGATCCTTCAGGTAGGTGTGGGATAACCCCACTGAGTGTACTTAAAACCTTCCTGAAGTTCCCTGATCCTCGTGGCTGCTGCAACAGCCATGCCTTCATGGTTTCGGGCATGATTGCCCTTAGTAGCTGAGTGGATGCACTTTACACTTGTTGGGCCACTATAAAACTGAAAGTGTACACCTTCTGGGGCTTATGAACTCAGCAACTAAGTGCAGACTTCTTTACCTCAGCTCCAATTGTCATCAAGTCCCCGAGGCACCGGTGTGGAGCCGGGCCCTTGGTGCTGAATTAGAGCTGTGCTGTAGACTGAAGCCATGTAAACCCTAAAGCCTAAACCCGAAACCCAAAACCCTAAACCGTGGCTGGTCAACCCTTCGTCCTCCCTGAAATCGAACATGTCTCCAACCTGACCGAAACGCGGCGAGGCTTCTTCGGAGCGCGGCTTCTTCGAGTGTGGAGATTAATTTCGCGACCTGCAATGCGCCTCGGCTTGGAACCACGGAACACCCTGACTTAATCTGGCTGTGATGGCACTACTCTCTCGCAGCCGATGTCTTGGATGGGCCGGAGCGAGTCTCTATGATGACTCAAAGAATCAAGGAAAGGAGCTGTTGTTATGACATAGCCCTCACCCCGACCAAGCTAGGCGGGTGGGAAGAATGCGGCGAGTGCAGTTAGGAGGCAAGAGACGCCCCAAACTGCCCTCGCTTGGCCAGTCCGAGTTTCTGAGAGCATAAACCCTAAACCCTAAACCAAACCCTAAAGTAAACCCTAAACCGAACCCTGCCCTAAACGAAACGCTAAACTCAACCCTACACTAAACGCTACACTAACCCATAAACCCTAAGAAGAACTACCAATGATCCATCTCCTTATGTCGATCGAGATGCAGGCGCTGATGGGTGCCTGTCAGCCTGGTGAGGAGGAGGACGAGGCGGCCATTGCAGTTTTCTTAGGGGTACTTAGAAATAATTTTTAAGTTTTGGCTATTATAATCCCTAAGAAACAGCTAAAATTATAGTTTTGCTAGGGTTCTAAGTTCAGTATAGTTTTAGGGACATACCATATTACACCCTACTATACTATACTGTACCATACTATGCTAGACTGGCTAGACTATAGCATGGTATAGCATAGTCTACTATAATACTGTGTAATCTAATGAAACCTAATCCAACTTAATCCAATAGTACATACTGTTATTTATGGTATGGTATACCTATGGCATAGTATACCATAGTATAATGCAGTATAGTACATCAGTATAAGATAAAATCGCATGATATAGTAGAGTGCAAGACGGCAGAGAGAGAGTGTGTGTAGAGTGTACGTAACTGTTTATGACATCGTAACATACTTTCACCTCATACCTGAAATGTGATGGTGTCAAGAGCGAACGGCAAATAATCAACCTCGTTACAACCGCGGTTTCCATCCATGGCTTTGCGCAACAGCCGCAGGGTTCGGGCTCAATGATTCCGGCAGGATGCGATGCTGATGATGGCCATGATGATGGTGATGATGGCGAAGCGCAAGGTTGAAAGAAGACTAGGACGGTGGAAACGTCCTTGCAGACAACCCCAACCCTGAAACCGAAACCCTCAACGAATGGTGAAAGTTGTTTGGAAGCCTTCTGAACTGCGCGTGAATGTGTCGTATAAAACGATGCTAGGCATTGGAGCTCGGAATTAGCCTGAGCTCTGGACTGTAGGCCAACAAGTTGTCTGTGAAGGCGGGGGTTTTGAATTAGCTTCGATACGTGAAGCTGCTTTCAACTGTTACTCCGAAGATACCCTGCAATGCGGGCATCACCCTCCTTGCCTGCCTTGTGCGCGTGTGAGCGTGGAAAAATCCTAAACCTTAAGCTCGAAACCCCAAACCTCAAACAGCATGAAGCCCTCAGCCACCAAAACCCTAAACCGAAGCTACCCTGCAACGTGGGCCTCGTCCTTGCGAAGTAGGAGGGAAAAACCGAAGCTACGCAGGGGGCAAAATACATCCAAAAAACCACCAAAACCCTAAGCCCCAAATAAACCCTGAACCCTCAAAAAACCGCAAACCTTAAATAAACCCTAAACCACCAATAAACCCATAAATACACCCTCAACCCACCTTTGTCCCTACTCCTTCGCTGCTGTGCGCCAGGCAAAGCTTCTCTGGAGTCCTGGGCTCTCCCTGCTTGCCGGAGCCTCAGAGTAGAATCTGGTAAAATATTAGTAACTGAAATACTATTAAGAGCAAGGAGAGGAATAATAAGACTAACAATAATGATAGTAACAATGTTAGCAAATGTTAGCAATATTATCAATACAGATAAGAGTAATAGTAGTCTCCCTGCTTGCCGGAGCCTGAGTGGCTCAGAGCCGGGCCCTGCCCTCATAGATTATCGTATAATGTACTTGGAGGATCATGGGACTTAGTATCTATAGGGTTATAAGTACCTTAATTGGGGTTATAAGTATAGTTACCCTAACTACAACCGTAGTTACTAAGTCCCATGATCCTTTAAGTAGAGTGGAGGGGAGGGGAGGGGGAGGGGGAGGGAGGGGGGAGGGGAGGGGAATATAGTAGAATCCTAATAGTAGAGAAGACCGTTTGAAATCATCCCAATATGCCCGCCAAGGTTAACCTTTAGTCCCCCAGGATACTCGGCAAGGAGGTAATGTGGAATAGCGTGGTAGAACGCAGCAGACTCTGGTATAGTATGATAGAGTAATAGAAGCATAGAATGTAGTAGAATATAGTAGAACATAGCGTGTTATAGTATCCACGTCGTCTGATGATCACGACACTCGCTAGATTTGGGTCTGATGATCAGGACGAGATGGGGAGATTTTCGATTGAGATGACGCAGACCAGCTGTCGTGCCACTCAGAGTTCGGCTTCCACTTTGGTGGATCTGGGCAACCTGGGTTCTTGTTACCCAGACCCCCAGGAGGATCCAAAAAGTAGATCCCTTGATGGGGGTTCCTATAAAGAACCCTTAGTAGTATGGGGCCCCGAATTTGGGGATCTACTTTCTAGATCCTCCCGGGGATCCGAGTAAAGGATTTCATTTGAATTACCATGATAGGAATCTACAGCAAATACTATGGTTTCCATATTATGGCAACTTAAAGTAAATCCCTCAACAAGAACCCTGCAAAGGGTGCTGCTCATCTAGGTTTGTCGCTTCAGTCGCTTGACTTGCATCTTGGACTCTTGGACCCACGGGGGACCAGCAATTGCAAGCTGTGCCTAGTGGCTTAGCCCTAAACCCTAAACCCAGCTGCTCTCTGTTGAATTGAGGCAATGTTCAGCTGAGCTGCCTTGAAGAGGGAAGCAAGGCACCAAGTCCTAGTCGCACTTGAATGGCTTCGCGTTTTAGAATCGACGTCGTCCTACGAGCTTCTCGTCTATGAATCCTGAATGATCCTCCTGGCATTGTGGGACTTCTGCGGCCAGAGCCGCAAATAATCCGGGCGGTGCCATGAGAGCTGATAATGACAACATTGAAAGTTTGCGACGCAGAGTACTGCTGCTTTGGTGCCGTGGCAAGGCGACTTGCAGTTGCAATGCTGAACACTAATGTTATTTTTTACCGCATTCTGACTACTAGTATGATAGCTATCACTATCGTTATCCTCTGTCTGAAAACAATTAACAATGAATGATAATTATTATCAATATTATTCTTCTAATTTTTGCTAGTACCACATTCATCGGCCGGCCATTCTGTTCAGCTTTCAGACTGAACGGTACCCGGGCAGGGGCCCAAAGCTCGGTGCGCCCGGCTGCACTTCTTCTGAGCAGCTTTTGAGACTTGCAGGGCGGTTTGCGGGTTGTTGCGGCTCATGTCCCTTTGGGATGAATTCCTTGGATCACGTTGGTCTTCCTTTCATTGGCGGACACGCCGCGACGCGGACTGTTCCTGCTTGGTGGGAGGTTTCCGATTTTCATTGTCCCCATCATGGCAGGCACCTGTGGATGGCGACCCTCGCTTTGTTTGCGGAAGAGGAGGAAAAGGGATGGCTGGTGCCGGACAGGCGGGCCAGAAGCCCTTACCCAACGCCCCGCGAGCCCGACAAAGCTTCTACCTCCTCAAGTTTCCGAACGGGAACCCATTCTGCAGGCGTACGCAGGGAGCCATCCTAGGCATCACGGCGAGATCACTGCACTGGGCACGGGCCTTAGTGGGATCTCTTTCCTCAAAGTAGCAGCGCCGATGTGCATCAGGACGGGGCGCTGAAAGTGCTTGCAGACATGGTCCATGAGGCTCCGGCTGCTTGTTGGTCTCGAAGAGATCGTATTGAAATCACGATGGATCTCTGCCGTTCGCGGTGGATTCACCTTCATTGGGGTCCGAAGCTGGTTTTCAGTGGCACGAAGACCTCAGAAGAAGTTGGAGGATGTTGGAGGATTGTCTCGGTTGAATCGCACGGAAGCCCTGGGAGGCCGTCGGAGGTGCGTCGAGCGCCGATCCGGACGAGGTGACTGGCATGACTGGCCAGTCGGCATCACTTCCTGGTGCTCTGCTTCCGCTTGAGGCACATTTCGACCTGGTTGTCTCGGCCTGTGTCAAGGGCGCGTCCAAGGCTCGGCGGTGAGGTGAAGAGCTTGAACCGAGTACCTTCTCCTCTGGTGACTAGCCACACCACAAGAAAAGATGTTGAGAAATAGAGCCACGAACAGGCCTCGCAGATGGCTGCGCAGCATGCTCAGTGCAGAGAGAGAGGTCAGCAGAGCTGTAGCTCTGCCGGTGCAGTCGCCGAACAGTGTGTTCTTGCGGGTTCAAGCGGTTGCAAGCCTCAGTGTGCCCCCTTATCCTCAGAGGCCCCCACACCCCACACCCCTAATAGGCCCGGAACGCCCATAAGTCCGTCGGAGCCCTCTCTGCCGCGGGCACTTCCCAGCGCCCCGCGCAGCGCAGCTATGGCCGGTGATCCGCCAAAAGACGCGAGCAGAGCATGATCCGCCGGGAGCGCAATGATCGGCTGTCGGTGTCCGAGGTCGAAGAAGGCGAGGTTCGCTCGCTGGCCATGCGAAAGGCCATCTCGCTGCTCCGGAACTACCTCTACAAGCAGGAGAGCTCCATTCTGAAGTCCTGGTTCAAGCACTTCGACACCAACATGAACCTTTGTCATAGTTAGGTAGCATCTTACATTTTTTATGGGTACTTAAACCCAATCAGGAATCGACATGTACATTTTTAATCCTATCCCAACCATGACCCAGGAACGGCTTCATCGAGAAGCGGGAGTTTTTGCAGAGCCTCTCTAAGATGACCGGGGAGGCCCGGGAGATTTCCGACGAGCTGGAGCTCTTAGACTCCGAGAGCATCAGCCTACGGGAGATCCACGAGGGCGCCTGGGTTCTTGCTAAAAAATACCTTTATAGTTGCCTTAAAGGAGCCCTTGTGGTAGTTATAGTAGCCTTTAAGAAGAGCCCTGTAAGGCTAAACCAGGGCACCTAGGTGGTTCTTGTTAAGGAACTGAATATTAAGTTACCACAATGGGGATCTATGGTAACTTAATCAATATAGGTTAGCATATAATGGGGATCTATATAGACCTATGGTAACTTAATCAGGTTAGGTTTCCAGACTAGGGATCTTTTAGGTTACCAGAAGAGGGATCTATAGATCTATGGTAACTTAAGCCATTTAGGTCACCATAATAGGGGTCTATGGATCTATGGTAAAATCAATCAATTTAGGTTGCCATATAGGATCTATAGACCTACGGTAACTTAATCCATTTAAGTTACCAGAATAGGGATCTATAGATCTATAGCAAACTTAAGCAATTCAGGTTACCATAATAGGGATCTATGGTAAGTGTGTACTATGGTATCTTTACCATGGTAACTTAAAGTCAGGCCCTTCAAGAAGAGCAAAGTACCCCTATCGTTGCCTTAAAGGAGCCCTTATAGTAGAAGCCAGAAAGTTGGAACATCAGACTCCTCATGCCCTGAAGGTAAAGTATAAGGGATTCTAGCACTAATCCTCCTAAAGCCATGTTCCAACTTTCTGGCTTCTACTATATAGTACTTATAGTAGCCTTTGAAGGAGCCTTTAGGGCTTTGAGCCCTAAACCCTGAAACCTCACTTGAATTAAATCCCTCAGGAGCCGATTCTTGCTACGGAACTTAGTTTAAGTTACCATAATAGGGATCTATGATAAAGAACATGGCTTCCTTATTATGGTGATTTAACTTAAGGCCCTTTTCGTTGAGCCCAGGCATGGCTTTGAAGGTAGTAATTATAGTAAACCTTCAAGGAGCCCTTATAGAAATTTCAGTAGCCCTTTAAAGGGGCCCTTACAGTGATTCTAGTAACTTATCGTAACCCTTACAGAAGAGCCTTTAAAATTGAAGAAGAGCCTAGGCACAGCCTTAAAGCCCCCTTATAGTAGCCCTTTAAAGGAGCCCTTCTGATGATTATAGTACCCCTTTAAAGGGGCCCTTACAGCAATTCTAGTAACTTATAGTAACCCTTTACAGGGGCCCTTAGAGTAATTATAGTAGCTCTTTAAAGAAGAGCCCAGGCATGGCGAGCCTCTGGAGCCGCTTCCGGAAGTTTTGCGGCACCGCCTTCCTTGGCCCCAAGGATCTGCTGGCGAAGCTCCAGGGCATCCGCCTGGAGTCCGAGGATCCTTCGGTTTCCTTTAAAGGGATCCCTTAAAGGACTACTGTATAAGGGGTACTACAGGGGTTCAATTAAAGGGATCCTCAAAGTTTAGAGTTTCCTGGAGTTCGAGGATCCCTTGAAAGGGATCCCTTTAAGGGCTACCTATACAAGGGGTAATTATGAGAAGGGATCCTTTAAAGGATACCTATATAAGGGGTACTATAAGGGTCCTAGAAAGGGTTTAACGTGGAACCTTCGGTTTCCTTTAAGGGGATCCCTTAAAGGACTACTATATAAGGGGTACTGCAGGGCTTCCTTTTTTTGGTGGAACCTTAGGTTTCCTTGAAAGGATTGGTATATAAGGGTACTGTAAGGGTTCCTTTAAAGGGCTCTATAAGGGTTTAGAGTTTCCTGGAGTCCGAGGATACCTTTAAAGGGATCCCTGAAAGGGATACCTATACAAGGGGTACTAGGAGGGTCCTATGGAACCTTAGGGTTCCTTTAAAGTTCTCTATGAGGGTTGAGAGTTGAGCATACCTTGAAAGGGTTGCTGTATAAGGGGTACTATAAGGGGTTTAGGGTGTAGAGTTGACGAAAATTAGGGGTAGCGTATTTTGGGGTCCTTATAATAAGGATCCTACCATTTAGGGGTACTATGTTACGGTCCCCTACTTTCGGAAATCGTCAGGAGGAGAAGAGGTCCAACCAGCGGAAGCAGGACTTAGGCCTCTCCAGCTCCCCGAGCCTGCCGCTGAATCTTCGGGGGACTTGGAAACAGCTTTGAGTCGTTGCTTGCTACAAAATCCCTAGGGGCGAAGGTATAGCTATAACAATAGTTCTTGAAAGGGTACCCAGTTCCGTGCAGGAACATGCGCCTAGCAAGCCAGCCTTTGGTGGTGGACCGGGATCACTGGGAAGAGCGGTTGCCTCGTTGTGGCTGGGCCGGAGGCAACGAGCGGCTCCTTTTTGAGGCCTTGGACCTTCACGACGAGGGGCTGCTGGGACAAAGGAATTTCTTTTGGCTGGACGCAGAGGTCCGACGCTTTGCCTTGAAATGTGAGGCGAAGCAGAAGGCTTCGGAAGATCACAAGGTTCGAATCGCTGCCAGGAAAAAGCGCCAAAAGGCCCTCACGGACTTCAAGGCATATGTGAAGCGACACTTCGGGGACAGCTATCACGCCTGGCGGCGGGCGCTTGACATCGATGGCACCATGAACCTGCAGCGAGCTGAGCTGTTTAAGGTCTGTCGCCACCTTGGCTGGAAGGGCGATGTGAAGCTACTTTGGCAGGCCTTGGACTCGGATGGCGCGGGCACCTGCTCTCTGCAGGAGCTCGATGCACGCTGTGCCCGGCAGCTGGCACGCTTCCGGCGCTGGGCAGAGGTGAAGTTCGGGATTCGGCCGGCGCATGCGTTGTGGAAGGCGGTGGACCGACGTAACAAGTACAGGCTTACGCATGAGAGCTTCCAGAAGGAGTGCCTGAGACTCGACGTGGATTTCGAGGAGAAGGAGCTGAGCGAACTCACACGCTGGTTGGATTGGCAGGAGAAGAAGGCCATCACCTTGGAAGACCTCCTTTTTATGGATCTTTGGAAGCCTCCCGCTTACTTGGTGGCTCAACCGAATCCGGTGGCGGCAGAGGATATTCGGCAGATGTTGAAGGATAAGTATGGCCATCTTCTCCGTGCTTGGCGGCAGGCAATGGACAAAGACAACTCCAACACCTGCAACTGGTACGAGTTTCTCGCAGCGTCCCGGTCGCTGAACTTCACGGGTGACGTGGCTGGTGCATGGCTGCATTTCGACAAGGATCTCAGTGGAGCCATCTCCCTCGCAGAGATCGATCCCAAGTCAAACGACATGATGGTGGAATTCAAGAAGTGGGCCGACGGCGAGTTCGGCGGAGTTCGTGCAGCATTTCGCGTGCTGGACAAGGACAAGTCGGAGACGCTCTCCTTTGCGGAGTTCCGAAGCTCCGTCGTGAGCTTCGGCTTCACCGGCGATGAGGTCACCTTGTTCAGATGCCTGGACAGCGGACAGGGGAAGCTCCACCCACATGAGGTGCACTTCCTGGACGATTCTAGGTCATGGTTGGGATTGGATTAAGAATGTACATTTTTGTTCCTTATTGGGTTTAAGTACCCCTAAAGATGTAAAATGTTACCTAACTATGACAAAGGATTGGGACACCAGCGCCCCAGACGCGGCTTCGGAGCCGAGCGTCGACTCGCTACAAACGCGACCTCGCAGCCAAGGGGGTTGGTCCCGAATGACGAAAAGCGGGAGACCAGGCTCGGTGCAGGAGTCGATCCTGGAATTCTACACGGATGCGCCGGGACCGGGAAGCTACGAGCTGCCTTCGGCGTTTGCTGCGAAGCCGAAGACACCAACTGCCAGGCATTCTGGCACCTGGAGCTTTTGCAGCCGGCCGGAAGCCGCGTGGCTTCATCAGCTCAAGTCTGTCGGCCCAGAGGCGGGGCTATCCCCTGCACAGCCGCGGCGGCGCCCACCATCTTGGACCTTTGCCCGTACCTCACGGATGGGCAACGGCAGGGCCGCATCTCCGGGACCCGGGAGCTATGAGGTGCCTGTTGTAGAGGCTCCGAAGTTCTCCATGGGTATCAGGCGCATGGCCAGGATGCATCCCAAGGCGTCGCCGCAGTTGACGTATCCCGGGAGTCAAGCGAACAAGAAGATGCTGTACAGCTGCTGAGGCCGCAGTTCAGTGTCCTCGCCTCTCGTTTTTGTCTGCTATCCATTGTACATACTTGTGCCAGTTTGTGCCCCTTGGCAGTGAACTTGCTGTCTTCTTGGCCCTCTGCATACTCGTGACTCAATGTTTCGCTTGGCCACAGTCTTCGAGTGTAGAACGGACAGAGCATGCTTATTGTTCTTTTCTCTTCTCTTCGTGGCTGGGAGAGGGCAGACCTGTCAGATCCGCCTGGTCTCCAGAAAAGCAGTACGCGACTCGCTGGCAAAGCCAGTGTTGCTCGCGCGAAGTCCGCTCCAGAGAGTCAAGTCTCACAGCAGAAAAACCGAGGAGCGGGGGACATCTCTTGGGGGGTAAATTGGGTGAATTTTCTGCAGGGCTCCTTTTAACATATTCGGAGTGTGGGAGCTCGTCAGGTTTTTGGATAGGCAAAGCTCCGAAAGTACTAGTACCCTCTTGTCAAGACTACGCTCACACCTTTCGGTTCTTAACCCGACGTTTGCTGCGACCCTGCTCTTGACTCGCGAAGCTTCCGAGTTCCCCAAACAGTCAAAACCTGCAACGCGCAAAGATGCCCGAACGAGGCGTGGTCTCCTCAGCAACACGCGCTGGGGCCTCGGAGTGGGTCATCCCGCGAGAGGGTGCCATGTCTCCTCAGCTCAGTGAGTCAGCAAAGCTCCCATTTGCCGAGGGGCCGCCTTGATGACGTCAGCAGCTGAAGCTCGCTCCAGGAAAGATGGAACAAAGATCGGGCGTACGGCCAATAGCAATCAATCTCAATATCAATTGCAGCATCAACATCAGTATCAACGTATCAGTACCAAACAGAGACAAGATCAACACCAATATCAGTACCATACAGGCGCGCATACATGCATACACACACGTACATACACAATACCTGCACATACACACACAGACATTCATTCATACAGAAACCAACACATGTAGAGGAGTCGGAGTAGTTAATAGCTGGCTAGAATAATACGAGGCCGATGGGTAGAATGATATGTGAGCAGATGTACAATGAGGGCCAGCAGCAACCGATGTCATTACTTGTCCAGGGGCCTGGCAATCAGCACCTCCGACCAATTCCTCCGTGCAGTGAGAGCAAGACAGCACGCTGCAAATCGCGAACCCGGATGGTGCATTATCCGCAGCCTTTGAATGGCTCCGAGCCATTCCTCGGTTGGCTTCCAAATGCAATGTTTTCAGTTCTCGCCGTGGGCTGAACCTGCACTTGGGCATGGCATGGGCATGCATGGGCTGTCGAGGGAGGCGGGTGGCATGGAAAGACAGATCCCCATGTCAGGTTCCTTTCATAACCGTCGTGCTCTGTGTTTTCGAAGCCCGGCTCCTAGAGCAGTCCGTGATCCGGAGAGATGCGGACACCGGAGTTATCCCGCTCCGCCTGTTCCAAGGCCGGCGCGGTCGAGCGAACACGCGCGCTCGTGAGGCAGCTGGTGATGCTGCGGACTGAATCAAGGTCTAAATATAGTTAAATTTTACAGTTAAATATGTCTAAATGTCTGCAGACTCGGCAGCCATGCCTGCATAAGTCAAGGTTATGATCTGCATGCATGCAAGTGTGCACGTAGGGAAGCAAGCGGGCGAACTATGCATGTATGCAAGTATGCATATATGTATGTACTGCACACAGATATATCACTGTGTGTCTGAGTCTGAATCTGCCGTAAGCTGCAGCTTCACAGGCGGCATGGGGCCCTTGCGGAAGAGGGCACAGAGCCTGGGGCTCGGCCAACAGAGTCCAAGCATGATGACATAGGCTACAAGAGCCGATTGGTAATGTATCGCAATGGAACACCATAATGTACAATAACACAATATAGTGCCATACAATAATATAGGGCGACAGTACTACAATATAACACAATATAACGCAATATCTGTTTCAAGTCAGTGCAGTTCAGCATAGTATAATATAACATCATAAACGAAAACACAACAGTCGCTGCACCCCTAAACCCTAAACCCTAAACCCTAACCTCCGAGCTTTGATCCGGGGGCTCAGGACCTATCTGACTGAGCTGGACTCGGACGCTGAGTCCGCAAGCCCCACCCAGGACCCCATGGGGCTGTGCTAGAATCAAGCTTAGATTATACATCATATAGTAAAAAATAAATGTGTATTACATAGTATATACTAGAAGTTCTTGATTAATTATGTATATATATATATATATGCATATGTTATCATATTGTATTGTTATATCAGATTAAGTTTTATAGTATATATAATGTATCAGCCTGCCGCTCAAGGACATTGAGTGTGACATCAGTGGGTTGTTCCACGGCAGAGGGTGTCTGTTGTTGGGAACGCTGCGGAGCTTAGTTTGTTGCATTGCAGGTCGCACCAGACCAGTTGTTCTGCTTCCTTGGCTCCTTAAAGAGGTCTATAAGGGATCTATAAGGGTACTATAGTATCAGGCACTAGGGCAGTGCCAAAGGTGGGAGTAGAGCAGGTCGTCCTCCACTTAATCTTGACGCGTTCACTCGTCTTCAACTTGCCTCGAAGCCCAAAGTGACGCTGTTTGGAGGGTCTGTTGCCGGACGGGAGGTGCCGGCCTTTCCAGCCAGATCGGGGGTCGGCTGTCGATATCCGTTCCTGTGCGGTGTCTTCATCTCGTGTTGTCGGATCTCTCTCTCCCTCTCTGTCAATTTATCTTTCTCTGCCTCTCTCGCTCTCGCTCTCTCTCTCTCTCTCTCTCTCTCTCTTTGCCGGTATGAGGACATTCGGTATAGTTTCTGATATATTGTGACGCTGTGGCGACCCACGAACTTGCGAGCCTTGCAAGGCTCGCCCCAAAGGAGCATGCCGACCTCCACCCTGGCCCCAGATAAGGGATAAGATAAGAATAAGAGTAATAATGACAATAACACACTACCAATTATGACAATAATAACAACAGTAGCAAAACAACAATAGTGAGCTCCTTGTCGGATTTCCTTGTCCTTCGGAAGGCCAAAGCAAGCAAGTCATGGGCCACAGCCTCAGACTTCCGCTTGATCATGCGTTGCTGTTTTGGCATGGCAGTCTCCCTTGTCAAAGGAAACCCTAAACCCTAAACCCTAAACCCTAAACCCTAAATCATAGCATCGATAGTCTTTATGTGGCTTTTATGCCACTCCGAGGTCTCATAATGCTAGCAACTAGCATCCTCTGCATGTTAATACATACACTGTCAGCCGCCCAACCAGTACAACCCTAAATATCCCTAAACCACTACGGAAGTCCCAAAGCAGGAGGAGTCGAAACCCTACAGCGTTGCGAGCTGCAGACAGATCAGCAGGGTACCGTCGACCGACGCATAAACCCATTTTTGATTGTCAAGCCCTTTAGCAAGTAAGGGTGACCGTGAACTGCTCAGGACTCGCTGCCGTGCGCTCCACAGCAGTGTGTTGTGCCTAGGGCTACTGTACTGTAGCGGGCAGTTAAATTCGGGACCTCAAGGTACCACGGAGTACCTGTTGATTTAGACCCGGAAACCCTTAGCCTTAGAGGAAGCCTTGAAGCACCCTTTGATCTCAGTATCATCTCTGAGGATAATTATTGGTTTCAAAATAAGTTGAGCTTCTTGTTTCAAGCTCCTGAGGGTTGGTAAGTTCAGGCCCTGCCGGGTTCAGGATCTAGGTGGAACTGGCCAAGCGATTCACGCCTGGGTTCAACCTGCACCCCAACCTCTAGGCCGTAAACGTTGCCGAGGATAGTTTTACCGAGCACTCTTTCTCTTTGTAAATAGAGAGGATCTGTATGTATGTATATATATATATATGTATATATATATATATATATATACATATTTATGTATGTATATATATATATATATACCATACATGTAAATATGTACATAGAGAGGGTATTTGAGGAGGGTAGGTCTGTAGGTATTTTCGGGATGTATGTATGCATGTATGCATGTATGCATGTATGCATGCATGTACTGTGTGTACCGTGTGTACACTTACATGTACATGTACACATACGTATACTTGCACATACACCTACATACATGCACGCATGCATGCATGCATGCATGCACACATACATACATACATACATACATGTTGAAGCACATACGTACACATGCATGCATGCATGCATGTATGCTTAAGTACAAATATGAAAATGAATAAAGCAATAAATATGTATATATATGTATATGTACATGTATATGTATATGTATGTATACGCATGTATACACATCTATACACCTACACACACATTTACACACACACACATATATATATATATATATATACACATACATATATACATATATACATATATACACATCATATATATATATATATATATACATACATGCACATGCACGAGCACATAAACATGCAAATGCATATGCATAGACAAGATACACATACATATACAGGTACACACACACACGCACATGCACACGCACGCACATATGTATATATATATATACACATGCATGCATACATAGGTACATCCGTTGCCGAATGCGGAGTCGGCCAGGTACTCCAGTTTCGCTGGAAGCATCGGTGGTGAGAAGGTCAGGTAGAGCCAGCATGCTGAAAGCGTCAGAAGATGACCAGTGCAGCAATGAGCCGACATTTTTTGGTTGAACCTGCGCGCAGGATCAGAATGCGTCGCTGAAGTCCGTGCCAGTGGAGGGGGAGCTGGGCAACAGCAGCGAGAACTCAGATCTGACGAGGAAAGATCAGGTGGAGGTGACTGGCGCTGGCACTGTCGTCGTTGCGAGAGTGAAAGCGCAAGCACCAATTGCTCCCACTGCCGCTCGACTGGAGTGTCTGGGTAGGGAATTGTGCTGTGTGGCATCAGACGATCAAGAACACCCGGTGCTTTCACAGACAATCGCCCGAATCTTGTAATCTCAGGCACGAGCTGCTCGAGCAAGCTCTGCCGAAGCAGATCTCGCGCAGGCAGGCTCTCCCAAAGTGGAAGCCGCTGTCATCTCAGCCCAGGCCACTGTCATGTTAGTGCATATTGGGGCGGGCCCTTGCGACCCATGCCAGGACAGTCTAAAACTACGGGTCGATTGTCTCGCACGATCCAACCATGGCAAGCCACCCTGCAACTCTGAGTCGTCACAGGCCGATCCAAGTCCCAATTGCCAGGGTCAGAGCGAAAAAGATTCCAGACTGAGTGAAAGTTCTCATGGGTGCCAAACAGTGGTTTCATCACAGTTTTTTCGGTGGAAGCTGAGAGGACGAGAAAGACTGTGTAATTTTGACAGGCCGAGCACAGCTTGGAGTCTGTCGAGGCGTCAGCTTCTCAGTCTCCGGGAGAATCCAGGAAAAAAAGCTTGACCACCGTAAACTAGTAGAATCATCCGTCATATAATATAATATGATATATATATATATATATATATATATATGTATACACATGTATACATCTGTCTGAGCCGTTGCAGTTGTTGTAGCTTTAGCTGCAGTTGTGGAGCACTGAGGCCTCCTGTGCCCGGCACAGGAAAGCCGCAGGCAGCCCCAGCACCTCCACAGCCCACAGGGACAGGGCCTGACACGGCCACAACGGCAGAAACAGCCTCGGCGTCGCCACCCATGGCGCCAGAACAGCCTGGGTCTCCACCCATGGCGCCTCTGCAGGCACGGCCCGGTGAAGATGCAGCCACACCCATTCAGATGCCGCTGCCAGCGACTCCCCGAGTCCTTGCCTCGTCACAGCCGCAGCCCGGGCAAATGCAGACTAGCGACCCTTCGCAAAGCTTGCCAGCACAGGCTGCCAGCCGTCCGGGAGAAGCCTCGATTCAATTGCAAGGTGATGCTCGGCAGTTGGCTGACATGCCTCCTGCGACGGTGCAAGAAGTGCGTCCCGTTGTACCACTGTCACCCGACGCGTCTGCCGCCGCGGGGCCTTTGAAGCCAGCGGATGTCAGCGGCACAATTCCTGCTGGCGATGGGGCGATCCCAGCCAAGACAAACGGGGCAACTGGCTCGCCGGCTGTGCAACCTGAGCCCGTGCAAAGCGAACAGCCGGCAAGCGTCCAGGCGCCAGCCCAGCCCCTGCTTCCGACAAGGAACTCTCCCTTGCTGGTTGCTGGAAATGCCACTAAGGAAGCTCCGGCACCTGCACCCGTTCAACTCGCGCGACCCGCCCCCCCGGTTTCGGCAGAAGTTGTAGGCACCCGCAGTGTGCCAGTGAACAACTCGTCTCCCGAGCCGGACAGTCAACACTTGCTGGGCAAAACCGTGCCCGAAGCTTCAGCGCCAAAGCAGGGCCCGGTTGTGACCATTGAAGCTGCGGCCGCCTCGGTCGTGGCCGGCCAAGCGTCCGCTGTGTCCGATGTGTTAATTTCCGTGGAGCCCACTGGGTCTCCGGCACCAGCAGCAACAGCGAGCAACAAGTCCACGATCACCACGCTGCGCCGTGTCTGCAAGCTGGTAGAGGGGTCCCCTTCGTACTTTCGTAAACCCGACTTGCAGGATTCCACCGCTTGCGGATTTGGACATGTTTGGACACTGCGGTTTTCCGACGCCGGTAAACTCAGCTTGTTGGGAGCTAGGCAGCTTGTAGTGGGAAGGGCTGTTGCATCATTTCCCAAACCATCTTCCACTCCATGCGACTCAGGAGATCAGAGCCGGCCCAGCACCTTTCCATAGCGCCCGCCAGCCTTGCGGAACAAGGAGCCCAGGCCAGGCAGGTCCCAATTGCATCAGGCATGATGCCTGCCACTGGCATGGCGACAATGCCAGCCAATGGTGGTGCCTCCGTCATGATGCCAGGCATGGCGACCGCCCCTGTAGCGGTCGCAGCCGCAAATCCCACTACAACTCCAGCCCCCACCACAGCTGCACCAACTACGGCAGCAGCCACCACTGCGGCGCCTACCACTGCTGCAGCTACCACCGCCGCCGCTACAACCGTCGCGGCAACCACGGCTGGAAAAGAAGGCGAAGATGAGAAGGACGACGCCGCTCGGAAGTTGTAATGAGACGGCATGCTTATTATTGCTTATCCTGGCGGAGTTGGCAGTTCCTTATCCACCCGAGGACGAAAGCGATGGGGGCAACCCTGAAGGAGGACATAACGGCATCCCAACTCAATTTAATTCACTCTGTCACTCTCACTTTCTCTGTCTCTCTTTTCACGCCTCTCTTTCTCTGTCTCACGGTCTCTTGTCTTTCTCGCTCTCTCACTATCACTCTCTCTCTCTCTATGTATCTCTCCCTGTCTCTCTCTCTAGACGAGAAGCCGGGTGCGGTGCTAGCGTCTTAGAAGAACAGCGGCTATGCGGAGTGTGCGAGTCCGAAGCACTTTCCAGTTTTTGTGAGCCTGGGCAATCGTAGTTATAAGTCGGGTTATAAGTAGGATAGCTAGAGTTATAACCTATGTTGGGGGGTTCTGCCGCCGCTGAGCCCGGGCGTGCAAGCTGTGTGTGCTATAACCTATGTTAGGGGACTTAGAACCCTCCTTATAAACACCCATTGGGAGCTTCAGGCAGCCATGAAGTCGTTGCTGTTGGCTCCGGCCGTGCCGAGGAGGCACCGGCTCCCAGCCTTTCGCGTCGACTTGGCCAAGTGTCACCCAAGAGTGAGCGTTTGATATAGAAGCCTAAATAATTACTAATACTATTCTTAGGTTTCCCTATAATAAGTATAGTATAATATACCCAAAACCCTATACTAATTATTAAGGCCGCTACATATATACTATAATATACCCAAAACCCTATACTAATTATTAAGGCCCCTACCTACATTGCCTGGGAAGGCACCGGTTGGGAAGACTCCACTTCTGGCAGCAGAGCATGAACTTTTAGTACGGGCTGCTGCATGTCTGGCTGTAGGAAAAATCAGGCTGCTACGTATGTGCCTTTACATGGGCACCACTTCTGACTTCTGCACAGACTTTCATTGTTCTGCCTTGTTCGCATTCCGAGGGCTCTCCTCATCCTTTCTCCATCTTCCCAAGGCCGCCCTCGATAACAGCAGTGCCGAGCCTACCGGAGACGATGCTCCCAAGGCCCTGAAAAGTTCTTTGCAGCATGGTTTAGGGTTTAGGTCGTGGAGAGCAGCGGAGGGCAGTGCTGGCAGTCATCAAGTCCGGTTTCAAAAAAGGTCGTGGAAAGCTGCTGCAGGCAAAAGTCATGGGAATGGACCAGCAGCTGCTTCTTACGGGTGTGGCGGCTGTGGTGTTGCCTCCTCAGAGCCGGTCACTGCCTTTTGATTCCTTCTGCACGGTTTGCAGTATGTGCCCATTGCACAGCCAAGGCTCATCGTGGTGGTGCCGGTAGGCACACAGCGCGGAACGACACCGATGAATTAGTTTCCTCTGAGCATGGGGGTAAAGAGAACCTCAACAGGATGCATGCCGCCATCCAAAGGCGTGAACGTGGCAAAGCAACAGCCCTCGAACAGAAACCGGGCAGGTGTTTTCTGCTGTTGCTGCCGGAGAAAGTAGCCAGACGCCGTTGTGGGAACTTCAGGCGAGGCAGTCACCCATCCATCCATGCATCTGCGACTCTGTGCGTGCGTGTGTGTGTGTGTGTCGCATCAGTATTCTGTATTGCGCAGCAGCACAAACAGACACCTCCCTCTCCCTCGCTCTCTCCCTCGGTGAGCGAGTGAGACTGCACGATGGCTACTTCAAAGATGTAGCCAGGTACCAGAGGACCAGTTCACTGACTGAGCTTCGCGATAGGTTGCAGACTGTGCTCGTTGGCTCTCCGGAGCCTCTGTCAACAGGACATCTGGCTGTGAGTATCTTGTAAGATCTTGGATGCGCTAGCTGTGGCGATGGACTGACACATCCACATAACACGGCCACAGCGCAACACGCTGGAGTAAATCAGCTGCACATGACAGTTTCCAACAAGGCAGCCATCAGGTTGGACATTTACTCAGCTTAGCCATACTGCTGCTAGATTTTGATGGACTCTAAAGCAAGAGACCCCTATCATCTTCTATCTACAACACGAAACGGTATCTGTAGCGTCCCAAGTTGTTCTGACACTCAGAACCTTTGGAACTTTCTTGCGTTTTAGTTGTTGTAATGGGCGAAACTGTACTGTCATCTCGCATGTCGTCCATTGCATTGGGCGGCGTTGGCGATGCTTGTCAATTCTACTACATGATATAGCAGGTGCTATCTAGGTATATTTCGATGTTCAAGCGCAGGTATACTACGTATTACAGCACCTCGCGTTTATGTCATTTACCGAGTATCAAGCAGCATGTAATGTGTACTGAAGTCTTCAAGCTCACGCTTCTATGGTACTACTTAGTTAATTACATAGCCTCTTCGTCCGACTACTTCTTCACGTAGGATGAGTGTCGTCGTGTCATAGCATCTGCATAGTTGTACAATTTAATTGTGCCTAATTACTCATGCTATGCAAACCGCTGCTGTCTTGTCGAGATGTCTTGGGCTTGCAAACCCGGCAGACTTGGCTGACTCAAAGGCTCAGAGCACAGAGCATCCAAAAGGCTGCGACACGCTGCACAATCAAGTTGCTTTTCAGATGATGCCCATCCAAATAGACATCCGGATGTGAGAGTCAGGTGGCACATCCATTACATGTGTCGTTTCTCTGAGTGCAGGCTGCAGTTGCGAATGGAATGGCAGGGCGAATCAGCGGTGCCGAGTTTTATGTTTGAGATGTGATTCAGTACGGCGACTTGTGCTGGTTGGGGTTTGCTGGCAGCACAACGGCTCGAGACAATGCCGCCTAGGCAAGCGGCAACGCCATTGTCGTAACAGAGCCAGTGTTGAAGCAAGAACAAACTGAATCAAGGGACGCAGCTGGTTCAACCGACTATATGTTCGCGCAGAGTAGCAAGCTTTAAAGAAACTGCCCGTTGAATCAAGCCAAGTCCAGTTGTGAAACGCTCTAAGCTAGTCGAACTAGTCCGGGGAGTTTGCCATACATGCGTGTTGGCATAATTTGAGCGGGCGGCGATCATGTTCGTCACCAAGTTCTCTTCGGGTGCCGGCATGGCCCTGATCTTAGCATCTCTCACACATGGGGCGAGAAGAAGCATCGGCTTCTCAAGATTTCCGGTGTAAATTCAAGCAGTTTCTGAACAGCAGCCCCTAAAACCGGCGAGCGCTCAGAGAAGCCCAAGACTGATCGTGAGATCAACTCCGAAGTTTCGCCGAAAATGGTGGTTTTCAGGATGCCGCAGATGCAGCAAGACTTGCAGTAAGCTTTCTGGACCAGACCTAAACCCTAAACCCTAAACCCTAAAATGTTGCCGCACATTGGCAGTTGTGTTTGTGGGACCGCTTGCAGAGGCGAGAGCCTAAAGGGAAGCCTGAGGTCTTTGAGTGAGTGCACTCGGAGGTTCATGGGTAGTTATAAGTAGGGTTATAAGTCCCCTAATATGGATTATAAGTATAGTTACCCTAATTATAACCCTTTTTACTAAATCCCATGATCCTTTAAGCAGAGACGTCCAGTGTGTCTGCTTCAAATGTGACTGGAGGATGCCATGCGCACGCTCGAGGCTGGCAAGAGTTCAGGTAAACAGGGTCAGGGATATTCTGGTGCCGACAAGTGGTCTCCAACCTATTCTCTACAAAGTTTCGTTCTGATGTGATGCATCTGCTACTTTCTGACTCTGCGCTATCCGATTCACAATCCCTTGCCATATCGAAAGATCGACACAGCTGTCGGTGTTTAGCATGGGACTATCTTATATGCTTTAGTACGCTACGGGGTACTTTCTGCGTAATCATGGGCTACGGTGGGGGGTGTATTGCAGTATGATATGCAGCGCTTGACACCCGTGATGGTAGCATATCATCCCGTAACAGAGCATCTGGCACTCCGAGCCTACGGCGACGGTGCATTTCTACCGTTTTGGCTATGTTGTGGACCCTACAGACCTTGCCTGGACATGTCCGAGTGCACCCTAAACCCCAGGCACTGTGCCCCCCGAAGAATAGGAACCGCAAACCCACAAAACCCCAAATCCCACGACCCCTAAAAAAACGTGTGCTCCTGCAGAGGGCAGCGAGACCTCTGGCGAGGACCTTGTGACGAAGCTAAGTTTCGGCCCCGGGTTCCGCGATCCTAAGCCAGACCTCAAGGGGTCCATCCCGTGAGCGATTACGGTATTCTGCTAGTATACTAAACATGTGCTATGCAAAAATGCACAGTATTATACCATAGTATGCCAAAGGATACTGGATTATACTCCATTGAATTATGGCAAAATACTTTGATACTGTGTCAGACTATAACCGACTAGATTATACTATCTTCGTTCTTTGTTTTGTGCGACGGATTTGCGAGTGGCAGTAGTGCATGGCTAGCTCATGATTTGAATTCGTAATTCGGCCCAAAGTGTGATGTTCGTAGTCTGTTACGCTCTACTTGTTTTTGGACTCTTCTCGTGTGTGAGGGATGACTGCAAAGGCCGCCACTGCACTGTACGAAATCTCTAGTGTAACGTAGCGCTGTTTCAACGATCTTTCACGTCCCTCCCAAGGAACTGCGAGTCGCTCCGGTTATCATGGGGTCGTTGGGGCTACTAGTGGCTCGCTTTCTTGGAAGGTACTAGGTCTCGGAGGGTCGGCACTGTTATGCACTCCTGCTTTCTACTGTTGCACAGTTGCTTTTGGGCCTTTCGGCATGGAGTGCATAATGGTCCTGGAATCTTCTCCAACATATCCTCAGTAAGTTTCGGACGAGTTCCCTGCGGTGCGACTTGTTCCAGCTGGGCGGGTGGCAAAAAAGATTATACTATAGTCGATTATACTAGATGATATCATAATGTATCGTACATTATATTCTGCTTTATCACACTATGGTATATCATCTTGTTCTATATATGCTATATCAGTTTCATACTTTGTGAGATGCTTTTTGCGATATTTTACTATACGTACGAGACTTTGCTATAATATCCTATATGTGATATGAGTACATGCTACCACGGGGCTTGCTTCACACTCAGGTCCAGGCTACCCGCCCAGGCCTGTGCCGAGCACACTACTTGAGTTCAAGTTGAAAGGCTGTGGGAAGTGATTGGAGTGAGCTCGCGCAATGCCAGTGTCGCGGCGCATTGGAAGTTGCCGAAATTTTTAGCTTTAGCGGCTAAGCTCCTCCGGAGTCAAGCGCAGGCCAAAGCGAAAGTGCACCGATCGATTTTGCATCGTGTTGTTGGTGGCCTTCATGTCTGGCATGGGGCAAGCACCTCAGCATGTACAGCATTTGGATGTACGTGGTCCGTCTTCGGTGTTGGATACGACGACTGCGTAGGCCTCCTGAGTGGAGTGGAGAGGGGGGTTGAAATGCCCACAGCTCAGCCCGGTACTGCCATGGCTAAGAGAATATCTGTGGGGATGCAACGTAACATCAGCATTAACACTTGTTGCCTTTGCGACCTTTCCTCCAGCCGTGCTTTTGGTTGTTTCTGGTTTTGATGCTACTCCCGTTCTCCTGCTGCTTCTGCTGCTGGTGCTGCTGCAGCTGCTGCTTCGGCTGCTGCCGCTGCTCCTAGTCCTAGTCCGACAGCTGATGCTACTCCTACTACTACCCCCACCATCACCACCGCGACTACTAGCACTAATATTGCTACTGCTACTGCTACTGCTATGACTACTACTACTACTACTACTACTACTACTACTACTACTACTACCACTACTGTTACTACTACTACTGTTACTACTACTACTACTACTGCTGCTGCTGCTACTGCTGCTGCTACTGCTACTGCTACTACTCTTACTCTTACTCATAATGTTATATACTAGTACTATTACTATAACTACTGCTGCTACTACTACTACTACTACGACTACCACCACTACTACTACTGCTGCTGCTAGTACTACTACTACTACTACTACTACTACTACTACTACTACTACTACTACTACTACTACTACTACTACTACCACTACTACCACTTCCGCCACTTCCGCCACTTCCGCCGCTACCGCCGCTACCGCCGTTACCGCCACTACCACTACCGCTACGACTACCACTGCCACTACCACTACCACTCCTCCTGGTGCTGCTGCTGCGACTATTACTGCCATTACCACTACCGCCACTACCACCACCGCTACCACCAGCACCACAACAACAACAACAACAACTACTACTACTACTACTACTACTACTACTACTACTACTATACTGCTGCTGGGCTACGGCCACTAGCATTGACCGAGGTACCTGTATAGACGAGCTCGGGCAGAGGGCGACCTCGCCAAGCTGCGGGATCCCAAGTGCTCTCAAGAACGAAGGCTATGGTGATCCGAAACAGGCCAAAGCCCTAGGGTTTCGAGTTCAGGGTTCTGGGCAGCTGATCGGCACAGGGCAACCATACTCCTTGAGGGCCTTATTGCCTATCGCCTATGTGTGGTTGGTTTGTTTTCACTCCAAACCTTCGCCAACAACAAGCTTACCCTTGAAGCCTTTTCCCAATGTCGATCCTTCTGTTGACACGGGAGAGAATCGCCGTACCACACGTGCTCTGTGATATCCAATCTTTGCTCGATCCGCGTGCTTGCCCTTTTCCGGCTTTTTTCGGCTGTTCTCCGGGTGTCCCTTGTCCCTCCTGCAAGTCGGATACAGTGGTTTGCTAGAGCTCTTCGCGATTCGGCATCCGCTGCCCAAGCTGCCGACGTCAGGACCCACGGCTTCGACTGGACAGGAAAAATATGTGGTGTTGATGAGGTGGGCTGCACAAGGATCTGTTTGTCCGTCGCGCAAAACCCGAGATCTATAAGAATCTCCGGTCATGCCGACTTTGCTAGCAAGGCTGTCCGAGACAAGCCGCTTCTCTTTTGGTGCACCCCCAACGGTGAGGAGGCCGGTTCTCTGGCTGCATTTCGACTCCGCTCGGCTTCTGCGATAGCTTCGTCAGGGCCTGACACTCCTGGATGGCATCTGTGTTGCCAGATGTCCCAGTCGCCCTGCCATGTTTGCGCATGGGCGACATGGCCCTCTCTCCTGCGAATACTGCTCGCTGAAGCTACAACGCGAGCAGCCTAAATCCCTTAAAGGCGCCCTTAAGGAACCCCAAAACAGTACAGGCACTCATCAAGGCCGAATTAAGTCGTGAGCATGCCGCCAGGCAGTCGAACCGAGCAGTTTTTTTGTCCTGGCCCAGCAGTTCCATTCGAGGTCCGGGGATCAGCCAAATGCTGACATTTTGAGGCAGCCCGTCGCGATGATGATTTAGTTTTTGCCGTCGTTGTTGTTGATGATGATGACGAGTCAAACTTACTCATCGTCACTATGATCAGAACGAGTTTGCAGAGGCGTGGATTGGAGTCGGAATATGAGCAAGACGAACAAAACCTGTGATCGTCGAGCAGCTTGTCGAGTTGTGCCAGCACAGCAAGCATCTACTTGCAAGTAGATGCAAGTAGTATAGGGGCCTAAATAAATACCAATACTATTTTGGGGGCTCCTTATTATTCTTATAGTATGATGGGCCCCAAAACCCTATTCTCATTACCAAGGCCCCTACGCTATAGTACCCTACTATAGATCCCTTTAAAGACCCTTTCAAGGGAACTCCTTTCTAATCATTAAGGCCCCCTATAGTAGCTCTCCTGAAAGAGACTCTGGCAAGCAACAGAAGTCGGCTGCTCAAAGGTGAAAGAGTTTCTGGATCCCTGCGGCCGCCTGAGCTTCTCCAGTTTGGATGGACAATTTAGGGATCCATAAAGGGTTCTTTAACTAGAATAAGGTTCCTTTAAACGGGGATCCTTAAAGGGTTCTTTAACTAGAATAGGGTTCCTTTAAACGGGGATCCTTAAAGGGTTCTTTAAGGGATCCATCGTCGGGTTCTATAATTTAAATTTAGGGGCCTTAATGATTAGAATAGGATTTTGGGGCCCAGTAGTCTATAATCTTACTATATCAAAATTAGAATAGGGGTTCCTTTAAAGGGGTCTATAGGGGATCTATAGTAGAGTTCTATGATATAAGGGCCTTATTAATTAGAATAGGGTTTTGGGACTCATGATACTATAACATAACTATAATTGATGCGGAACCCCAAAATAGTATTGGACTCGCTTCCGGATTGCATCTGTGTTTCTTGCGCATAGTCTGGCTGTGAACCAGCCGAGCAACATCTGCCCTGCTTGAGCAGAATCGTGTGAATGTGGGAGTTTCCGAAAATTAGGGGTACCTTATTTTGGGGTCCATATAATAAGGATCTTATTATTAAGGGTACTATATTAGGGTCCCCTATTTTCGGAAACCCCCATGTGCGCCGAGATCATCGCAAGCAAGAGGCAGGCCAGCTAGACGCGCCTCTGGTGGTCATGTTCGCTTGTTGCTCCTCTGTGCTTGCATGCTTCGTTCCATTTGGGAGGGCAGGGTATGACAGTGGGGAAGCATGATGGTAACCAGACCCGCTAGTCGTACCATGTGATGGTGCCGATCTCTGAGCAGGTGGTGATTGGGATGAGGCGAAACTTGACTCAGAAGCCGAGCTATCCCAGTGTGGAGGCAGACGTCATGCAGGTTTCCCTTTTGCCCAGGTAGCCGCTTTGCTGTTTGAAGAAGCCTAGGCCACTCCCTTCTCTTGTCCTGCAGATAAACCCTCTCAGCTCCTCAGCCGGCTCACCAACAAGATCCCTTCAGCTCCAAATCCTGTCTGGTTGAAATAGGTCGGGGGTGGGTGGCTAAGGAAGGGAAGCACTAATGATGCACCTTTACTATAGGGGCCTAAATAATTACCACTACTATTTTGGGGGTTCCTCATTCTAATTAGTAAATTGGGCTCCAAAACCCTGTTCTAATTATTAAGGCCCCTATTCTAAATTCTTATAGTATCCCTGAGTAACCCTTACAGACCCCTGTAAAGGAACACTATTCTGACTCTGACTATGATAGATGTTGGTCCGTTAGCCCTATCAAGGCCCTATAGTATAATTATAGAACCCTACTATAGATCCCTTATAGAACCCTCTAAGGATCCCCTTAAACGAACCCTATTCTAATTATTAAGGCCACTGTATTAGATGTTGGTCCGTTAGCCCTTCCAAACCGTAAACCCCTGGCAGCCCTAAGCTGGGAAACCCGCTCGAACTTCATTCTCAAACCCTGGTAATATTAGGCGCCTTGATAATTGGAATAGGTTCCTTCAAAGGCATCCCTAAAGGTTCTAATTACAAGGGGTTCTATGATATAGGTGCTTTTATACTTAGAATAGGGTTTTGGGGGTTCCTCATTGCAAATTATTATATAATAGACCCCAAACCCCTATTCTAATTATTCAGGCCCCTACGGCAGAAGAGTCGCTGGGTGTCCCCACCCAATCCTAAGTCCCGATATGGGAGGTTCCCCAAAAGAATCGTGTCGGCGAGCCGTACAAATTCGAATCCCGCAAGATGGAGAGTTGACAGCCTGATGTGACATTGGAGGTTTCCGAAATTAGGGGTACCTTGTTTTGGGGTCCTTATAATAAGGATCCTACAAAATAGGGTACTATATTAGGGTCCCCGATTTTCGGAAACTCCCACATAGCATCCCGGAAATGCCAGTCGCAAGCAGCATGTGATGTTAGTTGAATTTGGACAGTTGCATCCCTAAACAGATGCTATTCGGCATGTTGCGGCCTGCCTGGGTGGCCTATCTGCGCCATGCAAGTCTTTGGTTCTTGTGTCCGCATGAGTTTTTGCTGTCTGGTTTTCGTGTTGTACGCGTGCAGATGTTGCTTCCTGAAGAGCGGTCTGAGACGGATGCCCTACTAGAACGTAGCGATTCTCTGCCCCTAAACCCTAAAAGCTAAACCCTAAAACCAAGCAATGCGCGAGGCAAAAAACCCTAAAACCTGTTGCAGGCCTTCGGCTATTGTTTCCCAAAGGAGGATCTGGCTGCCGGCTGAGATTCGGACCGGGATTCCTTAATAAAGGGGCCTTCATGATTCGAATAGGGTTTTGGGGGCCAGTATACGACGGTTAGAATAAGAAGCCCCCAAAATAGTGTTGGTAATTATTTAGGCCCCTGCATTACCCTGACTTTGGTTGCTGGTTGCTCGCATTCCCGTGTCATGTACGTCGAAACTGTTTAAGATAATATAGCACGGCAAGATATCCCTGTACCCCCACCAAGGTTTTGCTGCAGAGCGTCATGGACCGCACATATGTCTCTCGGCTGCCACAAGTCGCTGAATGCGGTACATGAGTTGACATTGAAGGGCATGCAGGCGCATTCGGCATGTACAGTATATTTTGATGCAGCGCTACGGAAAGAAGTGTGCAATGATGGCAATGATCTTATCGGAGACTTGGCTGAGGGTCATACCAAACCACGTGTAGCGTGCGGGCTTGAAGTGGACAGTGCATCAGACGTACCCGGAATTCATCGCTTCAACAGTCGCAGCCGCATATCTAAGAAGCTGCATGAAGCTATCACCTGCTATGCCCAAAGCCTTGAACGAGATTTCCTCGGAACCTGCCCCGACAGGAGCAGAACTCGTACCACACAGCTAGTTAGTTCAATTTCATAATGCACCCGAGGAGCAAGTTCTGACAGAGGCAAAGGGTGCATGACGTGCTTGTGGGGTGTGTCCACAGGGATTGCAAAGTCTTCTGTGTCAGGAGTGGTTTCCAGAAGATGCACAAGCTGCACTGCATATGTGTCAAACACTACAAATCTACGTTTATGCCTAGCAGCTGCCGGGAAAACATCCAAGGTTTCCAGTTTCACCCGGCAAGTTATCTTGGCTGGTGCGAGCCTCAGGCACATGCGTAAGAAGGGGCCGAGTTGGTGTGGCACATCATCTAAATGCCGAAAGTCCATAGTAACCCCCATATATATATACATATGTATGACCGACAAAGCCAAAAATCTTGCCAAAAACCCCGACACCCTGAACTTAGGTCAAGTGGCCATTCCGGCTCAAGCCCTCTCAGCATCAGGCTGTGCGATTCCTTCTCTTCGCAACTCCGACGCCATGGCGGCAGTCTTCCCGGCCAATCAGGTGATCGTGGTCGGCGGCGGCCTAGCAGGCATGTCCGCCGCCAACACCGTGGTGGAGCTTGGCGGCCGCACCATTCTCTTGGACAAGTCTTCCTTCTGTGGAGGGAACAGCACCAAGGCCACCAGTGGCATCAACGGTGCTGGGACCAAGACGCAGAAAGGCAAGTCCATCCCGGACACGGCGGAGTGGCTGGTTTGCTTTTGGGAGTTGCTTTAGGGGATCCTTTGAGGGCTCCTTTAGAAGATCGATGAAGGGTTTCTGTCCGGGATCTACAGGGGTTCCGTCAGGGTTTAGTCTGTAGGGATGCTTAGGATTTGATGTTTGTTTGAGTGTTTCTTCAAAGGCTTCCTGTTCAAACTCATAGTGCAATGCACCCCAACTCCCCCATTCTAATTATTCAGGCATCGTGCGGATGTTTTGGATCTCGACCGCTCTGAGGATCTTCATCGCGGACACGCTGAAGGGCGGCGCGAAGAAGCCTGAGCTTGCCAAAGTGCTGTGCGCCAACAGTGCTGCAGATGTTGACTGGCTCGTGGACAAGTTCGACCTCGATCTCTCCCTCGTCGCACGCCTGGGAGGGCACTCCCAGCCCCGCACGCACCGCGGCAAGGAGCGCTTCCCAGGAATGACCATCACTTATGCATTGATTCAGATGCTGGAGAAGGTTGCTGAGAAGACCAACCGAGCTCGCATCGTCACCAAGGCGGAGGTGTACAAGCTCATCGTCAATGCCGGCACCGTGGTTGGCTGCGAGTACAAGAAGGCCGGCAAGACCGTCAAGGAGTTCGGCCCCATGGTCCTCGCCTCCGGCGGTTTCGGCGCCGACTTCGGAGCCGATTCCTTGCTGGCCACCTACCGGCCGGACTTGCTCCATCTCCCCACCACCAACGGCGAGCACTGCACTGGTGATGCCATTAAGATGGGAGAGGCCATCGGTGCAGCCACCATTGACCTCGAGTGGGTCCAGGTGCACCCAACCGGTCTGGTGAAGCCGGACGATCCCGATGCCAAGGTGGCACTGTGTAATAACCCCGTGCTGGTAGGTTTAGTCTTGACATGTCCGTGTTCGGTTTTGCTGGTTTTCCGAAAAACGATCAGAAGAAAATAAAACCATAACAACATGCAGGGATAAGGGCTTTTATACGAGGTTATTACACAGCCTCAGGTGAAGTTCTTGGCCGCGGAGGCCCTTCGAGGTGTTGGTGGCATCGTCCTGGATTCCAACGGTGACCGCTTCTGCAACGAGTTGGGCCGACGTGACTATGTCACTGGAGAGATGTGGAAGAACAAGCCGCCCTTCCGCCTGTGTTTGAACAAGGCTGCAGCCGATGAGATCATCTGGCACGCCAAGCATTACACCGGCCGTGGCGTCATGAAGTTCTACGCCTCGGGCGAGGACTTGGCAAAGGACATGGGCGTCCCTCTGCAGAGGATTGTGGATGCCCACCAGAAGCACTTCGAGGCGGCAAAGAAGCAGGAGAAGGACAAGTGAATGGGCCTGGCGAAAGGTCTTCTTAAGCGCGTTTCCTTAAGGAGCTTGTTTCACTTTCCCTCTCAGTCTTAGGGGTCAGCTCAGTGGGTCCTAGGCTTTAGTGTTGCGCCTTAGATTGCAGAAGCGACCTGCAGAAGCATCCTGCCTGAACTGGATTTGCACAAGCATGCCGTCTCGGCAGACTGCATCGTCAGCTGTTGCGCTTGCCCAAGCCTCATGCTTACAGTGTACTACAGTGTATGCGTCAGGACCCCGATGGCGGCCCCTTCCCTGCTTACCCGTCCGGCAAGACCTGGGACGAGCCCAGCGGCAAGACAGGCAGCGGCAAGAAGTTCTTCCACAACATCATCGATGGCTCTAAGGTGCCTACCGAACCCTTCTACGTGGCGATCATTACTCCTGTGATCCACTACTGCATGGGTGGGCTCGAGTGCACCGTGGACGCCGAGTGCATTGACAAAAAGTCGGGCAAGGTCATTCCTGGCCTTTACGTTGCTGGCGAGGCGGCTGGTGGCATCCACGGCAACAACCGCCTGGGTGGTAACTCTTTGCTGGACTGCGTCGTGTTTGGCCGAGTTGCTGGCAAGGCCGCTTGCAAGTTCACCTTCGGTGCTGGTGAGAAGTTCAAGCCTTGCCCTCCGCCGGGCGAGCTGAAGGATTTGTGCAAGTGAGGGCGCCGAGTTTCATTTTAACGACAGCCTCCACAGTGGTCGTTGTGTCTGGTTGTAATTAACCTGTGCAGTTGTTAAGCACGTAGCTCTAGGTCATTGTGTGTTTGGTGGCTGGAAACAGAGCAACTGTGCTTTTGTTCCGCGCAGCCAGACGAAGTCCATCTTGTAAAACTCACCCTGCGCACGGAATGCCGGACATCCCTACATCCCTTCACACTCTGGATCCTTGATTTATATCGGGCTTTGTTTCGCGTTGACGCATTCCTTTTTGATGCATCAGCCAACTCGTCGGGCTCCGTCTTGATCAGAGCCGCGCATCCTCGTGGGAAGCCGCGGCAATGGACGAAAACGAGGATCGCTCGATTTGTGGTTTCACATCAGCCTCGTCGTCACATGCCTCGCCTGGATTATCCGAGTGTGACCGCCGAAACTTAGGTCAAGGAGCCGCAGAAAGCTGGCGGTTTCTGGCCGTGGCCTAGGATGTGATTGGTGCTGGAGGGCATTGTATGATCTAAACCCTAAACCCTAAGAGAGGTGTATGATCATGGCCCAAAGTTCCTCGAGAAACAGTCGGTGATGCCTCGCAAAGGTTTTAGTTGCCATTGCCTGCATAGCCAGTGCCTCAGCATGGGGTACCCGCCAAGGAGACGCGCCGGAGTAGCTGATGTGCAGAAACAAAACATAGACATAGTGCGAGGACGACGAGCAGCAGCATCAGCAGCAGCAGCAGCAGCAGCAGCAGCAGACACACTGCAAACACTGCTGCAGTGCTCTTGCCTCTTCCTGCGGCACGGTTTCGGTCGCGTGCTATCGAACTTGATGTAGTAGATGTTTGCTCTGCCCGGAGCCTGCGCTACTTTTGGAAGACCCTGGCAGAGAAACACAAGTGTGGTTCAGGTCCACTAGGTCACCAGGTTCAAGCGGGTTCCGGAACCACCACATCCCATGGCTCAATGAGGTCATCGGCTATGCCTTTCTCTTCGTGATTTGGCACTCCTTCGAGAAGCTCGTCTATGGTCTGATTGTCAGCCGCCCATCGGTGTTGCGGCAGCGTAAGCGTGTGTGGAGGTGCGAGCTGGAAAGCAGCCTCCGTGCATTCTGGCCGAGGTTGCAGTGCACGTTGCTCTCCTGGCAGTTGCTGGGGCCAGGTGCCCAGGACTTCGTGTCCGGCGTGTGCAATGCATGGTTCATGCCGGGAACCATATATATATATATATATATGTATGTATGTATGTATATATATATATATATAATACATATACATATTCATATACATACATACGTGTATGCATATATATATATATATATATATAGTTCAACATGTATAATATGCAAACCGAGTGTATATATATATATATATATATATATATATATCGTTCAGCAGTACGTAGTTTACATGGAGGCAGCAGGAGCCGTCTGGCCAAGCAAGAATCTGCCCGAGGTGTTCCTCTTCGTCAGCTTTCAGCCAGAGCCGGGGGCTTCCTTCGTTTTCTGCTTGGAGGTTCATGGGTAGTTTAGGGTTCCTTAAAGGGCTCCTCTAGATGGATCTATAGGGGTTCTATAATAGGTCTACTTAAAGGATCATGGGACTTAGTAACTCGGGTTAGAACTAGGGTAACTATACTTATAGCGCCAATTAAGGTACTTATAACCTTACTAAGTCCCATGATCCTCCAAGTAGTTATCAGTGGGGGCATAAGTGGGTTTAGGGTTCCGTTAAGGGTTCGCTTTGGATTCTTTTTAAGGGTTCTAAAGGGTTTTAGGGCTTTAGGCAGCTATAAGTGGCGTTGTAAGTAGGGTAACCATAATTCCAAGTGGCACCTGACGGCTGTGCCTATGGGAAGCTCTCGCCAAGGCACAACTTCTTCTTCACCTATTTCTCTCCGCCGGTCGCCAGGCCGGATATTGACTGGAGCAGGGCAGGGTAGGGTAGGGGTTCGGGTGGGGTTAGGGTAGGGGTAAGGGTAGGGTTGGGGTAGGGGGTAGGATCCTGACTGAGCCCGGGATCTGTGAAAGTGCTGTCAACTTCTTCCTGGCCGCCGGTGCAGGATGTGCGCTTGGGCTGGAGCCTTATATTTTGGAGTTTCCGAAATTAGGGGTACCTTATTTTGGGGCCCTCACAACAAGGATCCTACTATTTGGGGTGCTAGATTAGGGTCCCCTATTTTCGGAAACTCCTATTTGGATCCAGGAATGCGGTTCCTGGCACATCTGGGGTCGGGGTCGTCGTCGCCGTCTGCGATGTTAGTATTGTTCAGCTTGCCGTCAGAGTCACGGCAGCAGATGTCGGTTGAAGTACTGGTGCTGGGAGCTCACAGGCCTGTGCGGCTCTGGCTGTCGTCTTCTGGATGCTGTTCGCTTTTCTCTGCTGCCAGGGAAGGTGCGGACTGGCGTTGTGCGCAGGGGCTGCTCCTACGCTCTGGCTGTTGCAGTTTAGAGTCTGCACGTTGATTGCAGGGAGTCATTGGCCGTGACCATCGACAGTGTGACCGCGACTTGTGAGGCTTGCTTTCGGAGTTGCAAGAGTGTGATGACAGTAATGCGAAACGGCATCGTTGCCGGCAGGTCATAGCTGAAATCCCTTCCATGCTGATGCAGCCACTTCTGCACTCCGCAATCGTTGCTGACGCCTTAGCTGCTGCAGTTCAAGCCTGAGCTTCCAGGAGTGATTTTCAGAGCCTTGGCCGTCTGGTCTCATGTGGGAGTCAGCTGCTCTACAAGTAGAATCCTTCTTTTGTATAACGGACGGCTACTGTATAGAAGGCACCACGGATTTGAAGAAACCCCCGCATGCTCCTGAGGTTCTGGCCCTCCTTGGGCTGGTGCCAGCCTCTGAAGCTCACATCAAAGGGGAAAAGGAGGGACCCTTAACAGGGACCCCTACCCTATAATGGGTCCCTCCTTTTACCCTTGGATCACAAGAAGTGTGGGGTATTGGGGTTCCAGGTTCGTGCCTGGAAGGGTGATGATCTGGCAGCCAGAAAGCCCAGTTTCAAAATAGTCGCTAGAATGATCCTAAGCCAGGCCCTAAGCCCTAAGCTCTCATGAGACTCAGATCTTGGAGATTCGTTGCCTGCGCCGTTAGGGATTCGAACAGCCCTGCTGGTCTCTGTCGGCTGGGATGTTTAGCGTCGGCCGAATTTCTACACCGTCAGTTCTAAGGTGAAGGATGTAAGATGTTGGGTTTTATTTTCGGTATTTCAGCATCTGTGGACATTCATCGCCACCCGCGGCCGCCGTTGAAGGTCTACGGATTCGCCTGGATCCTGTCCACTGGCAAGGCCGGTGGCACCCTGCTCCACGGAGTTCAGGAGTTCGCGTTTGTTGGTTCGGCCTGGGTGGTACCGCTAGTCTCCATTATAATTTCTCTTTAACCCAAGAAGGGAATTACACTGGAGACTATAGGTAGAGTAGAACAGATCAGTCTGTAACAGATCATTGAACTCTTTGACAACAGACTTCCAGCTCTCAGCCGAGCATGACTGCATGGCCAGGTGGTGCCATTGGGTGAGTCAGCCCAGCTGCAGTTGACTGCTAGGTCTTCGTGATCTGCGGCTTTGTGCAGTGAGCCGGCTAGCACTGTAGGCTCGATTGGGGTTCGGCAGCTGTTCCGGTAGCCTCGTTGTGGCACGCGCCCACGGAGCTGCAATCTGCTACCTTAAGTGGGAAGCCAAACAAGTCGATTGGACATTTCTGGAAACTCCAGCCTGGCACGGATCCTATTATATAACATTCAATAATTTATAATTCAATATAATATATTATGTTATAGTATAATATGATATACTATAATATATAAATCAATGTATTGCACTGCCAGGCCCTTGGAACAGAGCGGCATTCAGATTGTCTGCGGCTTGGGGAGGAAGCGAGCCTCCGGCTTTTTGCTGTTTAAGGGGGTTCCGGAGCGGACCAGAGAAGTGCCACCCCTTAAGTAGGGTTCCTGTAACGGGTACGATAACGGCTTCTTTAGGGATCTATGGGGTTTTGTAGGGGCCTTACTAATTACCCACATTATTTTGGGGGTTCCTTATGGTGATTATAGTATAATATACCCCCAAAAGCCCTATTCTAGTTACGTATTAAGGAACCTAGACGAGTAGGCATAAAGGCAGCTCTTGGTGCAACAATTGCCCAGGCATCTAGCGCACTGCGTTTTCGGCGCTGGGATGTTTACTATAGGGGCCTGCATAATGACCAATACTGCTTTAGGGGTTCCTTATTATAGTTATGATATGATGGGCGTTAAAACCTTATTCAGGCTATGAAGGCCCCTATATAAGACCAACAGAAGTGGGGTTCGTTGGAGCCCAGCTCGCCCTGACCAACTATGTATAAAATAGGAACCTGATTAAGAAACCCTGGGTCTGGATTAGGTTCCCTTGTATGAAGCCGAATATATTGGGGTTACAGGGCCAAGGTTTCTTAATCAGGTTGCTACATTAGCCCACAAAGATCCGCTGGGTAGGCGTATGCCGTCAGGTGTGGGAGCTCTGGCAATGTTCTGTTGTTGAAGTCGAGCTTCTTGAAGATGCTAGTTCCTGTAAGGCTGTAGGGGTCGAGTGCGCTAGCCAGTGTGTTAACAGCCTCTGCAACCAACCGCTTCCGTTCACACCTGGGACATACAAGGCTGGGGTCCATCGCAACCTGGAGTTCACTGATGGACAGTGGGCCACTTCCCTGGTGTTTCTGCCAGTGTCTTTGCTTGGCAGGGTTTTCAAGTTTCCGGTGGCTTCCGAGCGAACATGACATCGGAATGATTGGAAATAGTAGCGCCTTATCATACACCCTGTGTAATTGTAGTATAACATACCTACAAAGCTGTATTCTAACATACCCCTAAAAGCACTGTTCTACTTGTTCAGGCCCCTGTCGTGAGGTTTGCGTTGGAGGAGTCTTGGCACTGGGACATGGGATTGACCAAGGCGTCCATCGCGTACTGGCTCTTCGGCTTGGTGTGGCACCAAGTAGCCCAGCAGTCGACGTTGCTGGTATAGTTGCGGTCATGCACATGTATATATATATATATATATATATATATCATGTGCAGACATGTCGTTTCGAACTCACAACGACCAATATATGCACTGCACCTAATTATACAGATACGGATGGATAGCTGTTTGCACAGACGTGTACATGTAAGATTTACATGCCTGCGTAAGGGCCGGGTGCTGTAAAGCAAATGGAGACCAAAGAAGCGAACCACCTGATCCGAGAAAGTTTCAACACGAACTTTGATATCAACTTCGCACCTGGATGCTTGTGACTTGAGTACAGCAATTTTAGCTCAAGGTCCAAGCCCAATAGCCAGCATCAGCGAGCTTTCGGTGACTTCAATCTGTCATGGAGGGCCGCACACTCGCTTCGTTCCGGCCGGAAGGGTCCAAGGCCGTGGTGACCTTCGACCGGGTGAAGGCATGTTACATTTTCGTGTTGGTGGGCTTCCATCAGCAGCTTCTGAACGCCCCCAACCACCGTGTGCAATTGGCCCACTACTTGCCGTACAGGACGGTGGACCATGGTGTGGAGTTAATGATGGGCATGATGCTGATCTCTGGATGGCTCTCGTCGGCTACGTGGAAGGATGCCAGCTGGGCAAACCACATGCTGAAGAAAGTTTCACGGCTCATCCCACCGTACATCGTGGCCGTCATCTTCACAGCCTTGCCTTTGGCCTTGGAATGCGATGGCTGGGAAGGCTTGCTGCAGTACGGCCTGGAGATCCTGACCATTGGCGGCTGGAATCCACTGCTCTCATGGTGGACCATGAACCGACCACTTTGGTTCCTCTCCACGCTGCTGACCTATCACTACGTGTCTCCTTTCTTTTTGAGGTGGACACGTCGGCAGAGTATTCGGCGGCTTCTTGTCGTGCTGGCGACCCTGTATGTGCTGCGCACGGGGATCGCATGCCTGGTGCTGGCGCTGCTGGAACAACGGACCGGGGACCTGGAGGCTTATGCGCGCATCATCCATTTGTGGAGTCCCACGCAGATCTGGGTCCCCTTCATGGGGGCTGTCTTGGAGCAGGTCACCGCTCGCACTGTGCTGCCGGCATGGGTGCGAAAGTGGCATGTCTGGCTTCTTTCTGATCTTCTGATCCTCGTGCTCATAGGATGCACGAACTTCTTGCCGTCGACTGGATTGCCGATGATCGATGCGCTGCTAGCCTACAACAACCTCCTCACAGGACCTCTGCAGCTTGTGCTGGTGGTGCTGCTCAGCTGCGATTGCAACTCTTTCAGGCTGCTGTCTAGCCTTACTGACGGCACTCGCAAGCTTGCAGCTGCTATGCTTAAGCTCTCCTACACGGTGTATTTGACCCACTGGCCGTGGGCCGTTTGCATGCACTACGCTGGCTATTTTGCCTTGGACTCCTGGAATTCCATGTTGGCCACATGGGCTACTTCCATCCTTTTTGCGATCTTCCTGGACTTCGTCATCGTCGACCCATTCACTGCGACTTTGTGTGGCTGGATCACCCCGAAACCCAAGGCCGTCAAGGAGGTCAGCAAGGAAGATCCGCAGAACGACATCGCACAGAAAGAAGAGAAGGCAGAAAAGAGCAAAGATCCGGAGCTTGGCCTATCTGAAGAGGTAGTGCCGCCCCGGGAAAGGAGCTCGGAAAGGGCTGAAACGCTTCCCTTTACTGCCTTTCGCCATTCCCAGGTGTGATGTGTGTTCTGGCCATGTTTCTTGAGACTCCGACGCATCCTTGTTGATCCGTAGAAACATCGCCCACATTTTGCTCAGAGATGCCCAGAGACCCTAGGAGGCCACTGGGCATCCGCCCTCTAAGTGTTTACTGTAAGTGTACAGCCCCAGGGTTTGTCCTCCCTGGTAACAAGGCACCTGTAGAGCGAGTGTCCCAAATTTTGATGCATTTTGTTACTGGGAATGGAGGAACGGGGTGCAAGTACTATTGCTACCAGTCTTCCATTCCCTACTTACCGTTTTGGGGGCTTCCGTGCCCCATCCCGCAAGTCTTGTGCAGACCGCGGCCAGAGACAGGCCAAAGAGGACCTAGAACAAGGTGAGCTTTTGATTTTGGCTGCTGATGTCAGTTGCAGTTGTTCAGGAGCTTAAATGACATGTTGTTGTGTCCTGGCCTGGCACTGCCTAGGCCTAGAGGGCCTAGACAGCCATCAAGATACAAGTGCATGCGTGGACATATTGGTGGGCCAAGTAGGATGCATGCCCTGACCAACCCTAAATGCAAAACCCTGAACCTTGAAGCGAAACCCATCTTTAGCAGGTTGTTCATCTTACTGGAATGCATTGTCTCAGTCCCTCGCACCAATAGTCTCACCTCATCAGACCTCGAAGCACATGCCTCGCCCAGATCGTCCGAGTGTGAGCGCCGAAACCGTTGAGTTGTGAGAGCGTACTAAACTAAACCGTTTTGGGTGTGGAAGTTTGCGTGATTCCGCTTCGAAGATACGGCTCTCCAGGTCTGGATTTTCGAGATCATGAATGCACTCGGGCAGCCCGGGTCTGATGTGGTGTCCAATCATTATTTCGGCAAGCGGGGATGCTGCTACTGACGAGACAAGCGGAGGGGTATAGCGACTGGGTTGGCCGTGTTTGGCCCTCTGAATCGGACTGCTGATTGATGTGCGAGTGGTCTGTGAGGTTCGCGATCTCGCACGCCGCCAGGAACTCGGGTATGGTGTGCTGCTATCATATCAAATTCCTGTTCAGGTAGACCTTGAGGCCACCGCATGCTAATTTAGATGCAGTTTTCACTTTAATTCAGGCAGGGACGACACGGGGTCTTGTACTTACATTGTAGCTTAGTTCTTGTGGAAGTTCGTTTTTTGCATCAGTTTCTATCATGTTGATCTCTGCACCAGGCGTCTGCAAGCTCTTGCTCGGAGGGTTTCGAACCAGTGCCTAGCTTCTTGTCGACGCCTCCTTCTTACGTTCCTGTCCTGCGTAGTGTGGCCGAAGCTACCAGCTACGGTCCTCGGGGTTCTCGGGATTCTCGGGATGTCATCTTGTTCCCAGCTTCCGTGTGATCATGATCCTGCACAGGTGAGTTAGCTTTGGCACTGGCAACCTTGGGTTTTCAGCCAGCCTAGGGCTAGCTGTAGATGCTGCCTCTGCGTACGCTTTGCCTGGGCCCTGGGTTCGGCTCTTCGCTGTTCATTCTATGGCGGACCGTGCGAGGTGGTGATCAACACAGTCCACCAGGAAGAAGAGCCACTGGCCCAGATGCGGCAGCATGTTGCCCAACTTAGGTAGGCGCGGGTCAGACTCTACATAACATACTGACGTGATTGTGTGTGCATATGTACAAATACATATTGTCATGTTGTATATACATATATAGAGACATACACATATAGTATCATTGATGCCGTCGTGGTTTGCACGGCATCTCGTGGCTAACCGGCCCCCCAACGAATGCCACCTGCTGGAAGTCAGGCATGGGTGATCATGCTGTAGGTGACACACCACAAGTGCAAGCAGCGTGAGGAAATGAGACAAGTTTTGAGTTCAGAACTTTCTCTTTTGCCTACCGGCCTGATTAAGAAACCTTGGGGCTTTACTAGGGCTCCTTTTATGAATCCTATCATTTGGGGGTTATAGGCCCAGGGTTGCCGGGCACTGCCTTCCTAGCCATGGAGTTCGGCTACTGGAAGATCCGCGGTCTTGGCGCGCCCTTCCGCATGATGTTCGCGTACAAGGAGGTCCATGGGTAGTTATAAGTTATAAGTGGGGTGAAAAGGGTTTAGGGTTCCTTTAAAGGGTTCTTTTGGGATTAAGGATTGATTATAGGGTTCTCAGGGTAGTCATAAGTGGGTTATAAGTAAGGTAACCATAATTATAACCCATAGTAGGGGACTTATAACCCCATTAAAACTACCCATGAACCTCCAAGTACAAGCAGGTCAAGTACGAGGACAAGCAGTACGCAACAAACGAGTCTTGGTTCAATGGTCGCAAGCCGGCCATCCTGGAGATGAATCCACTCGCGAACCTCCCATACCTCGTGGATGGTGACACATGCGTATGTCAGACCAACGCGGTTTTTCATTACCTGGGCGAGAAGCTCGGCCTCAACGGCAACACCGAGGCCCAGAAGCTTCGCACCTCAGAGCTGCTTTGTGAGATTTACGATGTGCGCAACGGCATGATCGATCTTGTCTACCCCTTCATGGAGATTTGTCGCAACGAGGAGGAGTTCAAGTCAAAGGCCGAGAGCATTGTCGGCTCACCGCCTTTTGGAAAGTTTGAAGCCATGCTTGCCTTAAAGGACAACGCATCAGGGGGCAAGTGGTTTGTTCTTGAGGACGGGCCAGCAACGGCAGATTTTCACATTTGGGAGATGCTGGACCAGTACAGGCTACTTGCTGAGAGGATGCTGGGTTCTTGTTAATTAAGCTTCATGGGGATGTACTGTAAATAAGGGATAATTACATGTGTATATATATATATAGAGAGAGTATGGTTTTCTTAGTATGGTGACTGAAATTAGGCTCCTAAACAAGAACTCAGGATGGGCACCCCTGCACTGCTGGATAAGTTCCCCAAGTGCAAGGCTTTCCACGAGACCTTCAGGGCCCTTCCCACGCTGCAGCAGTACTTTGCTTCGGACGCATACGCCTTGGAGATCAACAGCAAGCTGGCCGACGCCTACTTCCTCTGAGCATCTCTGAGCCTTCCGTACCAATCTTCCTCCAGCTTCTGACTGCACATCTTGTCAGCATAACCCCTCAACGAGTGGGTTGTCAAGCTGTGCGAACATGTCCGCTGAAAATATCCTCAACAAGCTTAGCATGTGAAAGGTTGTGGGATATGTCTGATGCCAAGGAGCTGAATGTCGTGAGTACGGTCTCTTTGTGAATAGCATTGCACGCTTCAGGCTGGTATTATGTGGCAGCTTCTCAGAAACAGGCGCCAAAAACAAGCCGCTCGGGGGTCGGGTCGCACTCAAAAGAGAGGCCCATATGGGAGTTTCCGAAAATTAGGGGTACCTTATTTAGGGGTCCTCATAATCAGGATCCTACTATTTAGGGTACTATATTAGGGTCCCCTATTTTCGGAAACTCCCATATGAGCACCAAGGGGCCGGGTATGGCCGGGCAGAGAGCTCCTGAGTTCCTCGGTGCTCGTGACGAGGTCCTATCCTATGCTGCACGGCTACGTCGTTGGCATCACCTTTCATCTTGGCCTGGCTCTGAGGACTTAGGATCAGATTTTGCATCTTTGTGGAGTCGGCAGAGGCTAGAGCGGGTCTGAGGCAGCATCGCATTTGGTGCTTTCGTGATCGGATGCCTCAAGCTGGCAGCAGCCGCGGGCCAAGCGCAGTCACTGGCATCAGGGCAAGGAAGGGAAAGCCAGTCCTTCAGGCTTGCGCGTCTTGGTGCTGCGAGGCTGCTATGTCTTTCGTTCTCAACCAGGCCAGGGACGAGCCGTGATCTTACTGCCATACCTCAGATGCATGACTCAGACTCTTGTTTCTCTGCTTGCATACATCAGGAAGCAGTTCATGTGCTAGCACGAGAGCAGCATTGGTTGTCCTTTTTGCGTGTGCTCTTGGCTGACATTTGGAAGCACATCCTCAGTGCCTTGGCAACTGAGCAGCTCAGGCAAGGTGTTCAGAGCACCGTGGCCCAAGTTCTGTGCTGCTGTTGCCTTTGCACGGTGGCCTGCATCGAGCGTGCCGAGCTCTCAGCCTTAGCAATGCCTTTGTAATGAAAAAGGAAGGGATGTCCCGGATCCAGCGGTGATTGGAAGGCCACCGGCAAAACGTAGGTCAAGCATGTGAACTCCAACAGATGTACATATGTCAGGTCTTAAGCATGGTCAATGACCTGATCTACACGGACGTGGCGCTGCGTTCGTGCGGCTATATGCAGGCAGCCGACCATGTGGTCAGCGTGGCCAGACCCTTTGAAATTCCATTCAAGCTACATGCTTCTGCTTGGGTGACTCGAAAATGCAGAAGCTGCGGGCGTGCGGCTGAGGGCTACAAGATAATTTTGGGCGCCGAAAAAGGGCCCCAATTTAGAGAACTGCCCCCTTGATGTGTCCCAAGGCTGCATCCAATCCACTGACCTATGCGGCCATCAAAGCAGCTGCGACGGAACGCCGCTTATGTGGGTCCTGGGTGGGTGTGGGAATTCCAGCCATACTTGGAGGATCAGGGGACTTAGTAGGTAAGGTTATAAGTACCTTAATTGGGGTTATAAGTATAGTTACCCTAATTATAACCCTAGTTACTAAGTCCCATGATCCTTTAAGTAGAAGCCCAGGCTGTGAGTCTTATTCAACATTCCCAGAGAGCCCAATACCCATTAAGAAGGCAATATACCTTAAATTAAAAGAGGCTTCACATGATGATTTAAGCTATGTTCCTTAATTAAGGGGTATCGGGCTCTCTGGGTTTTCGGAAAACATTTGTATTCGGAAGACTAAGCATGTCCAGTGAACGTGATGGTGCCCGGGAGAATGGGCTCAGTGAGTGTCAATTCATCTCAAGCGGGCCTGGTCGTACTCGCTGAGGCCATGAGGTTTGTGGGCGTCACAATCATCGGCGGTTGCGGAACCTTCCTGTCCTACCAGGCAATGTGCTGCTATTCGCTGCTGATTGCTGGTGCGTGCCCGTTGTGCGTGATGAGTTGTGCATCTCAGTTCCCAGAACTGCATGGAACCTGAGTGAGAGGCATGATCTCCTTCAACTGCGAAAGGTTCTAAATCAAGCTGCCTGACATATCCATTGCTTGGGAGGCACTTTCTTCCACACAGCTGCACAGGCAGCTAGACAGTGTGCATGGCCCTTAGTCAGTCAAGTACAGCACGTGGCGCGATTGATTTTCTGGTGCAATAGCAAGGTTGACATGTCCGCCAGCAACCCCTTTGTTTTTCTGAGATTATGTGATTATGTGCGCCGTGACCATAGGACGGACGAAAGGCTTGGAATTGTCCTAGCGGCAAGGGCTCGACGAAGTCTTACTTGCCATCGAGTGAGGCGCACCGGAGGCGGAGGAGGGGGGTGATATACCAGTAGGCAAGGCCACAGCAAGGGGCAGCGTCATGCATCGTCTGCCACAGTGACGACGACGCCCACGACGGCCAAGCTCGTGGCGACGCGACGCCAACGACAACGAAACTTTTACGTAACCATCCATGAGTAATGGCTACAGTCGTCAGCAACGAGCCTCACAAGTCTCAAGTACAGACGGATGCACATGCGGCCGCACGTTCTCCCAGGTTTGAAAACTCATCCACAATGTTGGTGACGTCCAACATCCTCGGGACTACTATCGCGCCCGCAGCACAGTGATGCAGTGACGCAGATGAGTGCGGTCACTGTTTCCTGCCGCGGGTTCGCTCCACGCTGGCTTTCACGCCAGATTTGAGAAATGTGGCTTTGCAGAAGGACCAACTAGTGCGTGCCTGTCAGGGCAGGGCTGATCTGTTTCTATGTCGCGCTGGCTTTTATGGTAGTGCCGCGGCCTTATCTCGCATCATGCTGGCATGTGGGCATTTTGCATTTCTTGGTCAGATTTAGTCACATATTCGTCAAAGCGATCGGGAGAACTGCGGAGTTGGCTGCGCGCTACTACTGGTAGCTAGCAAAGCTGCACGGCGTTAAAGTAAGATACTTTACGTTGCAAAGACGATGCCGTTGGATGCCCTCACAATACGCCCCCATGCCACGTCAGCACGGTAAGCAGATGCACGACCATGTTGCTCCTCTGACGCTCTTACATTCGAGGCCTCGGCTGTTCAGTGATCTCACATGCAGTATACTTCATTTCGAATGGAAAGATTGTATTTTCGAGGCAGAGAGTTGTGCTACTTGCGCCGGCTTCACTTCAAGCACGAGACAACCAGCCTGGCACGTTGTGGAACATAGACCTTGCGCCGTGCATGTGTGCAAATACAGCTACACTGCGACACCTGCGTGCCCAAAGCCATGGCATGCGGGCACGTCGAGCAGTTTCAGCAGCTTCGCCGCAGACATCTTGTCATCAAGGTTGTGATTGACATAAAGACTTAATAAAGACAGACAATTGTGCTTGCCAAGACGACAGGCGGCACCAAGGCTTCAATGGAAGTGCACCTATCGTTTTCACGATCCGTTGTAAGCGCTAACTGGGACTGCAAGACACCGAAGTAGCATCGCGGTGTGAGTGAAACCGCCCGGCTAAATGCCACTATATAATGAGAGATGCTGTGCTGTTTTGCCGTTGGCAAGGCCTCAAGACATGTTAATCACAAACCACGCAAGAACGTCAGGGACCTCGTTTACATTTGACACGTTGGACACTTGGGCGACTGCAAGAGCATCACCGGCGATCAATCTACGTATATACAGGCAAAGTCGTTTAGCTTGACAGTTGCACGTTTCCTTAACTGAGAGACAGAGTGTTCCACTTGCAATGCACTCCTGTTTTCCTGTCACAGACGCGAGTTGTCACTAAATTAGTTTTGGAAGCGGTGTCGATGCCATTGCTTCTTGACCGAGCTGAATATCGTTTCATGAAATGAATTCGCACCTCTGTAATCTAGCATGCGACCAACAGTGCAAAATGTGGTAGTAGATAGTCTTGTTTGATGCTTACAGTTCTGCTTATGATGGTGACGGTGGCGGGGATCAGGTGATTAGACGATGCTGCAATGCGGTGTCAAAGACAAGAGAGGCTGTATCAAGTTCAGTATTCCAGCGATGGCCGTGGCAACAACAAGTCGTAGTCGTTTGGGTGGCCCATGGTATTCCTACACCCTCCCCCACTCCTAAATCCGAAACCCTGCACAGGAGTTTCCAAAAAAGGAGACCCGAATATGGTACCCCTAAATAGGAGGATCCTTATTACAAGTTTTAAAAGGACCCCAAAATAAGGCACCCCTAGTTTCGGAAACTCCCACATAGCCTTCTCTGGTCGCTGGAAGCCGTGCCTGCTTTGTGCGAGCGTGCGAGTTGAAAGACATGCTCTGCCGAAGGAAGCTGGAGCTAAATGGGCCCATTGAGGAGGACCTGCAGGAAACGGGTTGCCTCTGATGTGGCGTATTTGGGATTTTGGAGATTCGTGTTTCAGAGCGTGGTGATTCTTGCTGTGGCTTCTTGCTATTGCTAGTGTTATTGGCGTGGTTTTGGTTCTACCATGTGGTTAACGCCCCGAATGGATTTGCAGGGTAATCTTGAGTCATCGTCGCTCTTCACATTTCCTTTGCGCAACCGACGGAGAGTGCGACCTCATGCCGAGTCATGCCCAAGTACACATTAACACTGTACTGCATATCAAGCACAACATTTACATGGGCAACAGAAGCAGTACTTGGAGGATCGTAAGTGAGGTTGCAAGTACCTTAATTGGGGTTATAAGTATAGTGACCCAAATTACAACCCCCAGGTACCAAGTCCGTGATCCCTTAAGCAGCAAAAAGCAGCAAGAAGTTAGCAAGCCTGGCCACACCGGTAATAGCAGGAGCTTGGCCAAAGCACGACCAACTGCTGGGTTTGGCGAAGATGCGGAACTCTTCAGGGCCTACCTGGACCCTGAACAACCTACCTTTTTAGGGCTCCTTACCTTATTATGACGCCTTTATATAAGTCCTTAAAAAGGTAGGGTATGCGGGGTTAAGGTAGGCTTTCAAAACTTTTCGAGTCATCTCCGATCCAGGAGCTGGCGGTGCCATCGGTGGGGTGGACCCCGCTTCACGCAACGGCCGGGGCGTGCCTTTCGCCACTTTGGGGACGCTTGGATGCTCTAAGGGCCGAGGGGTAGCAAGAATAGAATAACTAGTGCTGTGTGCTAAGTAATGGCGACAGTAGTAAATACAGTAATTGCTGATAACAACTGCTTGCCGCCTCAGTAAATCCATAAACCTGGGCATGCTCGAGATAGGCGCCCCGCCTGTTAGATCGAGGGTTTGGGTTTTGGGTTTACGGTTTGGGATGTGTTCGGCTTAGGGTCTGACGGAAAGGTTCGTGAAATCGCATCTCCATCTTATCAGTGGGCGATTGCTGCCACAGAATCCCAGCTGGTCTTGGGTTTGCGGCGTGCAGCTTCCACAAACGAAGCCCAAGATCCCCAACTTGTTGTCTTAATAGCATCCTAATAGCGGGTTCTACAAGGGCCCCTTAAAGGAATCCAAGGCTAAGGGGTTCTATAAGGGTCTATAAGGAAAAGAGGGTTTGGGGTGGATTGGGCTCTTAGAAGCTAGTGCTAGTGGCTTGAAGGATTTCGAATCTTTGCGACTGTTTGTGGTGCGAGCCTGGAAAGCCTGGAAGCGAGCGTATCCTGCTGGAAGGTTTCCGGAAGAACGTGAACTCGAAATCCTGCATCCGACATCCTAAACATAATGTGAAATGCTCAGTTCTCAGCACATCCACCACCCTAAAACTTAAGGGTCCGAAGCCCATGAGGCTTTGTAAGTCATGAAGTAAAGCCCTCATGCTCTATGGAACCTTGCGAGCTAAACCCTCGTCCGAGGTGTTCGGTTGTTGTTGTCGCCGGCTGAAAATCCCAAAGCCCAAAACCCTAGACCCAGAACACAGGTCCACAGGGAAGCCTTGACAGTGCTTGGAAGGGAGCCCTCAAAGATCCCTTAAGGCCTTAAGGGAACCCTTAAAGATCCCTTAAGGGAACCCTTAAAGATCCCTTAAGGGAACCCTTAAAGATCCTTTAAGGGAACCCTTAAAGATCCTTTAAGGGAACCCTTAAAGATCCCTTAAGGGAACCCTTAAAGATCCCTTAAGGGAACCCTTAAAGATCGTTTAAGGGAACCCTTAAAGATCCCTTAAGGGAACCCTTAAAGATCCCTTAAGGGAACCCTTAAAGATCCCTTAAGGGAACCCTTAAAGATCCCTTAAGGGAACCCTTAAAGATCCCTTAAGGGAACCCTTAAAGATCCCTGAAGGGAACCCTTAAAGATCCCTTAAGGGAACCCTTAAAGATCCCTGAAGGGAACCCTTAAAGATCCCTTAAGGGAACCCTTAAAGATCCCTTAAGGGAACCCTTAAAGATCCCTTAAGGGAACCCTTAAGGATCCCTTAAGGGAACCCTTAAAGATCCCTTAAGGGAACCCTTAAAGATCCCTTAAGGGAACCCTTAAGGATCCCTTAAAGGAACCCTTAAAGATCCCTTAAGAGAACCCTTATAGCACCTTCAAGGGTCCCTAGAAGAAGCTTCTTCATCTCAGCCTAGGAAGGCCCGTGATCGGCTCGAGGCCGGGAGCTGACAAGATGGGGGAGTTTCCGAAACTTAGGGGTACCTTATTCTGTGGTCCTTGTAAGATTTACGTATCATATTTTATTAGGGTACCCTTTTTTCGGGGACTCCCATGAGGGTTTAGTCGGTGTTGAGAAGGTGTAGGGTTGCGGGAGGCATGTTTCGGGTTTCGGGCGCATGGTGAGGGTTTCTGAAAGGCTCTCGCCCTCCATGCCGACGTCTGCCGCAGCCGTTCTTTTTTTCTGGTTGATGTGACTGTCGTGGCTTCTTGTCATTGCTGTTATCACTATTGTGATCTTATAGTTGTGCTTCGCCTTTGGTTAGGACTGTGCTGTAGAAATGATTAATCGCATGATCGCCACGACCATCGCGACCATCACAGCTTGTTTTCAGCCCTCGCCACTCGCCATAGGGCGGTCTTCAGTGTCCCCCATGTCTCATTGTTTTGAGGTGTCCCTCTGTGCCGTCCGATGCAGACGTACAGACGTGTTTCTTAGAGCCTTACTTCCAGCTGAACATCTGCTGTCCCAAGAGCCCAAATTTAGGGGTGGAGAGTCGGCTGTAGATGAGAGGAAGAAAGGCTTTGAGTTCAGAGCTTTGTTGAGTCTCAGTGGCCACCGACGCCGTACATTAAGCAGTCTCCAGGTGCCGCCCCAAACCAGAAATCCTCCACACCCCTACACTCTATCCGGGGAGTAGCGACTTGTTCTCGGGGCTGAGAGCCATGTTGATCGCTGGACTTGTCAGGATCGCCCCCTCATGGCCCAAGCGCCGCTGGCCCGGACATGCGATCAAACGAGATGTGTTCTAACAGGACAGCCTAGTGTACCGCGCTCTGTATGACTGCCGATTTTGGTGCGACATCCGACAGTCACATGCTTGAGCTGAGGTATGTGCACATACTGCCTCAAGGAGGTGACATCTGGCTTCATGCTTTTCCGACACGCTGGTCCCAGGGCTCCAGACTGTCCCAGCCACCTGCTGGTGAAGCCTGTCTCTGCGCTGGTGCGGCTCTGCTGCATTTTAGTCTCAGTCTTACCCCAGGCTGCTCTGTTGCCGTGGCATTTCTTGGCGGTGGCAACGGCAGTGGCCGTAGCCGCTGCCGCTGCTGCTGCTGTTGTTATGCTGTCGCTGTCGCTGTTGGTGGTGTTGTTGTTGTCGTCTATGGTCACGGGTGCCATGTTGCAGCTCAGGCTGTCCTTGGAATTCCAGCCAGCAAAGCGAGGCCAGTGGAAGGTGGATGCCATAACTCTGGCCGGCCAGTCAGTGATGCAAGGTCCGCAGCACTGGAAACTTTACGCGACTCCATATCATCGCCTTTGGGGTTTGAGCTGAGGAGGGTGTCCTGTAGGGCGAAGAAAGAGCGAATTTCACGTCCTGCTTCTGCCCACTACACAAACACCGAAGACACCACGTGCTTCACCAAAAAAAGGGTGCTCATAGCTAGTACTCGCTCTCCCTTGGTCGTCCGACCTAGCCCTGCGGGAGGAGGCAAGGTTCTGCGTGGCGGGACCGGCACTGGTGAAGTGTGGAAACTCGTCGAGGAGGAAGTGCAGGCTGTTGGAAACGAACATATTTGGGGGAACTTGGGGGTAAAGCAGATGTCGTGGTACGTCCACTGTCTTCACATACTTGAAATACTGCAGAGCACTCTACCCTGCGAAGGTGAGATGGACTATGACAGAGCCAGAACTGGCAAAAGTTCAACTCCTGCACGGAAGCACGCCTTTTCCACGAAGGCAAGAGAGCATTTCAAGATACCTGTCCTGATTGGGACAATGCATCAGAAAGAGAACAAAGTACTTGGTAGAATTTTAATGGCCGTTCATCCACATAAAGTTTAGCTTAAAGACATTGAGCAGGTCAACTTGTAACAATGCCTTATTGACAGTATCCACAATGGCTGACTCACAGTAAAGTCTTATGTTGCATTCTGCACCCGTACACCAAGGGTATCTGGAGCGGATGAAGGCTCCGAAGCGCTCTTCGCGGCGCAGTCTGCCAGCAAAGCATGCTTGCAAAGGGTACCTGGAGCGCACAAAAGCGTCGAGGTGTTCTTTGCGTCGCAGACTTGCTCTCCGGTGCTCCAGCAAATGCAAGAAGCCATCCGCGAGGAGGGCGAAGAAATGCCGCACTGCGCCTGGGCAAGCCTGGAAAAGTTAGATTTTGCTACAAGCCTTAAACTAAACTAAACCCTGCCGTGGCCCCAAAACCAGGTCTGAAGATTGCATCAGCATCAATGCCTTGGCACCACCAGGAACTGTCTGAAAACAGCCGAGAGTCAAAGCTTGCATGCACCAATTACCACATGAAATTCAGCCCGTTTTGGGCACTTTGGCTGGCCGCCAGATCACCGAGACTTTGAAAATGTAGTTGTGCTAGGTCGAAAAGTGTGCTGGACGCCCGTGTTGACAGAGTCGATGTGAGCTTTCGAGCCACTATGAATCCGTCGTGCTTCGTGCACTTCGTTTGTTCGCTTGCCTGTAACGACTTGTGGGGGCCATTCTGGCCATGACATGTCATTGACATACTGTATTCATACCTCGTTGCGGGTGGCCCTTGCCATTGCTCTACGGTGATCTGGAGCAGTAACATGCTGCGACAGAGCAAAATGCTTCTCACTCTTCTGCCCAGCTGCAGCAACCAAAGAAGTCGACTGGACCCATGCATCTGATTAAGTACTGATTTCCCAGAGACTCCAATACCCCTTAATTAAGGAATGTACCTTAAATTATAGTAGGATCCTTAATATGATTTAAGGTATATTCCTTAATTAAGGGATATTGGAGTCTCTGGGTTCATTGGCACATAGTGAGATGGAGCCGAGTCCCCGTTGTGATCCGTCCAGTCGTGCAGGGGCGCAGAAGTAGCTAGGATTCTCCCACACTCCGTGCGGTCTGCATGATTTCGCGACATGCTTGCTTGCACTCTCCTGACATCGGTGTGCCGCCAGATCCACCGTGCCAAGAGCACTTGAAGTAGCATCTCTGCATCTTGTGGCCAAGGTTTTACCAGACCACGTATTCGCTCATGTATTGCATGCTCCTGGGAGCCGGTACAGGCCTGGGCATCGAATCCGGTGCAGAGTTCCGGAATGATCCCGTATAAAATATGGACGTCATTGAACTAACTTATGCTTGCCTTCGGTCTCGTGCCCCTCAAAGAAGGATTTCGGTGTTTGCGTCTTCGCATGAGGATGACACGAGCTGCGGATTCGCTCAAAATCAGGGAATATCAGGGATCTTATGACCATCTTTCCCGGCAGGCGGTGCTTCGGGCCTGGACATTGACCAAACGCGCATGAAGACGCAGATTTGGTGCCGCGCTCAGCAGAGCCGCCAAGACGACGAATTGAACTGTTCAGCCTTTGAGCCTGCCCCAATGTCCTCTGCTTTGAGAACTGGGAACATCTGGGAACTGGGAAGGACCAGCCCCTACAGTAATCTTCAGCAGAAGCTTCTGAACTCACTTCAGGTCGGTTCGGGCGGAGTCAACTAATCAACCTCTTCCTTGAAGATTGACTTTCCTGTAGGTCTTCAACTCTTGGATAGAAGATCAGATGCGATCGACATCGATCTTTCGATTCGATTTACACCACCCCCCGCCCTTCGGCCTCCCCGTCCACAGAGAGGGTTCGGTTCGATTGGATCCGATTCGATACCGGTAGTTGCGGTAGGTAGGCCTGGCATGACGAGAGCAATGCCCAGAACATGATGCAGAATAAACTGCAACGATGACAAATGACATGTTCAATTAGTGCCAACAGCCCGCGCATAAGCCAACCAAAAGTGAATGCTAATTCGCCAGCTACGACACGACATTTTCAGAAGGGCTTTGCTGACTGCGGTAATCGCCAGCCGAGATGGCATTGCCTCCTCCATGGCCGCTGCTACTGCTACTGTCTGCTGCTGTTTCTGCCGCTGCTACTGTCCCCAAACCAACAAAAAAGCATCACTACTGCTGCTGCTACTACTTCTGCTTCTGCGACTAGGGCATACAACATACGACTGCGACTGAGACCAAAACGACGACGACGAGCATTTGGCCCGGTATGCACCCGAAGACTAGTCTAACAGGGCCAAAACTGCAGTACATCAAGGGCGCCTTGCTTGTAATAGGTGGTTGACGTTACGGCTTCCTGCCTGTTTGTCTGGCAAGACTGACAAACTGGAAGCACTGTCCTTCTTTGCGGAAGAGTCCTAAGCTTCTTTAGTCTGTCATGTTTTAGGGCGTTTATCGTCCATTAGTTTATAGTTTCAAGCCGCACCTTGAACCACAAAGGCTACACATGGGGTGTCCTGACGCAAAAAGGGCTAAGGGTAGAAACTAACTGGGAGCGAAATATTCAAAGCCACCACACCTAATGCTAAACAGGTTCACCGAAAATGCTATTTAATCTAGGGGGGAGACTTAACAAGCGTGGGGAGAGACTATTTCAAGGACGACGGCGACCACGACCGCGGCTAGTACGACGAAAGTAAACCCTAGAAGTGCCGTGCCGTAAATCTCAAAAACTACACTCGAAACCTTGAGCCGTAAAGCTGCAGTTGGGCCTCAACCTGCGAATCCGTGCCTTGTGCGAGTCTGCGAGTCGAAACCGCGATCTTGGCTCAAGAAACGCAGAACACAGAGGAGAACGGAAGGTGCACTGAAATGCAGGACTCGCCCTGTTCTTGGCCAGCATAAAAAACCCGATATCTGCAGGAAGAGGTGGCACAGACCTCAGCTCAGTCGTGACCTATCGAAGCTGCCTAAGCGCACTTTCCTTTGAAAGAGAGCCGGGTCATGGCAGGCGGCTGCACTCCCATGTGCACGTTTTCGGAAGGGGAAGGCGAGCTCAAAGCTATCGATGTGGACACGCAGCCTGCCGTTTGGACTGACGACTCGGTGCCATCGCGACCGACAGATCAGGTCTCCCTGATTCCGCAGGAGGTCATGGACAAGCCCGAATCGGTTCTTCCAGGCTGTTCTACAAAGGATTCTTCTCCTTGGGAGATGCCCGAAACGGGAGATGGCCACACGGCGATAGCACAAGTTTTCCATGAAGATCTGGAGAACTGGATCGGCGAGGTTTCGGAAGTCTTCCACTACCGGGTCTTTGTCATCGAGCTCGTCGGGCAGCTGCTGTATACTGTGCTGGGGCCTTTGAGTATTCCTATTCTGCTCCTGATGTACGGAGGCCGTATTGGCCTCATCAACCGAGGATTTTGGCCCACACGTCACCCATCCTTTCTCCTTCAGCTCATTCTTTGGGTCTGCTTGTTTGCCAGCCTCGTTCTGAGCATGTTCGCTGATGCACCCAATGTCATGCTCATCGAGAAGAAGTTTGCCGTCATATGCCTGCTCATGAGGAATGCACCCATTGCTACGAAGTACGCCTACTGTTCCACAGAGACGTGGACCAAGTTCAACACGGAGATCATCTCTGACGAGTACAAGGCGTTCCAAAACATGCTTACTGGTTGGTACGTCATCCCGGAAGCGAACCTGAGCTCTTGTTAAGGAGTTTAGTTTAAGTTACCATAATCGGGTTCTATATTAGCAAGTAATATGGTTTCCTTTCTATGGTCATTTAAACTAAATCCCCATATTAAGTAAGTAATATGGTTCCCTTGTTCATGGTAACTTAAGCTAAATCCCTTAAACAAGAGCCCAGGAACTTCCAACTTCAAGCAGAGGTCGCCTTCGTTGGTGTCATCGGCTCCAGAGCACAGCGCAGAGACTAGGTAGGGCTTTGGGACATCTTATATTTGCTATTCTTGGGCTTAAGAGGATCTTACCGAATATTTTTTGGGCTTAGGAGGATCTTACCTAATCTTTTTAAGGCTGTAAGAGCCCCTCCGGACTCCTAGGAGAGATTACCGTGAAGTTTCTTCCATGGCCACGGAGTGAGTACGACTTGCTCTCCATGCGCAAGCGCGTGGATGTATCGAGCAAGACGATGTTCTTCGCTCCTGGGTTCCTGTTAAGGGGTTTATATTTTAAATTACCAGAACAAAGAAACCATTTCATTTGCAAGCAGATTCCTATTTATGGTAACTTAAGCCCAGGCTCCTACAGGGGAGCTTCTCCGACCCAACTCTCGCACACGAAAAGCCGCCCGGCGGCGCATCGCCGCCTGGTCGAAGATGGAGGATGCAAATGGCGACCACCGAGCCGTGAGCTTGGAGATGACCAGGGAGAAGTTGGAGGTAGACTCGGCGAGATCGATCGGCAAGCTGAGAACCTCTTTGCAATCACCCAATATGCCCGCCTCGCCCCGTGAAGAGACGAAAGAAAAGAGCTCGAAGGATCTGAAGCTGGAGGAGAAGCAAGAGCAGGAGCGCTCGAAGCAGGAGCAGCTGGCGCGGGAAAGGAAGCTGTTCAAGACGGCCGAAGTTGGCGGAGAGGTCACTATAGAGGACTTGTTCCTTTACTTCCTTCGTGCGATCCAGCGAAGCGAAAAGGTTGTTATTCCTCCTTGTGTCAGGATGAACCTTATCCTCACCTTGATCGCAATCTTCATTCCTTCCTTCCTGCGCTTGCGCAACGATGGCTGGTTCCTGGGTCCAGATACGGCGTCGGCGGTGCTCGTGGTGGGCTTCTGGCCATCCAACTTTCTCTGCATGTTATCTTCCTTGAGCTTCATTGCCGTCGGCGGTGTGGACATGTGGAGACGCCGGTGTTTGATGCGCAGCTGCGCTGCGATGCTTTCCGTGTCCCGAGAGTTTCGGCGCCATTGTCCTGCGGAGGTGGACATGCTCCCTGTCCTTGATCTCTCTGACGTCAACACAGTAGCCGGCTGGCGCAAGCTGCGGCAGCTGTGCACCGAGTGGGGCAAATTCTATCACCTTCGAGTACGTGCATTCTCGGCCGAGTTCTTCTTCTTCCTGCTCATCATTCTTGCAGACATCATGGCCGGCATGCTCATCCAGGACTACACCGAGTTCAGCGGAGTGAATTTGGCCTCGCTTGTCGTGACGGGCACCGTCAGCATATCCCTGATGGTTTCTATCTTCGTGCTGGTCTACCTTGGCAACGAGGTGAATAAGTCTGCCGAGCGCCATCGCTTCTTGCTGAACCGATCCCGGACCCTTATGACAAGCATGAGATACAGAACGAGCACCTGCATGATGCCCAAGATGTCGCAAGCAGTCACTGGTGTGATGCCGCCTGATCCAACTCCCACGGAACTGGAGCAAGCTTCTGAACTCATCAGCTGCCTAGGCGATGAACTGGAGTCCGAGGGGATCGTCTTGCCTTTGACACTGCTCGGGATGCCCTTGGGTTGGTCATTGCTCTCAGTGCTGCAGTTCATCCCGATCGGTGTCATCACTACGCTGTTGCAATTCTGCGGGAATGCTGCGACAGCCGATCGCTGTGTGAACTAGCAGACGCTGGCGAGCGGGCATTTGGGAAGAGTTGTTGTCAGGCAGCAGCTCCTAGGCATTTCCAAGCAATCGGAGGCTGCTGTCAGGGGTTTGGGGTTCTCGTCTGTTCGGTTTTGCAGCTGTAGGGTGTGTCAGGCTACAGAGTTTGAGGTTATATTCAACTTCTTAGTATGCAGTGATCAACTGTCCTCGAGCGTCTGGGTTCAGAACTGCGCCCAAGCCACCGTCTGCTCGTCCCCAAAGGGGATGGATAGCTCTCCCAAAGCAGGGACGGTGAGATTTGGATGTTGTACAGGTCAAAGAAAAGAGCTGCCAGACTCTTGAGAATCAAGAATCGCACGAGCACGGTTCCAGAAATGTATACGTTTCACCTCCTCTACTCACAAAAACGTGACACATCAGGAGTCTGAAGTGACATAAACAGCTCGAGGCACCGCCCCCGTACCGCGGTAACTAGTGGTGGTGGCGGTTCGGAGCAGCAGTTGGGCGCTGCGTCGGTAGACTCGGTTTCCGCGGCTGGTTGAGTGCTCTTGGTTGCAGCGTCGAAACCCTAGTAGGACAGCTGACAACGGCTACAGTTTCATAGCCAATTTCTCCAGCCCCCGAGCATTGAGTAACTTGCTGGGAGTTAGTAACTGGGCTTGTAATTAGGGTAACTATACTTATAACCCCAATTAGGGTAATTACTTATAACCTTACTTACTAAGTCCCATGACCCTTTAAGTAGTCCAATTGGGCTTTCCGGCTGCGACTGGATTATTTTGAGGGGCTCCTTACTATAATTATTGTATAAGAGGCCCCAAAACCTTATTCTAACTATTCTAACTATTAAGGCCCCTATATGATAGTACCCTTATTTGCGACTGGATCTCGAAAGCCAGGTCGGAGGGCCAGCTCTGAGGCCGAATCGTTGGAAAGCTCACTGGGTTTAGGGTTTAGGGTTTAGGGCTGCTTGGACTGCTTGCTCCAACTCCGGGCGAAGTGGAAAGCCTGTTGCAAAAATAGGGTTCAGGGTTTGTGAGTTTAGGGCTTTAGGGTTTTTCCCGGCTGATTGCAAGAGTCCTGGATGCGAAAAAAAGGGTTAGGGGCGATGCAAGGATCCGGCTGGCCCCAGACCCCAGTGGCAAAAAGGGCTATAGGGGCTCAGGGTTTAGGGTTGTTGTGTTAGAGCAAGTTGCGCGGGGTTGCGCAGTCACGAGTGCTGCGCTGCTTCGCGGCGACAGATGTTCCGGTCGAGAGAAGCCTGCCGCCAAAGGGTTAAGGGTTTTCCAGTATGACAGGGTTTCGGGCGAGAGGGAGACAAAGAACCGTACTATGGCAACTATGGCATATGGAAGTATACTGTGTACTATGGTAAAGTATGGTAACATGTTGTAGACTATGATCTATCCCAGGATAAGAGGCCCCATGACCATAATATGGTATCATGTAATGGGGGTTTATTGATCTCCTTTGGGCTTGCACAAAGACAGAATAGGGCTTCTACTCGAGGGGGAATGGAAGCAAGGAAGAGAAAGACCTGGAGACCTTGCACCCTAAAGTATGACCAGAGGAAGAAGACTTTGCACGTTTTATGTTGCAGCACCCGAACTGACTCCGGTTGGTGACACAGTCGCATTTTTACTGTCCGAGCATAGCCGGCACTCGTAGGCTGATAGGCATGAAGCTTCCTACTATCTTTTGAAATTCACCACACGTTTTCATGACCCGAAAGCTGCAGTATCTTCATTTCCAAAAATTCGTGACCCGAGCGCGAGAGGGTATGCTTTTCGATGGGGAATTGAACCAGCCTGTGCAACAACATGCAACTTCAACCAACTTTCGGATGTGGGCCGCCGGATAGACGGGCCCTGCAAGGCTGCGTCGGGTCAGGTAGTTTCTCGACCGAGAGAGAGCAAGAGAGAGGTTAGCACGAACTTTGGGGGTAGGCCATATGGCCGGGAGATACATTCCCATACCCCTCGCGAGCAAGCAAGCAATAATAACAAGAACCCCCCACTCAAACCCGAAACCCGGCCTTAGACCCTCAAAACCAGGCCCAAGGCGGCCGCTCCCAGCAGGAATGGTGGCTGAGAGGCTTGCGGCATGCAAGAATAATATGTATTGATACAGACATACGTACACACATAGACATATGTTATATGTATATCGTTATATGTTATACAGATTGTAAATCATTCTACATGGCATCATGTTGTGCTATATTATACCATACGCCACTGTGCTACATTATACTGTACTATCTTGCATTATGCCATGCCATGTCACATTATATCACATTGTGTCAATTAACACCATGGCATATCGGCCATCATTGATATTATATTACAAAATATGTTATATCATGTCGTATCATGCTGTGTTCTGTGATATAGCATAGTATGACCTTATGTTATAGTGCGCGATATATACAAGTTTCAGTGTGCCTATGTACTGTATATAGATATGTATGTGCGTATGCAGATAATTAGCTAAGAAGGAGGTATGCATGTATGTATGCATGTATGTATGTACCTACGTATGTATGTTTCCCTTATATTGGTTTGGGAGCTAACAGGTCCGTAGTCTGATCCTTCGGATAAAGATGGGGTGCACACCATGCCTTGCACCAATATGCCTGAGGTTGTCTTTAGTACGGTTTAGGTTTTCGGGTTGCAAGAAAAGGTTCAGCAAGCAATTAGCTTTCCAGTGCAAGCTGGTTTCACCAGTAGTTTCAGGCTGCAGCCACAAGTGCTTGCCTTCGGAACGCTGCCGGGAAAATGCTAGTGCAATTGTGCACCTGACAGGACCTGCCCTCAAATTCCTAGGCCCCAAGAACTAGGACTTTCCTTGTCTGCAGCTGCGGGAGCCAATCTGTGGAGTAGACTTCAGCCATGGATGCAGGGGGAAGACAAACACAGACGAAGAACAAGTAGACAACATCATGATGTTGTGTCCCTAAATCTGCAGCATACCTATCTCCGACAACCCTAAAACGAAGCACTCCATACCCCACACCCGAGCCCATCTGACTCAGCCCTATACACCCGTCAAATCTAGGTCCCTGAAAAACAAGCTGCCCGGTGCCGGGCATCTGCACTCCGCCACACCAGACTGCAATGCCGCAGGTGGTGGAGGCCTACTCGCCCTAATTTCCGAAGGTTCGTCCCCTTGCCCCTTTCCTCGCCCGCCAGACGTGAGCCGAATCCCTAAGCCCTTTGGCTCAAGCACGGGACAGCAGGAAAGGATAAGGAGGAGGAGTGGCACCGTCTTGTGCCTTAAATTCACAAGCTAAGGTCTGCTGTGAGATGACGCACGGTTTCGATTTCGGTGGAGGCCACCACTGCCACACACCGGCAATTCACCATGTCACACATCACGTCACGCACCACCACACGACCCACCATCACACTCCGCACCACCACACGACCCACCATCACACTCCGCACCACGCTACGAACCACGACACTACGCACCACCATGCAAGGCACCACCACAGCGCAAACTACTCGAAAATCGTGAATCATCACTCGAAGCATGCTTCGAGCGATTCGCGGCATCATGCGCATGCAGACAACCATCACGACCAGCACCACCAGCACCACCACCATCACCACCGTCACCACGATCACCATCCGGTTGTCCATCACCGGCACCATCGACATCACAACCTGCCTTGGGACTTCTCGGATGCAGCGGCTACAGCCATGGCATTCTCTTCGGGTCCTGTGGCACCTGCGTCGCGCGCACCAGTGCGAAAAGACATGTTGCGACCCAGACGGCAGGAGGTTGTTGTGGTCGGTGGTGGCGCTTCTCCTGATCTCTATGGCATTGGCATTGCGCTGCCAGCAGAAGGCGTTCATGTCTACGACAATGTCGTGTATTTCGAAGTGGTCGTGACTCCCAGCAATGGTGCCCCATGGCAAGTGTTGCGTCGCTACAATCACTTCCGTGCATTGACGAAAGATCCAGACATCTCCGTCGCAACTAGAAACTTCCCACGAAAGATTTGGCACAGTCCCAACCATCGAGACTTTGTCATAGTTGGGTAACATTTTACATGTTTATGGGTACTTAAACCGAAGAAGGAAGAAACATTGTATATACATGTTTAATCCTATCCCAACCATGACCTAGGAGAGATCGAGGAGCGTCGGCATTGCTTGGAGGAGTGGTTGAGAGCGGCTTTGATCGAGTCAGGCATCCGTGCGCTGCCCGTGGCCCTGCGGAAGTTCTTGCTGCTAGGGCGGACTCCCAAGGTACCCAAGGCAGCCAAAGCAAGGGGCAAGCTCCAGGACTCTACTAGAGGGGCCTAAATAATCGGAATAGGGTTTTTTTGCCCCATCTAAAAGGAACCCCCAAAATGGGAGTTTCCGAAAATTACATAGGGGCACCTTATTTGGGGGTCCTTGTAATAAGGATCCTACTATTTAGGGTGCTATATTAGGGTCCCCTATTTTCGGAAACTCCCACATCGCTCCAGGACTCTACCATGTCTACTCTGTCCTTTGCTGCGGAAGCCTTTGACAATGCCTCCGCCTCTGCGCCCCTTGCAGAGGGCGGCGATGATGGCTTAGAGCTGCTCCATGTTCCGATCCCCGCTTCGCTGGGACCGGACGACTTGCTTCAGGTCACTAGGATGCCCAGTAGTACTCTTATTTCCTTTTTGTAGTCCTAGGTTCCTTATAAAGTTACTCAATGCCAAAAAGAGAGCTCTTTTTATTCCTAGGTTACTGGGCATCCTAGGTCAAAACACCAGATGAGAAGATCATCGTCATCAGCATTCCATGGGGCCTAGCACCTGGTGTGCCACTGCAGCTCTGGTGGGATCAGTCGGCTGGTACGCTTGGAGTCCACCACCGGCAAGACTGGCAGGCGCTGCGAGGGCAGAAGTGATCGTCTGCAGCCTTCGGCTTGCAAGCCTTAAAGGGCCTGCACTGCCTTCCAAGGCATCCTGTACATTCCTGTACCCAGTGCAGATATACGAGCGGGCACAGGTCTACAGTAAAGACTGCAGACCTTGTCACAGGAGTCGTGGGCGATTCAAAGCCACACGGCCTTGCAGAATTGGCGTTGCTACGGTGCTCATGTTGTAGCTGCAACTCGACAGGTAGTCAAGTCTATCATGCATTTGCAAAGAGCCACCCTCTGCTCATCTTGACCGAAGCAGCTGTGGTTTGCACGGCGCTTCCAATCTTGGATCTTGCAGTGCCAGCTCAGCGTCAGCGCAGCTCCAGACGTCAGCAGCCATTGCTGGCTACCTCAAAAGCGTTTATTGATGATGGATAGTCGGGGTTTGAGAAGCCTGCTTTAGTCGGCAGTGTGCGCAGTAAAACAGATTTCGCTGGGTCGGTCACTACCTCCGGGGTTAGTGTCAACGGTATTGGCTGGCGTGTGCAACAAGTCACAATCATCATCGCTCCACAGTCTGCTGTGAGCTCGAAGCCGAGCGTTGCCTCCATGCTGTTTACACCAACCCCGCCGCACACCTGTGTCTGAAAAGCACTGGTGTGAGCAGTTTGCCACAGGATATGCTGCCCTCGTAGCATAGGTTGATTGCAGCGCCCAGCGCCAATCGCCCCGGTCTCCTGCGAGTGCTCACGCTCTGCCGTTGAGGGCATGAGAAAAGTTGTAGCACCGGCGCAAGCGAGACTGGAAAAACAAGGCTTCTTTCTTCCCTGTGCGCGGAGATTTGCATGATTTGGAGAGGTGCCGCGTGATGATAGAGAGCTGAGTTTCCTTGTTGCCTCGAATAGCACGACGTCCACTTCAATGACCTTCCTTGACAAACTTTCAGCTTTGTACCCTGCATCGTAGGTTCGTCCTAGCAGGGCGGGAGGCAGCAAAAAAGCCCATAATATGGAACCCTACTGTAGATCCCTCATAGCCCTTTATAAGGATCCCCTAAGAGGAACCCTATTCTAACTATTAAGCCCCCCAGGTTACTCTAAGCTACTCTCAATTGCAAACATGCGCACTCGTCGTTGCCAGGATGGTCCGGAGCTTGACAAGCTCCAGGAAGACATGCGGAACCTGCAGGAGTTACGGTTTTGGTTTGACCGTTGCTACGTCTACTCTTGGCGCAGGGTTTTTATCACATTACTACTACGTTGGCTGTTGCTGTTGCTGTTGCTGTTGCTGTTGTTGTTGCTGTTGCTGTTGTTGTTGTTGTTGCTGTTGCTGTTGCAGTCGTTGTTGTTGTTGTCGTTGTTGTTGTTGTTGTTGTTGTTGTTGTTGTTGTTGTTGTTGTTGTTGTTGTTGTTGTTGTTGTTGTTGTTGTTGTTGTTGTTGTTGTTGTTGTTGTTGTTGTTGTTGTTGTTGTTGTTGTTGTTGTTGTTGTTGTTGTTGTTGTTGTTGTTGTTGTTGTTGTTGTTGTTGTTGTTGTTGTTGTTGTTGTTGTTGTTGTTGTTGTTGTTGTTGTTGTTGTTGTTGTTGTTGTGTTGTTGTTGTTGTTGTGTGTTGTTGTTGTTGTTGTTGTTTGTTGTGTGTTGTTGTTGTGTTGTGTTGTTGTTTGTTGTTGTTGTTGTTGTTGTTGTTGTTGTTGTTGTTGTTTTGTTGTTGTTGTTGTTGTTGTTGTTGTTGTTGTTGTGTTGTTGTTGTTGTTGTTGTTGGTGTGGTTGTTGTTTGTTTTTTGTTTGTTGTTGTTGTTGTGTGTTGTTGGTTGTTGTTGTTGTTGTTGTTGTTGTAGGTGTTGTTGTTGTTTGTTGTTGTTGTTGTTGTTGTTGTTGTTGTGTTGTTGTAGCCGCTATGGATCACAGCAGGCTGTATAGCACTGCTAACAGGGCTCCGGGTACCAACGCTAGAGGCTCGCAACGGCCCCCTTCTGCGAAGCTTAAGGGACTGTCCTCTTTCTGAGCCATAGCCATCCCTGGAGCCACGTGTCGCTGTGATCTACCGGGTCCCAATTCCCGGGCCTCTGTCTGCAGTTATACAACATTGGCAAGAGGTAAGCGGTAGTGGTTTTCACCTATCCGCGAGGTGAAGGGAGTCGGATCGAGTTCTCTCCTTCCGGCGAAACTAGCGGACGGCGCCAACGCCCATGCACCAGCATTCCTTTGAGAGCATTCGCAAGAAGGCCTTTCGAAAGGCTTGCAATAGGGTACACAGAACACAGGAAAGCATCCAGTATAGAAACGGCGTGCTGACGCCTGAGCATCTGCGTCGCAGTGGACTTACCCCACCCTCCCCTCCCCTCCTTCCTGTACAGCCTAGTTCCACGGATCCTTCGGCTCCCTCAGGCCGCACAGACAGCTTCCGCTCACGTCCGCGAGGTGGACGAGCCAGTAAGTCGCTCCGTGTCCTCTCATGGAACGCTGGGCACCTTGGCATCCAGCAATGGGCAGAAGTGAAGACATGGCTACGAACCGAGGCCCAGTATGTCTGTGATATTTTAGTCCTGCAGGAGACGCACTGGAGCGAAACAGCAGAGTTTGACGTTGAGGGTTGGCACTGCATAAGCTCTGCCACCAAGGGAGCTGCCAGGGCACCCAAAGCCAAATCAACTTCAGGGCAACGCTCAGCGCGAAGTGCTGCATCGCAGCCGGCGCTACATGACACTGGTCGTGCAGATGGGGTTATGGTCCTCCTCTCCCCCTTGATAGACAAGAAAAAGATTAGATGGCGTGAACAGCGCCGGGGCCGACTCATTCAAGTCACCTTTCCGTGGCTGGGAGCTCGAACTCATGTCTTTGCGGTCTATCAACATGCGTGGTCTTCTAAGAAGACTCCTCAACAAAACAAGGAAGATCGCTCGCGCCTGCTGAGTGACCTGTCCTCATCCATCAGAGCTGTTCCGGCGAGGGACACATTTCTGCTGGCAGGTGACTTCAACGCACGCTTGACCCCGCAAGAGGGTCTGGTAGGTAGGTGCAGCACTAAGCCAGAGCACTCTCAAATGCAGGATGAACAGTTCCAGGCCTTGGTTTCCTCTCACAGACTGGTAGCGCTCAACACTTGGTCCTGCGGCACTGGACACACTTTTTTCCTGAACGGAAAGGGCTCACAGATTGATTTCTTGCTGACTTCTGAGGCCTCAGCGAAAGGTATGGCCAAGCGCGCTGGGCCCCGACAGGACCTGCAACTTGGACAGTGGAAACGTGGAGGTCATATACCTGTATTCGCTCAGTTCCGCCCCACCCAGCACTGGAATTTGCCCAAACCTTCCAGCCCCTCCCTGACCTACAATAAGGAGGCCCTGGAAACAGCAGTTCGCTCTGGCCTGCCCATTGCTGACCGTATGCAGGCTTGGGTGCGCCAGCGCCTCTCTTCCAGGTACCACACGCCCGACGAGGTCAACCAAGTGCTGCTCGAGGCCTCTGCTATGTTTTTTCCGAAACCCAGACCTCAGCAAGTGCCGGAGACCGCGCAACACCGCGCAACCTTGCGCATGTGGAACAGAGTAGCACACATTCGCTCCCTACATGAGGACTCTGTCACCACACTAGCCGACCTAGATCAGTCCCTGGAGGACCTGAGCCGATGGCACAGACAGGCTCTTTACCTGGCGAAGAAGGAACGCCATCGTGCATTTCAGGCAGAAGTTGATGAAGCATGCGCCCGCCATGACTCGTACATCGCTCAAAAAACTCAGGCCATGGGCACCACAGACCAAGGCACAGCTCCAGGGCCCGGATGGCTTGCTTTTGGACTCACACTCAGAGCTCCGTTTGCTCCGCGAGCACGTGGAACAGGTTTTTGCCAAGCATCCTCCCCTAGATCACCATATCACTACTTTGCCGGACATCCCGGCAGGACTGCTAGCCAAGCACATCGGTTCCATACGACCACACAAAGCGGTCCCTCAAGGCTCCGCACCTGCGGCGTCCTGGCGATTGTGCTCGGCGGATGCGGGTGAGGCTTTAGCAGCAACGCTGCAATCCATTGGGCAACGCCCACAGTCGGCTGAGGATGTTCTTCAGCCACCGCTCAAGGATGCTGACATGTGTTTTATTCCTAAGCCCAACAAGCCAGCCACGAAGCCTAGCAATCTACGTCCCCTGGGCATCATACGCCCTGATGGGAAGGGCCTGGCAGGGGCCTGCAGAGACAAGCTATCTCCCTACACGGCTGAATATCTTCGGGGCCTTCCTCAGTTTGCCTACCAACCCCAACGCGGTCTATCTGATGCGCTAGGCAGGGTCGTAGGACACGTCACTCAAGTGCGCAGTAACTGCCAGGAGGCCCGGCGAACCAGACACCAGCTTCACGCAGGACATACACGTCCTCAGCTGATAGGAGGCATTTGCTTTGCTTTGGACTTGTCGCAAGCCTTCGATATGGTGAACAGGTCCGACCTACTCAACACACTGCACGACGCAGGTGTCCCACAGGACCTTATCGATCTTGTTGCCTCCTTGCACGCAGGCAGTTCGTACACTTTTCGCACGCAAGGTGAAGCCGATACTGTCCAGTCCACGGCGGGCATTAAACAGGGATGCAAGCTTGCTCCCACTCTCTTCTCTATGCTCACAGGCACCATCTTTCGAGAACTCATAGCTCTAGTAGGAGCTAAAGCTGTAGTGGACTACCTCACCGGCTACGCGGACGATCTGACAGTCCACCGAGACATTCACTCGCTGGAAGATCTAGAACGCGCTCATGCTTTGATCGAGCAGTTGCTGCAGTTGGTCCGCAGTCATGGCTTTGCAGTGAATAATTCCAAGTGCACAGTCATGGTAAAGCTTGAAGGCCAACAGGCGCAACGCGCCCTGTCTCAGCACACATATTGGCGCACCGCGTCTGATGGTACTCGTCACAAGATGTGGCGGTTGGGGACATCCAAGTCTCATGAAGGCTTTCCAATGGTCACGTCTTTCAAGTACTTAGGAGTCATGCTCTCCTACTCGAATTTCGAGAAGGCCACTCTGAGCTTGATGAAGCGGCTCATCCCACTTCGGATCTGCAGCAGGTCCCTCGTCTTCACCCCAGACAGCAACGACTTCATGACACATTGCAGACGCACACTGCGGTAGAACTAGGCAGGCTTGACGAATCCCAGGATCTCATGTCTTATTGCCTGATCTGCGGATTCTGGTCTCCGGACAACACCAAGCTCAAGTCTCATATCCGCCAAGCCCACAAACCGGAGTGGGCCGCTTATGGCGCGGCAGCTGCTGACAAGAGCACCAAATCCGGACTAGTCCTAATCAAGGGCATGCCCTGCCCGTGCTGTCGTAAGAAGGTCACGGACAAAAGACAACACCCTGCGCAGTGCCCTGTCTTGTTCCAGATCTCGTTTTACGAGTTGGTTCATGCGCTCTCTCGCTGTCAGGGAGGACCGCTGCGACGGTACATCCCTGTTGCTAATGCAGCGCCTCGTACTACCTCTGACTCCGATGGCAGACGAACCACCGGGGCAACGCCCCCAGCAATACAGGCAACGCCTGTGGCAGGTGCGCCCTTGCCCTCTGGCGCTTCGGGATCCGAGCACGTTACCTCTGATGCCCCCCGCCCGCTAAGCAATGTCTCCAACTACTGCTATATCAATTCTACGCTCTCGGCTCTGGTGCCGACGCGCGTTCTGCTTGAGCATGGAAGAGCCAGCTCCTCTCTTCATCATGAAGTTACGGACAAAGCCTCTACTTCTCCTTTTACACTGACTGCCTCTTTTACACTCCGCCACCTTACTCCCACCTGGCGTTATGATGGCCATCAACAAGACGCTTCTGAATTTTTGACGGCTTTGTTTGCCGGAATCACAGATCTTCCGATCGCCAGGCCTTGGGAAGTCAGGGATGCGAACACCACGGAAATCCTGGACGTCGGCGGGCCGCTGGCACTGTTGCCGGCTCCGCTGACTGCCGGCTCCCAGGACCTTCAAGACCTGGTAAGCCAATGGTCCGGGCAACCGGTGCGAGCTGCTTTTAGGGGACAGCAAAAGCTGATCGTCCTATCTGTAGCCCGATTTGCAGACGGTCGAAAGCTCAGCTACGCAGTCACGGGCCTAGGCCGTTTCATTGCGCTTCCCCATGGGGCCCTGATGGCTCTGTTCACACAGTCCAGGGTTGGGTGCAGTCATGTGTATTCCACATCGGAGACAC